TCAGGATTGTCTTGTAGATTATTAGTTTGTTGTCGACTGAAAGTTGAGATTTTCTATTCAATAGTTTATATAGCTGTCCATATCGTCTGTTAAGTTGTCTTTTAAGTCTGATGTGTGTGTTCCATGTTAGTCTTTTATATAGGAGAAAGCCAAGACACTGGACTGTGTCGGAGAGAGGAAGTGGTATGGAATTGAAGTAGACTGGTGGACAGGAATTGTGCCGAAGGGTAAAAATGATATGTTGGATTTGGATTCATTTACTTAGATTCACCACTTATTATACCAGTGCTCAATAAGAGAGAGGTGACTTTGTAGGTTTAAGGATGTTGTTTGAGGTTCTGGATTGGAAAATATGATCAGTGTGTCATCAGTGAATGTTGTCGGGAGGGTTTCGGGATGAGTAGGAATATCAGCGGTAAACAGAATGTAGAGGACGAGACCCAAGACGCTGTGTTGAGGAATTCCCGCCTCGATTGAACGACAGAAGATTCTTTGGATGATTGTTAGAGGATTCTGTACTACAGCGAACTTGAAAGGAGCGGTCAGAGAGGGAGGATCAGAGCATTAGATATAAGGACTGTGGTAGATGAGATTTAAGCTTGAAGGTGCAGTCCGATGTACCATACACGGTTAAAAGCTTGCGTGATGCCCAGGAATGCTCCTGAGCAATACTCCTTGCTTTCTAGGACTGAGGATATGTGGTCAACAACTCGGAGCCATTGTTGGACAGTGGAATGTTGGAAACGAAATCCGAATTGATTGGTAGAGAGGTTTTGGGATTTAATTATGGGTATGATTCTTTTCAGTAGGATTTTTTCAAAAAATTTTGAGAAGAATAGGAGAAGGCTAATTGGTCTAAAGGATGATATATTATTGGAAGGTTTGCCTAGTTTCAGGAAAAGGAAGATGGTGGAATGTTTCCATAAGAAAGGAAAATGGGTAGTTCTTAGGATGCAGTTTTATGTATATGTGAGAAACAAGACAGCTTTGGGAGGTAGTTGATAAAGGATTTGTGGGGTTAGAAGGTTGTATCCTGGAGATTTAGAGGAAGGTAGTTTTTGTAAATGATATTTGACCTCGGAAGGATGAGCAGCTTTTGGTAGTAAAGAGAGTGGAATTGTTGAAAAGAGGAATTCTTCTACTTTTGCAGTGTGCGTTAGATAGGATTCAGGATGAGGAGTAAATGTACAGGAGACATTTATAACAGGTGTTTGGTGAATTCCTCAGCTTTATCTTCATCAGATGCCACCTAGAAGCCATCACCTCGATAGAGGGTATGATTTTTATAAAGCGTGATTTTTATTTTTGATCATAAGTGATAAAAAATTATTTCCTGATCATTATTTTTGAATAAAATTTTGACAATTAACATTGAAAATAATTCTTGAGTAATACTTTTTTAAATCAGAAATATAATTTTTTTGTAATCTTTAGTATATATTTTGAGTCTGGAGTAGTAGGCGGAGAATGTTTTTTCAACTATTAGCAACAGAACATCTTTATTTCCTAAATTTATTAGAAACTTTGGTTTACAAAAAGAAAATATTTATGTGTATATATATATATATATTTTTTTTTTCTCTCTTTCCTTCTTTTTTTTCTGGTTTGCCCTACAGACCTTGTAGATCTTTGATCAAGAGATGTGGTCTTCTAGATCACATCCCGATTCCTGATTTAAGTACACAGGGTTAGAGTCATCAGTCCTACGCCCGGTTGGTGTGAGTTGCCTTCAGTGCAGCGTGGCTTTCCTTGGTGGACACCCAAATCAGGCAGTTACCCACCCATCCAAGTGCCAACCACACTCGGCGTTGTTTAACTTGGTTACCTATTGCAAGCACCTTAGCCCGCACGGCTACCCCAGCCCCTGTGTGTGTATATATGTATATATATATATACACACACATATATATTTTTATATATAGAAAGTGCAGGTACAGCATGCACAATTAAAGTGATTTCAGAAATATAATACTAAAAACTGTGTACATTAATAACATATACATACAAATTAATATTTAATTTAATTTCTGTCTAAAAAGTTATTTTTATTTTCTGATCAAAAATTTTTTTATTACAATTTAATAACTATTATTTATGTAAAACCGCATCACTCAGTGAGTGATCATTATCTTTAATGAAATCTATAAACATCAAAGATCAATTTAAATTTATTATTAAGTATCAGGTATGATTCTTAAATTAAAAATCAAATATAATAATTATTACATGATTTTATAGAAAAATAATTATTGATTTCAAACTCTGGTAATAATTAATTACTATTAGTTCTTATTAGTAATTACAAAAATTTTCTTTTTTAAGTTTTATATTACACCTTATTTGAAATGTTTGTAAATATTGATAAATGTTAACATTTATTGTCATAAATTTTTTGTTTGTAAATCAATAATATAAATCATATTATTATAAATTAGTTAAGAGAAGGATTTGGTGGGGGAGAGTTGAGAGGGAGTGGTCAAATAAATACTACATATTAAAATAGTATACAATACTACTTAATATATAATACTATACATAAGTATATAGTCCTATACAATAAAATGCTATTTTAACATATAGTATTTATTTTACCGCATCCCCTGACAAACTCCTTCTCATATTATAATCACAGTCAACTATTTCTACACCATAAATTAATTAATATAAATCAATTAGATCAATACTAAATTAATTATATTAATAACTTAATTATTAGCCGTCAATTAATTAAATTTAGTGTCATTTGTTAACCTCAGAAAAATAAAATAAAAAAATCGGACAACTTGTTCCTTCAGTGAATACCTGAACACTGTGGAGCACTTGTGAGGGGCCATGTTCGCCAACCCCATCTCCATCTACAGTGTTGTAGGAGTACAGAGCATCTTAGGTTCGCAAACATATTGGATACTCGGCTTTACAAAATTCAGTATTAGAACCAAAAGGCAATTAAAGGGTTAACAATTTAGAAAGACTTGAATGAAGTCAATGAAATTTCATATGTCTCTAGAATACACAGTTTGCTGTACGCATCAAAATCTTCAAGATCCAATTTGTCCCGTATCGATCTACAGACCTACCACCGTTCCAGTATTGAAACCTAGCAAAATGTTTGTATTGACTTTATTTATTTCAGAAAGAAAAACAAAAGTGGAGAATACTATTCGCTAACCCCCGTGAAATTCTGAATCCAACGGTACCCCATTCATGGTATTTGAGCATGACGGGAGCTTATATTTGGTACACAACCGATTTCTAGCTTTACTGTAATAATATATGTGGGGATACTGAAAAAAATAATGAGTAGCTCAATCTGGATTTGTAGATTCATGTTGCCCTGGACAGTAAGGTAACCACCAGCAATGCAAGTTAAAAAGTGAGACCTGGTTTTCATGGATCAGATATCCTTAATATTATAAAGTTTAACTGAATTGAATCTTGTATAGCTAAATTGGTATGAATTGATAAATACAGTTTATATTATTTTGATTATACTACTTTCATAGATTTTGTGGAAATAGAAAACAACGATTGTGTAATGTGTTTGTGCAATTGATAATTAATATTTTTTTTTTATTCTACCCAAATAATTTAAATTTTTTAAACACAAGGACTGTAGACCTAATATTAGTCACTTGTTATTATTGGAACATTTCAAAAAAAGCTTCTTGTCTTAAGTTGTTAAAAAGTAACATGGATAAAATGGCCTATTCCATTGTTTCAAATAGTAAGGTATATGTACCTTCTTAGCCAGTACCAGATTCATGATTTAATTTAGATGAGGTCTACTTTTTTTTTATTAGCCTTAATTGCAGGAATAATAATAGGTGCTTTTAAGGATAAATTTTTTATGTTTCTTCTTGACTTATGCTAAAATTTAGTGACTAAAATACATCAATTATTGTTTAAAAGATAATCACTCAGAGAAATAAACATGGGACAATTAAAAAAATAATTAATTTTGTAAATAAAGGCAACAATTTTTTTAATTTAATTTTTGATTGTTAAAAGTAAATAATTCATTTTCAATAAATAGTTTATGTAACTCTTGACTACAGCCCAACTCTGAGGAAGGAAGGATTATACTATAAGTATAATCGTAACGAACTTATACAGATAACCAACATTACATGTTAATTTAACTGAAGCCTATCTTACAAAAAGGCAACGTAAATGAATTAATATCCGCCCTATAACCCAAATAAAATTCAAACTGATATGTGTTTATAATTTAATATGTGTTTGAAATAGTAATAGAGGAATTTATTTAAGAACAAGAAATTACTGTAAATCTACATTTACCTCTCAAAGCGACTAGATAATAGGTTTCTCCTACTTCCAGTAGTTCCAAACCGCTTTTGTAAGTTGGTGGCTCATTAATTCTTTTTAGGATCCCCTTGGCATCGCACAGATCTATCTCAACTATTAATTAAAAAATAAATTGCAACAACAATTAATATTTTATAGGTTCAACTTAAATTGAAAATATTTAAAGAAATTTTATTAACCTTCATTTGGTACATCAGCTTTGATTTTTATATATTCATAAATTAATCTTATATAACAATTAGGATTAATTAACATTTCTCTTGTGTCTAAAAAAAAGAAAAAATATATTCATATAAATCATATCACAATTTAATCCAATCGAACATTAAAATGTATTTTATTTAATTAATTATTCTTACAAAAAATTATGAATTATTATCATAGATATATTTAAATTTACCTCCATATATTACTCTGGCGAACATTATTGTATTTTGTTCTTATCTTCTTAATTACATGTACATATTTCCCCTTTATTCATAAGTTAACATGTGTTAGCCATTCATCAATGAATAACAGTTTTGAAAGCCTTCCTGAGTTGTCATAGCAACAGTCAACAAACAAGGGTTGTTTTGATCACATGTCAGAGAGACAGGATGGAGGTTAAAACATTTTGATACCAGACAATATATCTTTTAATTTTCTTTTAATTTGTACAATTTAATGAATATAAAATGGTCCAAGCCAATATTGATTCAATTTTGGCTGTTGACCCAGAAAAACTTTCTTCACAGGAGAAGGATGACTTGTATGAAAGTATTATATGGTTAAATGTTGAACCGAATATACCTAATGATAAATTGGAACCATTATTTTTGTTGACAAAAGAAGTCATGAAGTATAAAGGAGAGCAGGTAAATAAATTTATTGATATCCTATCAAGAATAAAGTCATGATAAAATTTTATGATTTTTTATTCATTATATCTTCAGGTAGAAAATTTGCTGGCAGATTTAGATATTTTGGCCTCTAATCCAGGTGAGGGAAATTATATATATCTAATAATATCAATTTCTTTATGTTATTTATATTTTTTAATAAGTTATTTTCAAACCAGAAATAATCAATATACGGCAAATTAAACATACAATTCTATCTGAAAATTTCATGAAGCTATTGAATCATGTTTTTAAAGGGAAAATTTTCAATGCAAAAACAAATTTTTCTTATTTTTAGCAGGTAAAAATTATATTTATTTTGAATATAATTATACAAAAAATAATTCAGCAAATTATTAAATAATAAAAAATAATTTATAAGGATCACAGAATTTTAGTTATTACTTTTAAAATGTTTCCTAGAAAATTGTTGAAACAATTTCTTAAAATATTTTAAAATCCTGGAGTTGTTACAAACAATGTATAGATATAATGGTATGGAGATGATTGACTGTGGATTCTCATTTCAGAATCCGACTAACTTCTTTTGAAAATAAATGAAATTTATAGATATGTTTACTGGTAGAAAGCTCAAGGTATAAGATTGAAGTAATAATATATAATTAGTTTTTATTTATTTAATTTCTATAGTTATACAGTGAAAAGAAAATTTAAAAATTATTATTCTATTTGAATTATTTATTAATATGTTGACTTTCCATCTAAAATATAATTTGTATTGGTTTTTTATGATTAACAAATATTAAAATTAGAGTTTTTAATAATGTGATATGATTAAATTAATTGACTATTATACCAGAACCCTGAAAAATGCAGTCCAAATTGTGCTTAGATTTTTTTCTCATAAATTCACTACTTTTTATTTTCTTTAATTTTATTTCTTTAAAAGTAATACAAATATTTTGAAGGTGGAGGGAATGAACAACTACAAGCAGAACTATCAAAAGCTAACAAGCAAATTGAAACACTTAATGAAGAAATTGAAAACAAAGAAAAAGAAATGGAAAATGAAAGACTTCATGTTGAAAAAGTAATAAAGTTCTTCTTGAATAGAAAATTGATATATTTATTAACAATAAAAATACTTAATAATTCAGGGCATTCAAGCTACTTATTTTTCTGTACTAAACGTTTTTTAGGTGAACTAATGTAATTAAGGAATTTGCATTTTCTTTCTATGGAGCATGCTATTTTTTACTCTCTTTCTTTAACTAGTAATAGTACATACTGTTGATAAGGTTGGCAGATAAACAACAAATAAGCTACCTCTTTTTTTATACTCTCTTTTAATAAAACTATCCCATATTAAATTTAAAAAATATATTATAGATAAAAAATGGCAAATTATTTGCCGCTACTTGTACTCAATGTGTAGTTCTAGACACTAGCTGATCCAGGATTTAATTTTGGAGGAGGGCTTCAGCTTGAAAGCTTTTTTTTCATAAAAATAACGATAATTACTTAGTAAAAAAAGAAAGAAACTAACTAACTATATGAAATGGTGTTTAAATTATTCCTAAAGTCCTTTTAAATGTAATTACACGAACAATAATATTTTAAGAGATAATTTTTTAATATTTTTTTCTCAAAAAAAATTAATATTTTATTAATATACTATAATATAATTAATATAATATTAATATTTTTTTAATATTTTACATATCTCGTAAAACATGGTTATATTTTACCATTTAGGAGGGCTTCATCCCAAAGCCTACACCTCCCTTTCTCCCCATAGATCCACCTGTGGTTCTAGGAATTTTACAATAAAAATATTAGTGGACATAATACATCATTTTTCCAACAGGTAGCAGCACTGAACTGACCTTCCACTTTTTTTCATTTTGGGTCTTTATAGTTTCAAGTATGGTATGTGAAAAAGCACCCAGGCTACACAACTACAAACCAATCACAACATAATATAACCAAGCAAACAAATAAACGATATATATATATCGAACTAAGTTATATATATATATATATATATATATATATATATATATATATATATATATATATATATATAACTTAATTCTGCATATGGACGTGTAAAGTTAGAAACTAAATCCGAATCCCTGGTTTACCAGGGACATGGAAGCCTGTTTGAAAGGATTTACAAGAATGAGATGCTAGCAGTGCACTATGATTTTCAAGTCAAGAATTATAGGAACATATACTATTGTATAAGGATCCGCAAGATCAACTAGCTCAGACTGTGTAACGTTAACTGTCATTCTAACCGATCCCTTTCAGAAAAATAATCAGGTACCGGCATATGGAAAATGGCTAAACCCAGGTATATTTTTAGGTAATCATATACCGATCTTCCATGCTGAGAGATAATTGTAATTAATGTAATTGAAAACAACTCTTCAATCTGCAGAACACATGATGAAACCACCTATTACATAATATGTAGATGTGATGTTCTAACTGGGATAGAGTACTTCTATCTTGGATGGAACTGCATTAGTGATCATAAGCTCTGCCTATTGATTGATACTAGCACTATTTAAAAATTCGCAAAGGCTATCAGTCTGTTATAACTAAGGCACAGATTTGAAGGATTTATCTATTTTTTTCTGTTTAAGGCAAAACTGAGACCTTAAAATATCTATGCTGATCTTGAGTAAATACAAAATTCTGTAGGATCATTTTTTATCAATTTTTCAATTTTGTTCTAAAATGGATCTTTTTTGCTATTTTTCACCAACAAAATTTTGTTTTTTAATTTTGAGAAAAATAGATCTCTCTTGGGGTCTGCATTCAGAATTTGATTCAATTAAATATTTTCATGAATTATTATGTATGCTTTTGCGATTAAATATCTAATCAATTTAATGAAAAAAAAAAAACCGTTATATCTAGAAATTTGTCTAGAAAGCATTAGTAAGTAATATTCAAGAAAACAGAGGAAAACCTCTGTTTTGAGACTGCGGAATTCATCAAATTCCTGCTTTGATTCACAGAAACATTGGATGTTATATCTAATCCTCTGTGTTATGTTTAATCCTCCAATTCTGTTCATCGCGCACATGACCATAGATTCTGCGTAGCACCTTCCGCTCAAATAACGCTAGGGATCGCTCGTCTCCTTGCGTCATGGTCCAGCCTTTGGAGCCATACATCAGTATCGGGCGAATGAGCATTTTATAAAGCTGTGTCTTTATGCTGAGAGAGATGAGTTTAGTTTTGAAATGCTTATTTAGGCAAAAATAGCACTTGTCTACAAGAATAATTAACCTTGACAATTCTCTCTTTTAACATTCTAAAATTAATGAAAAAGGCTACTCTCCATAATTAAATTTCCGATAATGAAGTATGGGATACTGTTCTGTACTACACATTTTTAAAATAAAAAAGTAAACTATTCGTTACTAATTCTATAAAAAATGAAAAAATAAAATATTATTTCTCACAAACATATAAAAATTTGGGAAATTAATGTATGGGATTTGGTGGATGAAAAGGTTTTATTTCAATTTACTTCAAATATTGCTACGTTTACGTTCTGTCTATATGAGCAAGGACAAGTTCCTAAATTCAGCGATGAGCTCAGCACTTTGTTTAGGAAGGATTACTATTTATATCTGTTTTCAAATTCAACAATTATTCAACTGGTTGGGTATTTCTTTAAACATTTTTTTCATTTTTCATGCATTTAGTAACCTTTCAGGAGTGCTAATCCATCAGCTCATTGCTAAACTGTGTATAAATTGTTCACTACTGGATTAAATTGATTGATATAATATATTGATGGAATTTGCTCTATGTTTAGGAACGTACTCTTTTTGTTAGTAAGTAATGTTAGTTCTTAAAATTCTAATTTTGAAAACATTATGGTTTAATTTTTCTACTCAATTTTACGTTTAAGTTTAAGCTCTACTGATACTTTTGTATACTATATATTAATGTTAATAAATGGTTGAAGATCTTTTTTAGATCTAAAAATTGATTTCTACGATCTATTTGTTGGTAAATTTAGATCTTCAGATCAATGCCCAAGTTATAATAGAGTACAGGACGGCACAAAATAGGCATCAATGCGGCCTTTCTGCATAAAATGCATTCATGCCAGATATTTAAAAAAAAACTTGTTCAAATAAAACAGTCTGACAGAATCTGTTAACAGTTGTTTAAAAGACAATAATCAGTTCCTTTTTTTTTTTTTTTTTTTTTATCTTAAAAACTTGTTTCAGATTCAAACATTTTAGTATTATATTCCATTTTGTTTAGATATTTTGATTTTTCAATTCCTTTATTTTCTATATCAGCTTATGTTGTAAAACAATTAGTAATCATGAATTGGTTAGGGGTTATTTAACAATCTGAATTATGGTTAAACTATGTATTGCTAGGTGGTATGGAAATTATTGATTGTACCTCTAATTTAAGGAGAAGTTATTTGGTAGGCAAGGGGAGAGATGCTGTCAAAAGTCACACACGTAATATAGGGGAATTATATTTTTTGGTTGCCTCTGTTTTGGCATATGTAGTAGGAAATATAGGAGACCAATAAATATAATTCTAAAGTACTCTGTATGTTATTTTCTATCTTATTCCGAGGTGTATTTCAAAACTCTAGTAGTAGAGGGAAGAAAACAGTTGCCAAGGCAAATTTATTGAAAATTTGTCTGCAAACCTCATTCTGGAAGTATTTTATACTATATATAAAAATTCAAAATTTAATATGTAAAAAAAAAATTAAATATTTTATTTTTAAAATATTTTGGAGTATTTTTTCACGGTTAAATTCAATTCATTTAGATTTTTTTTATATTGTGAAATTTATGTTAGTCATTACTGATTTGCACATAATAAAATACTGATTTTTTTTTATAGTTACAGTCAGATATTGTAGAGCTCCAAAAAGAGAAAGCTGACTTGCGTAAAGAGATAATTTTTATGCAAACCGAGAGCCATAATGGATTAGCATCAAGCATTCAAGATGAAAGCTCAGATGATACTTCTCAGCTAAAAGAAATGATCCAGCACAAAAATAAACATATTTTGCAACTTCTTTCAGATATTCAGGTTAGAAAGTATTGTCGTAACACCCATTCTTCTGATATTATTGTAATCAGCATCTTTTTATAACAGAACAAATCTCATAGTATTTTTTAATATCATGTTTATGTAGTAGGAAAATGTTGATTTTAATAGGTTATGGAAAAAGAAAATGAAATAATTAACACAAAGCTGAATTCTATTCGCCAAGAATTGTCAGATGCAACAACAAATCTTACAAAATTTTCTGGAGAAAATATTTCTTTAAGGCAAGCCAACTATGAATTTCAGGGTAAGACATTATTATGGCTGATTTTATTGGGATTTCCTACAACTAACTATATAATTTAATGAATGGCATTTAGCCAAAATGAATTCACAAAAATGCAAATGATTTACACTTAGGATATAAATGGGATTAGTGGTAGCTTAGCTGCTTTCAACAGAAAATAACCATATCTTCAATAGAAAATCAAAGTTCATAAAAATATTTAATAAAAAAATGTGGCATTTCAATTTTAAAAGAATAATAAAATAATCAAAACCACAATAAAGTAAATTTGATTTATTTGACATAAAGGGAGATATGCTTATTTGAAAGCATCCACATTTTCTTAGGCTATTTAAATTTTATTTGAATTTACTCAATGTAAATGCAATAAGGATTGGATTCCTTTCGTTAAACACCATCCAATCAAGAGAAAAAGTTAAAATTAATTTATTTTTTAAATTATGTTTTCCTTATTTTTTTAAATTATTTATTTCTAATGCATGCAAATTCTTCTTGTAAGGGTTAGATTCTCTGTTTGTAGAGTCTTTGTTGCCATGGTTGATCGAACATTATATATATATATATTTTTTTTTTTTTTTTTTTTCGATATTCGGATTCAAATCTGAGATTTTGGGTGTTTGGAGTCTTGTATAGGAATGCAATAATTATCCTATTATAAATCATGCTAATATTACATCATTTTTTTTTTCTTCATTAGTTTATATATTGTAATTCACTTAATCAAATTTCTTTGGTTTGATTGTATTTTAATATTCTTTCATAATTATGTCAATTAAGGATACTAATATCATTGACAGCATCATTATTATAATCTAATTTGATACTTCGTAATTAGTAAAAGTACAGTGTAATCTATTTCCATTAGTCAAGATTATTGAGGAGCTTATTTCAAGTACAACCTATGCCAAAATTATAAGAATTTAGCTAAAATAGATTGAAAACAGCTTAATGAAGTCCATCCCTTAATTTATTTTAATTTTACAAATTAATTTCTAACTTTTTTACCATTTGCAGAACCAATCTCATTTTTATCAAATATATGACTTACATTAGTTACTAATTTATATTAGAACTACTGTTGTTCTAGTATTAAGCAACAAAATAATTTCAGAACCATTTATTAAAGAAAAATAATTTATTTTAAAAGTATTAATTTTTATTTAAAAATTAATTCATTGGTTTAGAAAAATTGGCGACTCTAGAAGAAAGAAACATTGGTTTGACATCCCAGGTAGCTGAGCTGGTTGAGGAAAGGAATAAGCGTGAAAGCCATCTTGACATTTTAATTGATGCGCTTGAAGAAAGAGTAGCTAAATGGCAGGTAAAAGTTCATAGTTTAGTTTTAATTTAGTATAGCATTAAATCTTGAAAAAGACAATTCCTTATTGTTAACTAATATTGTTGTTTTTAATAGGAAATTCTAGCTCAAAAGGATGAAGAAGTGACAGAACTTCGTGCTAAACTGAATGAAACTGTAGAGTCTCCTGGGCCTAAAGGAACAATGGCTTTCGCCGCTAATTATATTGAATTGTCAAAAGTAAAAATTACAAAAAATTGCATGTTTTTTATTTTTCACTATATTTGATCATATTTACTTTAGGTTATTTTAAAATATTACTAGACAATTGAAGAACAAGAAGATATCATTAAGAAACTTCATGAACAGCTAAAACAGGCAGCAGAAGATATGACCAAAAGTTCAGTCCAGGCACAAGAATTAAAGCAAACCGCAGAAGATAAGTAAGATTTATTAATGAATTGTTTTAAATTAATAAATTTATTAACATTTCTACTTTAGAAGTTTTAATTTATTAATACTTTAAAAATTATATTATAAACATCGAAACAAAATTATTGTTAAATAAACAGTGAGCTCCTCATTCCTTATCTGCTTAAGCAATGCAATATCTTCTATTTATATATATTGTTAAATTTTGTATTTGTTTCATTTTAAAGTTTTAATTTCTTAATACTTTATTTATTTTAAATTACATTATGTATTTGAACATCCTAACAAAATTATTGTTAAATAAATATTGAACTCCTCAAGCCGTGTCTGCTTAAGCAATGCCAGGTCTTCTATTTATTTCTATCTGTTGATTTTTTTTGTTTTAAAACAAGCTTATGTAGTATTTTCTTTCTTTTTTTTTTAAATGCTGCATTGTAAAAAGCAATTGTATGAATGATTTGTTTGTTGCATATATTTAAGTTGCATTTTAATCACTAACTGTATTGTCTTAATAATTCAAAAATAAGGCTGATACATGAAAGAAGATAGTTTATTTTTTTACTAATCATTCAAAAAATAAAGATCATTTCAAGACTATCACTTTCTCTATCATTTTCTATTTGTCTAAAAATTTGAAGTAAATTATAGATTGAATTAACTTTTTCGTTTTCCTCTTAGATCATATCTATCTTAGTCATTGGCTTGTCAACAATTATTTTAAAAATTGAAATTGTTTTCAGAAGCGGTAGTGATGAGGAATTAATGAAATATGAGGAATTAAAGGAAGAATTAGACAAAGCTCGTAATCAAATTCATTTCCTTCAAGAAAAAGTGAATGATGCTGAACAAGACGCACAATTCAGAGCTGAGGAAGTATGTTGATTGTTTTTAAATTTAATTTTTCCCATAATTTATGATAAATATTGGCAAACACATTCTTGATGAAAAATACAATAGTTAAAGCAACACTCTGTGAACCTATAAATATAATTTATTAATTTCCAAATGGTTTCTAGATGACTGAACTTATAATACAATTAAGAGAATATGAAGAAGGTGTTTATGGACTTGCAGAAGCAAGGAATCAAGTGAAAGATCTTAAAAAACAATTGAAAATAAGAGACAGCCAGATTCTTAAATTAGTTGAACAAATAAATTTGTTATCACTCCAGGCAGGAGAAGAAGCAACAATTGATGTGTAAGTTCATTTTTTAATGGAAATATATACATACATAGAAAACAATTTAGCCATGTTTGTTTAATAAATCTTAAATAATTTTTTGAAATAAATTATTCTTGTTTAGTGAAAATTATGAGAAGTATTTTGAAGAGGAAGATAATAAAAGTAATATTGATATACAGACTCAATTGAGTGCTGTTCAACAGACAGCTATAAATCTTAGCGTGCAGGTATTGAATTTTTTTTTTTTTTAATTTATTTATTAAATTGAGAGCCTCTAAATCATTAAATTTGATAAATTTAAAATATTACATTTTTTTCTCCCTGTCAACTTTTTAAATAGAATTTCGAATTACGAGCAAAAGTGGCAAAGCTTAGTGAAGAATTAAAAACAAAGGAAGATGGAAAAAACAAAGAACAGGGTGAGTTACATTCATAATAATTTATAATAGTTTCCTGATAATTAAAAGTAAACATTAATTTTTATTTTTACTTACCTATATATGTAATATATTGTAAATAAATACACGTTTTGAGGTCCCCTGAGTCCAAATAATCAAGTCCCGCAAAATGGTCTGTGTGTATGTGAACAATCTAGCACAAAAATGAAAAGTCGCACAAAACTGATATTACGTATTTAAGATAGGTATATGACTTAGATGTTACATTAATTTTTTCCTTAAAATCGGCTAACCGGAAGTGCCACTTTATATCTATGGTGAAACACATTTTCATATATGTCTTCTTCTAAAGCACCTTTAATATGGTTAATTTAAAAAAATGTACTATCTTTTATTGACAGTAACTATAAAAAATGGCTAAATATGAAATTTGAAAGAATATGATAATTGGAAACTGGAGAAAAAAGGCTTATCTAGGTCAAAAATGAATCTCCGGAAATAATAGTCAGAATGTATACGTATAATATATCGTTGGAAAGTGGAGAATTTTAGAAAAAATAATATAAAATAAATTAAGTTATAGAAGGTAACGGAGAGTGAGAAAAAAATATAAATAATAATTTCTGAAAACTAACATTATTTAACATAAATTACATGTTTCCAAAGAAATTAAATGAAATTTTCTTAGTAAATGTAAACTTAAATTTTTTTTTTAGTTTGAAAAAGTATTTAAAATCCACCGAATCAAGGCAATGACATAGATTAAAATACTAATTCATTTTACTTATATGAAAGAAGAAATATAAAAATATTTCATGGATATGTTTATAACCTTAAATACATTTACTGTAGTTTAATAACATAGATCTTATATTATATTTAAATAAATAGGTATCTATCAAACATTTATTTAAAAAAATCATCAAATGCACCTTTTAGGTAAATAAATTAGTGTATAATTTGATGAATTTTGCCTTTTTGATATTTCAACATTGTCCACTTACTATTAGTGTGACACTTTTTGACCTATTTATGGTAGGCAATGGAAATCTCGTAAATTTCATTTTAGTAAACTTTACAATGGAAAATAACAGTTTGATAACTTATAATCCTACAATCCATAAACACTTATATGCATCCATAATCATTCATGAGCCTTTCAGTTGACAAAATGACTAACTCCAATTTCAACATTGCTTATTATTAATTTTAGTGATGTTTCTAGTGAGAAATTTACTCCTTTATTCGCAGTTCTATATTTCAACATTGCAATCACCTACTCTGGAATAAACTTACTCACTGTCTGTATAAATATATAAATTCTCCAACAAGAAATATCACTAAAATGATTTTACTGAAAAATGTTGAAATTAGAGTTTAGTCATTCTGTCATCTGAAAGGTATAAATAGCTCAGAGACTGAAGTTATGTGGTTTACGAAAACAGATGGAGTATCAAGATTTTTATTGTCAACCTTAGATATAATAAATAGAGTTTTTATTAATTTAATGATCTTAATGGTTTGCTCTCTGTAAGCTTTAAACTTTAACTCTGTTTAAAATGCACTTCAAAAAATTTATAACAGCCCAACATTACCAGAAAATAATTTCTATTCAAAGTAGAGCAGTAAGTGAACGTTGTGTGTTGCGCACACCAGATTTTTTTTGTGTTATAGAAGTTCATTTTTATGCTTTCATTGATTTGTGTGTGTGTGATGATGGATAATCAGTATATATTTTTTTTAAATATTTCTTTTATATACTTACTATATATTTAAAAATAAACTAATATAAGCAATTGAAAATATAACAAGGAATAAAAGATACAGGTTATTAGTATATGACCTATGGAAAAATTTCTTGAAATGGTTTAACTTAATTTTTTTTTTCTGATCTAAACTTTTATGTTTTATTTAAACTATTTTGATGCTAAAATTTGTATATATTTTAATGTTTAGGTAAGTTCACCTACTCTATCATTTTCAAATTATTTTCCATTTTTTTGTTTAATTATTCATGTTTTTTTTTTTCCTTCTTATCATAATATTGTCATTATAAACACCAATCCCCCATAGTTAAAATAAATAAAATTTTTATCAATATTTAGACACTCAAATAAAAAGCGCATATACCGATAAAATCTGAATTACATTTACATGTTTAATAAGGAAAAATAGAAGTAAATAAATGCTTCCATTGAAGAGATACATTAATTAAAAAAAATATAAATCAATTCTTTAAATATTAAAATAATATATTTTTTTTCTAACACCTATTGACTTATTGACTTTAGTTATTAGTCCTCTAGCAGCTATGGGGCTATTCTAGGCGACAGCTGTGATCATTTGGTTTTCTTATACTCGTATAAATGTCCAGGAAGCACGTGGTTTATAATAACCGGATGCAATCACTAATCACCCCCTCTTCATAAGGATGGTTGGCAACCTTTTGCAGACTTCTCCATCCTGTTGTTTTTTACTGGATAGAGTTAATGGCCCTGTGCCCATCCCCTAATCTGGAGGATCAGAAGCTATGTTGTTCGAAGACACAGGAGTCGCTCACCTTTCTGTGAATTTCAGGGTGGAGACATAACTGTCCCCATGCGGGAATCGGGCCGTCTTGGTCTTATCACTTATTTATTTTTATTTATTATTAATTATTGTTATATTTTATCTTTTTTTTTTGTTTTAAATCCCGTGAATGGGATTTAAGCTTGTAGCTTAAAATTTTTGCAGGTAACTTTACTCGCTTGACCACCGCGGCCCCCAAAATAATAAAGTTATATTTATATATTTTCAATATGTATAAAAATTAAAACCAATATTCTTAATTACAGATTTATCAGACAAAAAAGAGCTTGAAGACAAATTAAGGCTGGCAATAGAAGAAAATGAATCTCTTCGTAAAGGTTTACATGAAATTTTAGAGAGTATACAAAAACAAGATGGTAATAATATAAACTACTTAAAACATTATGGTGTTGGATTGTTGTAAATCTTATAGCACAGAGTAGATTAAATTTTTTTAAAGGTAAAACCAGAGTTGTAATCGAGTCGGAATGTTTAGAGTCACTTTTGGATGCTTTGGATGCAAGGCATGTTTCTGGCTGGTACCATCCTGCTATGAGGCTCCAAGCGGTTATTAACAAGCTACAAGGAAACAATGATGCACTTAGGTCTGAGCTTAGAGAATCTAGGTATGAAAAATCTCATATTAATAACAAATAATTGGAATTAAACTTATTTAAAAATTACAAACTCAGGATTTTACTTAAGCTGAGGGTTACTAGTATTCGGAAATTTGAATCAGAGTATTTTTCTGAAACCAAGAAAAACGTTTTATACCTCTATCAAAGGATCATTTTTATCATTTTATTTACAGCTCCCTGTGCTTTTATACAATTTTATTTTTTGAATACATTCAATTATAAAAAATACATACACATGTAAAAATACAAAAATAAATACAATCTGCATGTTTTTTTACTAGGTTTAGGGAGAGCTATTTCCAAGCTGAGCTTCAGAGTGCTATGATGCAACTTGGAGAGCTACAGGATAAATTAAAATTGTCTGAAATCCCAATAACTCCAGTACCAGCTCCTAGGACGCAGGTTGTTAATTTTTTTTTTTTCCAACACTATTGACAAGCTTCATGCTGGTGGTTTTAAATAATTATTTTTTATTCCTCATTTTGACCATTAGGAAAGGTTAGAAAAAATTGATAAGCCTTTAACAATGCAATATTAACAGCATTAATTTTGCAAATGTATTAATATTTTCAAATAATTTATTTCTTATGAAACATTAGTTATACAAAAGAAAAATGTAAAGTAAACATTATTCAGCGCGTATAAAAAAAAACTGAAAAGATAATTTAATTTTCTTTATAAGAAATAGGAGAAGAAATTAAGTAAAAAATCAGATTTAGATAAAAAAATGCATTACTTCTTATGAAGTATAAAGTTGCTTCAAATACAAATATCTACAAGTATTATCATACTGTTCCCTTTATTGGTTAGTTTTGAAATATTTAATCATACTTGGTAAAATATTATTACTTTGACAACTTCTTTTTCATTTTCTATATACCTAATTTAGTTTGATATTCTTCTCTTTCTTTTAGATTGACAAATCAGATATAGTAAGTACAAAGGAAACCATCGTAGGTGAAGATATTTTAAATGATGAAAAAGAGCAAGTTATTCCTGCAAGTGAAAAGCCTCCATCAGCTGGTGTCGAATGCAACCAAGCACTCAAAGTTGTAGTAGACACAACAGATGATGTAAATTTATCATCTCATGATTCCAAAAGTTCTAATTTTGTGGAGAAGGGTTTACAGACTGAAAGCTTAGACATTATTGAATCTGCAGTACAGACTGAACTAACAGCTAGTGATTTGACTTTGTATGAATTTAACTTTTTTTAAAACTTTTTGCAATTCAGTAATGTCAGTTTTTTTATTATTATTTTATTTTCAGAGAGCAAAAAGGAGGTATAGAACTAATTACAGAAAAGTTTCAACAAAATAAGGATACAAATAAAACTGAAAATTCTGAAGCATTGACTATCAATGATCAAGCAAAGAATGGAATAAAAGTTTTAGACTTGATTGACAAGTTTAATAACAAAGAGCAGGTACCTTCGGCTACAGTTGAAGAAAATAAAAAAGTACCACTTGTAGCTGTAACTGATCAAAAGATAATAATGGATTCGAAACCTAGCAACGGTGACATCTCATCAAAAATGAAACTTGAAGAAATGGAAACTGATCTCAAAAAGAAATGTGAAGAATTACGTTTGGAATTTGAAAACATCAAAAAGATAAATGAAACTGCCTTGCTAGAACTGCATAAAAATAAAGTAATTATAAATAACCTAGTAGTCAGATCAGTAGAATAAAATTTAAGAAATAATTTATGGAAAATAATAAACAAAAAATGTTACTTTAGGAACTATTATTCGGTGAGGTGAAAGCAGCCATGATAAAAGTAAATGAAGAGGTAAAATCACTAAAGCAAGTAGCCGAAAAACCTCAGCCGGTAATAAATGAGTTTGTAAGTATTGATTTATTTTTTAAAAGAAAATATTTGCATGTAGATTTGATGCCTATAGTCAAATTTAAAGAAACGGAGCAATGTTGGAAATGATCTACACTATAAATTGCTATTTTCATCATTTTATTGTGTTGAATAATTAAAAATCAAAATCAAAAAGTTTACCAATAATTATTTTATGGTATACAATAATTTGTTATCCATGTCATAAGCTGTAAAATTTAAAGTTACAGTATTTTGTATCAACCAACAAGAAAAATTTATAATTTATAATATGAAAAATAATAATAATTTATTTTTTAAATAAAATCACAAGTACTTTCATTATGTGACAAAATTGTGCTATCAAATGCTGAATGTATTTAATTGAAAGTAAACAGAGTATCGGAGATTTAGTTTAATTCATTGTCAAGCCTCTATTCATTTTATTGATTTTATAACCAAAATAAATTATCAAGTTTGTAATAAAACATATTAATTCATATTAAACTGGTAATCTGTTTAATCTGTTTTTTAGCAACGTATTATAATAAAAACAATAGGTTGGCATATTTTAATATAAATTATTTCTTTACCACTCGATAATTTACAAGAGTGATTTTATAAAAGGTATGATATAAGAGAACTCCACCAAATATGAAATATTTATCTGGGTCATATAGAATGAATAAAAAATTCAAATATTTCACTTTTAATGGTGTTTGACAATGTTTAATAAGTAGATTTTTTTTTATTTTCAAATATATTTTGTGGAAAAAGTAAATTCTTTTTATTTCTCTAAAAGTTGGGTCTAGTAGAGAATTTCCTTTTAAATGTTTCCTGATTTAGTTTATTTTTTACTCTTTGTATTTGTATTTATGTTATTTTATCCATTGTTCGTGTTATTTTCTATAGAAAATAAAGTAAAATTACTGTTGAAACATGGTTTAATGGTTAGTTACATAATTAATAATATTGTTGAATGGTTATTAATATATTTAGAGCTTTGATATTTCATATTATTTTAAAATTAATTGTAATAATTTAATTATGATGAAAAGATTATTTTATGCTTAGACCTTAGGTGCATTCAAAGAACAGGAGGCAAAACTCCTTAGTTATGGAATCGAGCTAGGAGATCTCAGAAGAGCTCTTTCTGAAAAGGACAGCTATATAGCATCATTAGAATCTAAAGTAAAATCTTTAAATTTGAAAATTGAAGAGGCTGGTGCTCAGAAACGTGAATTGGATGATTTGAGAGCAAAAGCACTAAAAGTGAGAAATAAACAAATATATAAATGTAATTTATTATTATTTGAGAAGCTTTTCCTAATTTATCATTGTTTACAGGAAACTATCTCCAGTTTACAACAGATCATTAACAAAAAGGAAGTAACTATAGAAAGGTATAAAGCTATGCTACAAGAAAGTAATACAGAATATGGTCAGCTGTTAGAAAAGTTTCACAGTTTAGAAAGAAGTAAAGAAAAAAATTCAACTCCCAGGTAAATTGACTTTAAAAATGGAAAAAATATATACGAATCATAAATTTTGTTCTTTTAATTCATCATCTTTATCCGTTTGGTAATGACTTGGCAATTTCAGGGAACCATTGGCTGAATCCAAATCAGTGTCCATTCTAATGGAAAAATGGATAGAACGAGTCCATGGTTTGGATAAAGAAATAAATAATCTCACCCATAGGCTCATTGAATCTACCAACCATTTGGAAGCAAGTAAAAAAGAAATTGAATACTGGAAAAATCTTGTTACAAGGTATGATTCATAACATAATCTTTCTTACATATAATGTATTCATAAAGAGAAATTTTTACAGGTAATTTATTTTTAATATATGTACATTTTATTTTATGTACATCAATGTTCAAGATCTTATTTATACCAAAAAAATCTTTTTAATTATAATCACAGACGGTTTTATGGAGGAAGAGGGAGGGAGAAGAGGCTTTCTGGTTGAAGCCCCTCCCCCTCCCTCTGAAAAATGGTAATATATAATCATGTGTTATGAAAAAATATTAAAAAATTATATTTAAAAGTATTACTGTTTGTGTAATTACATTTAATAGGACTTTAAGAATCATTTATAAACCATTTTATATAGTTTCTTTTTTTTTTACTTTCACTCACCTATGTATGTAATACATAGTAAGGGAAAGTATTGTGACCGGAAAAATTTTTGAATTGGATTTATTAACGGAAATACAGGTTTGGTAATTCCATGAATCCAAATAACCAAGTCCCGCAAAATGATCTGTGTGTATGTGAACAGTCTAGCTCAAAAATGAAAAATCGTACGATACTGATATTATATATTTATGATAGATATATGCCTTAGATGTGACAGCAACTTTTTTATTAAAATCGACTAACCTGAAGTGCCACTTTATATCAACGGTGAAACACATTTTTACAGTTTTCTTAAAAATGGCTCCAACAATTTTGATTAAACTCAGTGTATCATTGTATAATTAAGGGGTCTTTAATATCATTTAGCTCTTATAACCATTAATGTCACTTTACAGGGCTTAAATGCCCAATGTTCATATACATCTTCCTCTAAAGTTCCTTTAATATAGTTTAATTAAAAAAATTAATTCTCTTTTATTGACAGTACCTATAAAAAATGGCTAAATATAAAGTTTGAAAGAATATGATTATTTAAGATCCTATTTCATTGTACTTGTGTGAAAGAAGAAGTGAAATATAAAAATATTTCATGAATATATTTATAATCTTAAATGTTTTTACTGTAGTTTTATAGCTCTAGATCTAATATTATATTTAAATATTTACGTATTTATCATTCGTTCATTCCAAAAAATCATCATTTAAACTTTTAGAAAATTAAATTATTGAATAATTTGATGAATTTTTCTTTTGTGATATTCCAACAGTATCCACTTACAATTAGTGTGACAACTTTTGACCTATCTATGACAGGCAATAATAATTTTGTAATTCCATTTTTGTAAATTTTGCAATGGAAAATAATAGTTTAAAAACTAAGTCGTACGATCCATAATCAACAAATCATACAATCTGTAATCAACCATTGATACAATGAATAGGATTTTTGTTATTTTAATGGTTTTAATGATTTGTTAGCTGTAAGCTTTAAGCATTAGCTCTGTTTAAACTGCACTTCCAAAATTTTATAATAGCCCAACATTAGCAAAAAATATTTTCTATCCAAAGTATAGCGTTAAGTGAAAGTTGTGTGGGGGAGGGGGAGGAGGGGGGCAGGAGAAGGGAGGGGCTTCAGCCCGAAAATTTTTTATTTTTTAATATATATATATATACATATATATATATATATATTAAAAAATTTTTGGGCTGAAGCCCCTCCCTTCTCCTGCCCCTCTCCTCCCCCTCCCCCAAAAAAATCCTAGATCCGTTAGTGATTATAATTATATGTCTAGTCCATATTGATAGTATTAATGTTGACAAATTTTATGGACTCAATAGCTCATTCAATTAAAACATATTGTATTGTATCAATGAGCCAATCTAGACCATATTAAAGTTTATTAATTACCTATTTATAATTTCTATTTAAGTAATCAAAAAGAAATTACAAAAGATGAAGAACTTCTAAAAAAACAAGAAGAACTTGAAGAATTAAGGACCAGCCTGAAAGAATTAAAAGTAAGACAAACATAAAGATAAAAGAAATATCAAGATAATTGTAAACATTTATTTTAATTTATTACATTATTGAATTTGTACTTTTAGGAAGAAGCAGAAGTAGGTTTTCAAGAAAAAATAAAAAAAGAGAATTCTAAATTCAGAAAAAAGGAGGAAGAGTTAAACAATCTTATAAAAACACTGGAAAATGAAAATTCTAGAATAAAACATCAACTTAATATTAGGTTATTTTAAAAACAATTCGCAAGATTTTGTATTAAATGTTTCATATTGAAGACTTAATATATTGTTTGTAACATATAATTGCAGGTCAGCTAAAACATCAACTAGATCTTCAAAAAAAGAGACTGTTCTATTGGAAAAAATAAAAACACTGGAAGATGAATTAGAAAAAGCCAAATCACGGGAAAAAAACCAATTACAGATGAGAAGGGACAAGGTACGTTAGACTTTTTTTTCATGAAAATTCATTAGACTAAAAACAAAATAAAATCTGTTGTACACTCTCTGTAAAAAAACTGTATATATTCACAGTTCTGCCTATGGACAGTTCCTGGCTATTGGCCACTGTCCGTTGGAACTGTGAATGATGAGACAGTCAATTGGCTGAATGAGATAGTCCAACTTGTGCCTGGAGACTAAGCGAAAATCACTCAACAATAGGAAGGGTTCTTCAATTTGTCATCAAAACAGAGATTCACACCTAAAAGACCAGGACAAGTTGACCACCATGAGAGAGGATACATCCATCATCAGGCTCTGTAAAACTGCAACAACATTTTATAAGATAAAAAACTTATAAAAAATTTTTTTGGATTAGTCCATAATATCTATTTCTACCAGAATTGTAGGAACAATGAAAATGACTTTGGAGCCTAGCACTTTGTTCATGGATCGCTTTTTATCATAGCTCAAGAAATGGCAAAGCTTCAGTAGGCCTGTGAACATGCCCATTGGACATTGGTTGACTATTGAGATATATCTGTTGAGGAAAAATCTTTACTCTAACGATCTCTGTTTGCAGATGAAGTAAGAGCTTGTCTTAAATTTTCAGATAAGCTAAATTTCATATTGAGATGCTAAGGGATGGGTATACTGTATGGTTCTTGAAGTGGTATTCCATGATAGCTTTTATTGATGTTGTGGATCAGCATTTCTTATGATGTAGTTGAGTGAGGCTAACCTCTAGCTTTATAGAGTTTCTTGCTAGAAATAATCAAGGAATATTCAGTGACATTTGTGAAAGATTGTTGCTTATGCAGGATAGTATCAGGCCCAATAGAGCTTGAATTTTTTATGACTACCTGAATGAGGTCAAGATTAAGTGATTAATATGGTGTAACGACTTGAATACAAAGACAGAACCCAGTAAAGTTAAAGAGTTGAAAAAATGTTTCTTCTTTATGAATAAAAAATTATTCCACAGAATTTGAATTAAAACCTTTTCCAAGTAATGAAAATTGTTTAATAGATTCGTGCTGGAGGTGGAAATACTCAATATTGATCTTAGTCATTTTTAAAAAAATAGTGATTTTTTTTTTAAATTATCTGTATGCTATATTACTCATTTTTGTTTTAAATTAGGATTTTAACATTATATTTTTGAAAGACTTATAACTGAAATTTGAAATATCAATAAACGTATATAATTTAAAAATTTAAAGTTAGTTAATAAATTGTATCTATCAGTTTGTATAAATATATGAAACCTATCATAATATAAAGATACAAGAGACATTTTTGTGGACTTGTGTTTTATAAACTATATGGATAATTTTTTAAGACTTTGATTTTGTTACCATAACCCTTGGCCCTATCTATATCCAATAGTGATATAGAAGAACACCATGCCTTTAATTTTTGTTCAAAACCCAAATTCTTGATAATATTATTAGTATTACTTAAAAATCATAATTTTCAGAAAGAAAAAAAAGTTGGTTGATTAGTTATTGCACATTTAGATTCTTTTGTTAATATTTTTTCAAATGTTTACATTGTAGAGAATATATCAGACTAATTTTTGATAAAATGTTCTTTAATAACAATAATGCATGATTTGCTCAGTGTGCTGATGAAGTGGCTAAATGGGAGGAGAAAAAGAAGTTACAGTCAATGAATGAAAAATACAAACAAGAGTTGAAAGACAAAGGGTCCCAAATAGAACTGTTTGAGGGGCAGATTTCCAGGCTCAAGGTAATAATTGCTAGAATGGAAAGGGAAAGAATTTCTCTACAAAGGAGGCTTAAAACCAGTGAAGGTATATGTTTTCAAAAATATTAGTTGAATGAAAAAAAAAATACAGTTTGAAGAAATTAAAATTATTTCATGTCTAGATTTGCTTTCAAAATATATGTCAGCAGAAGAAAAAGCACATGATTTCGATGATAAATCATTTATCACTGATTCAAGAGCTGAAACTCCTCCAGTTCCTGAACATTCACCAAGGTATAAATAAAGATATAACTTTGTTAAGTTTTATTTTTTATCACTGTAAATGTATTTTACAAACCTACTAAATATATATATATATATATATATATATATATATATATATATATATATATATATATATATATATATATATATATATATATATATATATATATGTAACATTGTAGTTCGATCCTTTTTCATGGCCTTTATATATTTTGACAAACACAGATCTCTTACAAAATAAAGAGAATTTCATGAATATATTAAATTTTAATTTTGATTCTCGAATTTGTACAGCTTGAATACTGTAATTCAAATTAGTTTAAAAATATAAATGATCTATACTTTGTGGTCCTAAGTCAGTTGATTGAGATAGTACTTGTCAGATTTTAATGATTTTGAGGTGGATATTAAGACTAGGCAAGAACATCAATTCTCAAAGAAATGACCAGATCCTGTGTTTTAAAGTCCTAAAATCTACCATTCATGGAACAATCGGAGTCCATCTTTTTTCTATTGAGAGCCTCTTAGGTACCCTATTATATTTATCATGTCATTGCCATAGTTTAAGTTTTCAAATATTGAAATAATGCTATTTATTATGTTGTGGAAACTATAAATTAATCATCCTGAGATCCCTTGGACAATTCGGATAATAAAGTTTATATTTTTGAAATACATATTCATAACAATCAAGATTTTTCATTCAAATAATTAAATTTTTATGATAATTAATATCACTATAATTGTAATGAAGTTCTTATCCAGTTCCTGGCTTCTATATCGAGAAGTACAAACCAATGATTCTGCACTTTTGGATCAATTCAATATGTCTCAATGAGTACAATACTGGATGATATAACTTTATGGATATCTGATTCTTATCGCTTAATTAATAAACTGAAAGGATATTTTTCAATGGGGTAAGATAACTACTTAATAAGTATACTGTGACTTCATCTGAGTCACTAGAGCTTCAATAATTGTATGTGTTGAATAAACATTCTTGATAATAATATATTGTTCATATGTAGTAAACTATTTCCTTATATCACTTCAACTTTAAATTCATTACGAAGAAGAAGTTACTATATTACTAAATTTGTTAACGAGATTGGTTGTCATTCATTGACCAAGATTTGCTTATGTGAATACACCTTTAGGCTGGGACATTTGTTGACTGTTGTCCTAAACTTCTTAACTCTTTTTAAAGGAACTTCAAGGGCATGTATAATTAATTTAGAGAAAAAAATTTCTTGGGACAAAGATAAAAGATATCGAAATACAGTTCTACATAATTTTAAGTAGTTTTTGCTTGATATTGAATATTGAAGATATTTTAAATAGGCTTTTCCTGTGTTGCACAAAGTGATTTGTTTAAGAATTTTTTTATGCCCACACGCATAACAATGTCACCCCTTCCAGCCCCTCCTATCACCAAAACAATCATTTCCTTAGGGTTAAAATATCAATGCAGAAAATTAATATATTATAAGTTCTCAGTTAAGATGTTTTTTACAATTGTGGATTAGTTTGAATTTAAAAATAAAATTTTATTCAGATTTTGCCGCTTTTCAAAAATTGCTACCCCATGCTAACTCTGTTATGCCTTAACGTCAATACATTTACAAATCCACCATAGGTGTTTTGTGTCACCATATCTTTATCTGAAATCTCAGGTAGTTATATTTCTCAGAGTCAACTCAAAGTCCATATGAAATATACTACAACTCACGCTTGTAGTAATTTTTCAGTAGTTAAAAACATTAATTTTTAGTCATAAAAGCATCTTTTATTATTATTATTTTGCCTATTTACTTTTGATTTTAATGAAGAATTTTATTTTCTGATCAAACTTTTTTTTAACGTTAATATTTATTTTTTAGATCACATTTAGAGTCATTGAACAGTGATCTTCATGACCCAGTAAGTTGAAATAAACCAATTTTTAACTTATTTTGACTACAAAAGTTTTTATAATTATTGTTTATTTTAGAAAATAAAAATGCAGAGCAGAAGAGATTTAGTTAGAGCAGTAACAGCACTTAAGAAAGTTATCAGTAAATTGAGATCTCAACATTCTAATTATTATCATAAGGTAACTTATGAATAATTGTTATCATAATTTAGACTTAATTCACAATGAAATAGGTGATTTTAGCTCAGAATGGGTGTTAAGTTAATTTTAAATCATATTAGAAAACCATTTGTTTAAAAGTGTAATAAATATTTTAAAAAATTATTATGGCTGGTAAACATCATGTAGAATCTGTAATTTGTAAATTATATATTTGTATTAACTAAACACCAAAGCATTTTAAATTAATTATAAAATAAATTAATTACTAAATATAAAATTATGCATATCGTTGTAAATTGTTATCATTTTATCTTAGGATTACGTGGAAAGGCTACAAAATGAACTTCAGAAGACAGAAAATAACTATATGGATGCAGTGGAAAGAGCATTATCATTAGAAGAACAGCTTCGGGAATCTGAAGCAAAACATCTAGGCCAGACTTTTATTGGTAAGCTCCTATCCTATTGTAACTGTTGATTTAGCTAAAAAATGTCATTAGTAAATGATAATTATATTTTCAGTTGGAGGCCAAGATGATAGGACTGAAATAATCTTTCTCAAAGAGCAATTAGCACAGAAATGTGAACTATTGAGTAAAGTAAAAATACTTCTTCAAAGAGCCATTTTGAGAGAAAAACAATTAATTCAACAGGTATGAATGCTACATTGTAATAATGCTGAATATTTAATGTTTTCTTAACTGACATTTTTTAACTAAATAGGTAACATTTCTGGAAAAGCTAGTGCCACCTGAAAAACTGGTGCATTTTCATGAAGAAGCAAGGGAGATATGAACTTCATACCTATAGAAAATATTCATTTCTTTCAAAGCTCAACTTAAATGGTATTAGAAAGGCTTATTCTAGGTTTAATATAATAGAATATAGATAAGTATTTCAGTGTTATTGGGATTACATCCCTTAAATATGACTTACTAATTGAAATAATTATATTATTTTTAAAATACTTAAACATAACATGTACACTTAGTTTCTTCATTATACTGTGTTATCCTTAGGAAAATAAATATTTTGTTCTAATTTTATAATTATACCTCCATAAATTAATTTTAAAATGAGAATATTTATCTCAAAGAAAGACAGTTATTATGTACTTAACCATAGTTACTTAAATTATTTAACTATATGGTATTGGCAGTAACAATAGCTATTTTAATATTTTTGTTATTGCTGTACACACCAGTAAATAATATGTTGACATTTTAATTGTTTGTTAAACTTTAATTAGTGGTTAATTATCAGTCTCTGCATTATATGTTATTTTTTTTATTTCTAAAAGCAGATTGTTTCTTTTGAAGTTATTCCTGCTTAATTTAAATTAAAAACTTTTTATGAGTGATGCTTTATAAGCCCGCTGTAATATTCAAAACTCAATTTTCAAATTAACGATATAGCAAAATAGTAAGGTCACTATTTTAATTTTACTAATTGCTTTTTAAGATATTATTAGTATAATTATAAATATGACAATTAAATATTTTAAGATTCACTAAAAATCTATTTTATTTCGAGAAACTGTTAGATTATAACAAGGGTCTCCAAACTTTTTGGCTCGCGGCCACATAGTGACGTCCAATAAGTCCCAATGGCCTCATTGAGGCCTTAATTGAGTTCTCTAGGCCATGGTTTATGATAAAAAAAAAAAAAAACTTATTGTATTAATGACATTTCAGTTCTGATATGAGTTTTCTAAGAGAAACAACTGATGCAATAAATGTTGCAGTAACCTCGTGTTTGAGTTATTTACTAAATTTCACATTTTTTTATATTTTACCATGGGTTGCATTGGAGGTGCTTGTAGTTGCCAGATCCGGCCTGTATGTCCTTCTTGGATTACACCAAATACAGTATTTTGAGACCTCTGGATTACAGTATAATCATATCATAGCAATGGTATATCATTAGGTTCTCTTTACAATATAGCCGACTGCACTCAGTCGAGCCCTAGACAATTGGCAAAATTGGTTTAAACTGTTAATTTTTTTTATCAAAACAGTTACTAAAAAGATGAATCGTTGTCTCTTTCATAAAACATATAGTTAAAAATTAAGTGATGTGGCTTTGGTATGGTTTGAGGCAGAAGGAAAAGCTCCCTAAATTTCGGAAAATTTTCAAACCAACAAACTGTACATTGCTGATTAAGGGCTTTAATACCACATTTATTTTCTAAAGAAAAAGACAGCTTATGGAGACCAAGAAAATAAATATAAACAAAATTGTATATTCTGATCAAACTAATGTATAATCAAAATGAATCCGAGACAAATATATCATTTAATCAAAACTAAAAAAAAAACATTGCTAGGTGAGAAAGAACATTTTAAAAAATATTTTAAAAACCCCTGTTTGGATTAATCAAACTTTCTTGTCTTGGGTGTATCGTTTATATGGAGTCCATTCTTAAATGACTAAAATTGTATATATTTAACCAATTTTAATCTTACTTAATATGTGTGATTAAAATATTTGTATGTGAACAAACAAATGTTGGTACCAACAATTCTACGGATCCCTAATGTGACAAATTGTTTTTCTATATGATATGATTAAAAATAATTTATTAGATATCTATTGTTAAATAATTATAAGTCTTATAGCTTCCATAACAATTTAAGTTATCATTAATAATAATAATTGTTATCTCAAAATATATACAAGAAAAAATAATGAATGTTATCATTTATCATTTTTCATTATGTATATGAACAGAATAATAAGTCCCAAGTGTAATGGATATTTATGAAATAGAATTATAGAATTTCTATCATTGATTTTCCTTACAACTTCAAGAAAAATAAAATGTATCATGGTGGTTGAGACAAAACATAGATACTTGTGAAATTGTTTCAACTAATTTTTTGAAAATGTTGGCAATGTCTTAATATTTATTGTGATCATGATTCTTTTTTATCAGTAATAATAAATTACCAAGAGATAATCTACTTTATTCAACCTCATCTCATAAGTTTCCTTTATCTTTGTAACTTTTTTTTTAAATTTCCATCCTCATTTAATATTTAGCCAATTATAATGAAGAAAAACATTTCTGAAGCTCTTTTCAATCTCTTATCTGCCTGTATATATTTTTTAATTTCTTTAATAATAATATATTAAAATATTAACTTAAGTTGTATCCATTCATCAAGAACACTTCTAAAATTTAAAAATAAAACAATTCACATCATATTTCATTAGTTAATATTTATTTATGTTTTGTATTGTTTTCTAAGTATTGAAAATAAGCTTTTTCTTTTTTGGAGATCTGAAGTCCATTATAAAATATGAAATTTTGTAGATTTTTGATTTATTGATTTCATAATCTCATTAGTCACTATGACTTTGAAATTGATAAGTAAAGGATAGCTTTTTTTTTTTTTAGTATCATGGAGTGATCCGTTCAGTTAAATTACTTACCTTGATTCCGTGTTCAGTTTTATATCTTTTTATCAGTTGACCTTGTAGTAATACCAAGCATTATTTATTCAGTTAATTCTCTCTTGTAGAATGATTGTATATGCAGGCAAGATGAAACAATGTTTTTGCCTGACATTATATTTACTCTCAGGTAAATAAGATTTTATGTAGATCAGTCAATAAATGGTAAATTATTTAAGTGATTTAAGTTTTAATATGTTTTCCTTCCATTGTAAATATTGGAGAAGAATTGTATATTAACTAATTTTTTGTGTTTTGTTGCATGGTACCTCCATAATTCATGATTTAATGTGATTCACAGCTTATATTCAGGATCAAAAGTCTTCATAAACTATAGTGTATGACATATAAAACCTTTTAATATTAAAATAAACAATTTAGTATAAAAACATATAAATAAATAATTCAAAATGATGAATGAATAACATGAGTCCAAAGTATTTGCTCACTTCATAATTATCATTTAAAATTTATTCTAATGATGTATTAAATTTATAATACAATTTTTAACATTTAGTGGACTCTTCTGGGTTTTAGTATGCATTCTAGATGGTTTGTCATTAAATTAACTAATTTTTGTGCCAATAACACAGAATTTTCTACCACTACTTAATAGTCACAATGATTTTTATATTATGGAAATTAGAAATATTGTTTTTTTTTACTTGATCTTTCAGATGGTGACTGAGGTGGGATTCCTATCCAATTTGGTACATTGCAGAGGATCCACATGTTAGTTTGGGTTTGTACCAAGAATTGAACTTGGGACCATTGTTTTGCTAAAAAAATAACTTTCCCTTTTTACCAAATTTTTCTTTTTAATTTCTTCTTTAAATGTACACATATTTTATCTGATTTATTATGCCATTTATAAATTCAAGCAATCCCATTCCAGTTACTTTCAGTGGGTGACCCCTCCATGTTTAACAGTGGGTACTGTTTTCCTTGTCTCCATTACTGCATTTCTTTTCCACCTCACTGTTTTACTTCCATGATCATCAAACAATTCAATTTTACATCCATCAGGAAATATTACGTTTCTCAAAATTGCAGCTATCCTTTTTAATATAATCTTTGGCCCCTTTTATGTTTTTTACTTTCACTTTTTTTTTTTTTGAGTCCTCCCCTTCCTCGCCTTTAAGGCTATAGGGGATTCTCCCGGGCCAGGGAGTGTGGCCGGGAATTTAAAAGACTCCCCCGGCACCGGGATGCGAACTCTGAACTATTTTTCATCGTTATCTCATATATCATGTTGCCGGGCAACGGCAGTGCTGTGCACACTCGTTAGCCCATTCGGCCACCTCGACCCACTACTTTCACTTACCTATATATGTAATATATAGTAAGAGAAAGTATTGGGAAAATTTCCGAATCTGAGTTTTAAATGGAAATACATGTTGTGAGGTCCCTTGAGTCGAAATAAAAAAGTCGTGCAAAATGGTCTGCGTGTGTGAACAGCCTAGCTCAAAAATGAAAAGTCGTACAAAATGGAAATTATATATTTAAGGTTTTTATATGGCAGTAACTTTTTCGTTAAATTGGCTAACCGGAAGTGCCACTTTATATCATCCATTTTACAAATTTTTACCATTTTCTGAAAAATGGCTTCAACTATTTTGATTAAACTCGGTGTATTAATGCATAATTAAGTAACGTTTAATACCTAGTAAGTAATGGTTCATAGAAATATTCCTATTAATATCACTCAACAGGGCTTAAATGCCCAATTTTCAAAATGTCTTCTTCTAAAGTACCTTTAATTTGGTTTATTTTAAATAATTAATTAAATCTTATTGTTAGGAGTTATGAAGAAAGACTTACTTTAACTTTTGAAAGAATTTGATATTTGAAGCTTACCTAGATTAAAAAGAACATCCTGAAATAATAGTCAGAAGGTATATGTATAATAAATCATTGGAAAACAGAGAATTTCAGAAAAATATAATATCTAATGAATAAAGTTGTAGAAGGTAAGAAAGAGTAACGAAAAAAATATAAATAACAATTTCTGAAAACCAACATTATTTAACGTAAATAACATGTTTCCAAAGAAATTAAATGAAATTTTCTTGCTAAATGTAAACTTTAAAAAAAATTTTAAGTTTGACAAAAAGTATTTAAAATCCACCGAACTAAGGCATTAACATTGTTTAAAAAACTATTTCATTGTACTTGTGTGAAAGAAGAAGTGAAATATAAAAATATTTCTTGGATATGTTTTTAACCATAAATACACTTACTGTAGTTATAATTACTCAAGATCTGATATTAATTTTAAATAATAAGGTATCTATCATCCGTTTATTCTGAAAAATAATCATGAAAACTTTTAGAAAATTAAATTAGCAAATAATTTTCCCTTGGTGATATCCCAACATTATCCCCTTATAATTAGTGTGACAACTTTTAACCTATCTATGACAGGCAATGTAAATCTCGTAATTCCATTTTAGTTAACTTTTCAATGGAAAATAACAGTTTAATAACTAATAGTCGTATAATCTATAATCAACAGATCATTCAACCCACAATCAACTGTTGATATAATAAATAAGATTTTTGTGATTTTAATGGTATTAATGATTTGTTAGCTGTAAGATTTAAGCTTTAGCTCGATTAAAAATACACTTAAAAAAATTTATGATAGCCCAACATTGCCAGAAAATATTTTCTATTCAAAGTAGAGCGGTAAGTGAAAGTTGTTTGTACCAGATTTTTTTTTTACAACCAAATTTATAAGACTTTTTTTTTTGGCTTTTCTGCTTTGAGTTACATTATTTTGTAAACATCATTGCATGATTAGAACACTCACCTGTTTCATAAAAATGTTCCTCTACTAATTTAGGTTCTAATCAGTGGATTATTCACACTTTTCTAGCAACCTTTCTTGCATACCTTTGTGGCATGAAAGTAAAGTTTCAAGGGAAATGGTCCACATGAATTCATATTCTGCATTGCTCCACCTTTACAGTAAAATGTGGGTCAGTTAACCATTTTTCTGATTTCTCAGAATGATTGGTACTCATTATGTAAGCATACAATAGTTTTCCTTACTACCAAAATCCGTTTCACTAGATTTACATACCATTTTAGTTACATATACAACAGCAAGAGTAATATGTGAATCTACTGAGGGATAGGTGGATATTGATAAAAGTTATAATATAAATTAAATATATTTATATAGTAAATTTAGAAATATAAAAATGAGGTGTAATAAATACTTTTGTCACCTGTTGTAAATATATTATTATCAATCATTCATTTATACTACAATGTTAAACAGTTTATCCAATCAAAAATATATTTTTAATTAAATAATTGATGTGAATATCAATTGGTTTTATCATTTTAAAATATCCCTGCTAATAATAGCTACACATTTAATTATTTATGTATTAAAACTGGTGTACAAATACTTTTGACCCTAACTATAAGTAAAAAAACTTAATTGGTGAGAAAAGAGAAAAAAATCAGACAAAATATTTAAATAGAGAAATCTTAATGAATAATAATAATAAATAACAAAGTAATGGTTAACAAAAACGTAACTTACTTCCTTTACTCCACAAAAATATGTGAAGGAAGAATCATCTATTGAGATATATTTAGTTTTGTGATTTTGAAAAAATTTGCAGTCATCCACAGTGTCTCGAAATAAGTGGCATCCAGTATTACAGTGGCATGCGTTAGTATCTATTTATGAAAACATTAAATGCAGTAAATATTTTGAATACCTATTTTCTGTTAAGAATAATGTCAATTTGTAGCCAGTGATTTTTATTTTTCGATAATTTATAAATACCTTTGTATGAAATATCTCAGTAATTTTTAAAATTCATAAGGCACTGAAGGTTAGTAATAAAGTAACACAATAATAATAAACAATCTACATTTAAAATTCTATGTTGTATAATTAAATATGAATGTGACTTTCTAAAAAAAAAAAAAAATTGGTTTCTGTTTAAAATTGATATATTTTCATTTCTTTCAATATAAATATAAGGTTCCTTAACATTTTTTATTGATTATTATGGCTTAGTTTTCAAAAATACATTTTTGCTGAATTTTTTTTAGGAATTACTTCTTTATTTTAATCTCAAGAGGTAGATTATGTCTATATCAACTTTCTCTATCGCCCCCACCACTCAAAATATTTAATTGAAATATATGGATCCCTAGCTTGAGTTACAGACAATTAGTGGAACTTTTATCATCTTTAATTTGGTATGTCCAATTAATTATTAATAATGTATATTTCTAATATTATAGTATTATCAACTATCAATGTTCATAAAAATAATCAACCTAAAGTTTCAAATAACCTTGAATGATATTTATTTAGTAGTCCTGTTTCTTTTTTTACTTTTACGGAGGATTCTGATTAAATCTATGATATAATACATTTTTAAAATTTGATTAAGAAAATGGTAATACTATAATATGGTTAAATAATATTCACATCAATCAACACTTAAATAATTTTTATCTAAATATTCTGTGTTATATGATCTTTTTTGAACATGTTCCAACAGTTAAAAAAACTCTTGTACAAAAGAAACTGATTTAGAGAGCCAAAACTATATTATAAATAAGATATTTAAATAAAGATTTTTTTAAACAGTTTCTATTAATAAAATCTGTGTGGGAATAAATAGTTCTTTTATTCCTTATTATAATTTGAATGATATTAGAAACTGGTATAATAATAAAGTGAAACAAACAAAAAAAAAAAAAAATCAACAGAGCCAAATAACAATTGAAATTCAACCAAGTATATATATTATATATATTATATATATATATATATATATATATATATATATATATATATATATATATATATATATATAACAAGAGAACTTGGTGAGATTAAATTATATTATAATAAACTTACATCAACCTCCTAAAGAAAGAAAATAAAGATTTATATTAAAATGTATTAATACGTAATGTTCCTATTTTTATTAATTAAATCAATGAAAATATATTTGTAATCTAAAATCTGTAAAATTGATTTCCTTTTTAATAAACTAATAAGTAATAAAAAGATAATTTGGAGCTAATATAAGACTTTATTAGAGACCATTGAAAGTTAAGGTACAAAGTTTAATATAAAGCCAATAGATGGCAGTAAAATGTATATTTCACCTAATTCTTCATTTAGATTCGTTTCTGTTTTGACTACAGTTAATTTCATAGAGAAAGTGGTAATAGTTTACATGATGCCCGCAGCTTTTTGGGCTGGGGTGGGGGCGCTTATCCTCAATGACAGTTCCTGGTTAGGTTAGATTACCCGCCTAGCAGTTGTTGCCCCCACTACTCTTCTCCTTTCCCCTACTTTTTGAAATTCCCGCGACTACCCACCATCCTGCACTTCAAGTTAATTTTTGACAGTATCCAGTTCCTAGTTCCTCTACATACATATTTTTTTTTAAATCCTACCATTCTCCCACCATCATCAATTTCCAGTCATTAATTTCATTTGCATTTAATCTTCAACTGTTAGTTGTTATTTCATTTCTGGTGTCAGAAATGATTTTGTTCAGTTTCATTGTTAAAAGATATAAATGAAACAATAAATAGTTTAATAATGTTAAAATATATTGAAAATAAAAAAACAGCAATGTTTTACTTAAAACAACTACACAATTCTATTAATAAAGACTTTGAAATGGGAGAAATACCTAATAGCTTTTATTTATCCATCATATTCCCTGTTCATAAAGTAGAGGATAAGAATGACACAATGAATTACATGGGCATCAAGTTTGAAAACCCAATAGTTAAATTATTGGCTTACTCATTAATATCCAATAACTAGTTAAAGAATATAGGCAGCATTTAGGAAATATTATTCTATTAAAATCTTACTTATTATAATTATCTTAAATTTGCTGAAGAAAGACAATAAGGCACATGTTATACTTTGTTTGATATATTTTGTTATCTGCAATTATTATAGAACTAAACATATAGTTCACTACTAGGCATTATATTACAAATTGTAACACAGGAGTATCAATCAAAATTGTTAAAATAATAATGAGCTTAAACCTTAAACAAGCAATGAAGTCAATAAGGATTGACAGAACTCCTTGAAATATTATTTGGGATACAGTATGGGAATAATGTATATTATTGTAAACATTAAAATTGTATATCACATAATAAAATGTTATTATTATTAGGGAATAATTGAATAGGTTATATTAAAAAATGACACATTTATACCACTTTTGAGTTGAGAGCTGTTCAGGGTGCATTATTCGCAGAAGCATCTTTTAGTAACAGAAAACACATTACATAACTAATGTAAAGATTGATTGTTTATCCATACATTTGTATCTTAAAAATAGCACATTTGTCATTTCACAAATAACCAATTTAATGTTAGTATATTTCTTTTCAGTGGGTACATTAATGATATAGAGGATTGTGTTGCAGGAGGAGTGAATGTCATATCATTAGGATAGTGTGTACTTAAGCCTTCATTGCTTTTATGCCAGATAGACTTCAACTTATGATTATAGATTTATAAAACTATTGTGATTAATGGAATTTACATTTAATCGGGAAGAGTTTAAAATGATGATATTCAGAAAAGGAGAGAGGTGTAGTAGTCCGGGAGGACCCAAGTTGCTTCTAGTCGCGATGCGATGGTGGGAAAATACTTTCTCAGGGTTGCTCCTTTTGGAGTTGTCAACCACCCCCAGTTCCACTCTTCTACTGTATCCTCCCAGATAATCCTTTTCCAACTCCTACGATCTTCTTCTATTTTCACTTGGAGATACTATGGACACCGTCCTGTACGATCTGGTGACTTGAAGCAGAGCCATTTTGACTCCAGGCAGGGGCTACTCAAAATAAAACCTTTATAAATGCTCACAGTTTCTAGGCATCTGAGACCCCAAAAGGTGCCCTCTATACAACTGAATCTGTTAAGAGCTATGGTCACTCTACTTTTCAAATAGTCCAAATAAGCTATCACTTCGAACTTTTTTCAAATCTTAATGTTGAGGTATTGTTGATCTTTGATCATTGCATAACAATCATTTAAAGAAATTCTTCAACAAATCATAATTTATCTCTTTAAAAACTTATCAGGAAAATTCACTTAAATACAAGGATTTTTCTTTAGTTCACTACATGAGCCATTGAATACTAAAATGGTTTAAGTAAAAAACTGAAGTTTTGAATTAATCAAATATTATGGAGAAATTCAACAAATTAATAATAAATAAATTCAATTTATTTGTTAAAAATAATCTGTCTCTAGCATATCCAATCAGTTAATGCACTTAATACTTAATTAATTATTTATTATAAAAATTACTTACACCACTTTTGCAACCAGTGCTTCTATGTTACAGTTTCAATTCATAAAAATTGTTGTATTCTTAATTTACGTGTAAAGTCTTCACAGAAAACTTAATAGAATTAAGAAATATGGAAATTAGAAATTACCATATTACAAAAATTAACCAAGAACACATAAATTTAGAAAAACTCTTGAATCTACACAAACTATAAAGAATATTTTTAAAAATTAGTGCTTTACTTCTTAATAAATAAAAATTCTACTTTATTAAATGGAATAAATACCATGGGTCATTCCTTTCCATATCATACAGGGGTGGGTCAGGACACCCAGTACAGTTTTTAATGAAAATTTTATATTTAGGAAGCGAATACACACATAAGAAAAAAGTGTCAAATTTTACCTACTTATAATAAGCAGTTTCATATTTGAAAGTAAGAGATTCGAACTTTTTTGGAAACAAATTTGAGCTGGAACTAGCATGTTTGCATCTTTGCTTCTCTAAGTAAAGTAGTATTTATTGAACTAAATTCTTGAAAATGTATTCATTTGTTCTAACATGTTTGGAGAATTGGATGATACCAAGATTAAGATTTTCCTAGCCTATAATTATTTTTTGATATAAAAAATGAAAATAATTTCAAAGTTGAAATACATGATTGGAAAAATATCTTTATCTAAAGTCTATGCAGATTATTGAAGATGAATGAGGTTCTATTGAAATTTTTTCTGTATGCCCTCCCCTCTAGAAAAATAACCAAAATTATCCTTATCTTTTTCCCGTAATATTTTTTCTCAACTCTCTCATTCATTACGCTAGTTCAATTAGTAAAATATATTAATTAGTTCAAACTTTCCCTGTACATCTATTTAAGGGGTGCCCATCCCCTCCAAGGTCGATGGCGCATGAACCATCCCACTCTCTCCAAAAATTGTATTTCACTCCCCTTCTTAAAAGCAATGCAAGTGAAAGTAAGATTAGACAATTCCAAGATCATATACAATTACACCTGGAGTGGTATGTCCCATGTTTCTTCCCAATTCTCTGTTTTGAAACTTTTCACTCAAAAATTCAAAATCCAGTCAACATGTGCCTCCTTAAAAATTTTGATGGCGCAACTTGTGGCATGAAACTCCCTTCTGGGCACCCCTGTTAAGGGACACAGGCAGACTAAGAAATGAGGGTTGTAAAAGCAACATCATTATTTACTTTTAAGGTTCTTTCTGTGGTGTAAGAATAGATTATAGAAAGAATAATGATCCAAAGTTTGTTCAATGTAAACAACGAATTCTCTGAAGTATATTTTGTGCTCCACAGCAAAATGAAACTAGTGAATAGAGAAATGAGACGTCTGAAATTACTGTAATTTTTCAGATACGGAAAACCTAACTAAGCCCAAATGAAAAATTGAGAGTTAAATTCCAAATGATATTGGTTATACCACTTCTTTACATATGGCAACTCAATTTTTCAAGTTTTAGTGACTATTTTACCTTAATTTTTCTACATAAAAGGGATTTTTTTTCCGATCTTGATCTTGCAAAGTGCATGACCAAGACTGATTTTGGACAACACCAACTATTATAAATCCACTATTATTACAAATTTAAATAGTTCAAAATTTGATCCTCGATCAACAGATTCATTTCTGATCATTGATATAAAATATTTTTTATGAAATGGGTTACCTCTTACCATAATGTAGATATTGCATATTGCATCTAAAATAGAAAAAGTTGTTCATTTTACTTTTAAGCCTGGTGGTAGGAGAGTATTTGTTTCAGAGTGGTATAACTTAGTTTTTGTATAATTTGAAAATTTCTATTTACCAATATCAATACACCTGTTATCATTGAAATGGAATAATAATCATAATATGATAAATTGTAATAATGTTTGTCACACCTGAATTTTCCATTAGTCCAGAATATAAGCTTTCCCTAGTTTTATTTATTTTTCAATACTTTTTTGGGAAATTAGAGGTTGTTGGCTATAATATATTTTAAATTTTATCACACTAGATATACCAAGTAAAAATAACTAGTAGTGAAACATAAAACTGTAAGGATAAAATACAATCAACTATCAATTGATTGAAAAAATATCCAAATTAACTTGAAATAGAAAACATTTTTAATCAACAAAGGAATATAAAAAACATTAGATAAAACAGAGAATATTTATTTATTTACAAAGGAATTTCAATTTATAAATGCTGCACATATACATTTACAGATTTACTGCTAAAAATAGACATATGAGAGAAATTCTTTTTACCAATTGAATTTATCCTAAGTCTAAATACAATAAACCCCTTAATAGACATATGAGGGAAATTCTTTTTACCAATTGAATTTATCCTAAGTCTAAATACAATAAACCCCTTAAGAATCCTTGTCATTATCTCTAATAATAATGTGACAATTAATTATGTGTTCTTCATCAACAGAACTCATTTTGGTAATAAAGGAAGAAGATGGTCCGGGGTTGCGCTCATAAATAGGCTAAATAGTGGTAAAACTATTTTATTGAAAGCCGACGTTTCGACCCGACTTTGCAGGTTTTCATCAGGGCTACGGTTACTGACTAGTCCAACTAAAGTTCTATAGTACTCAGTTGCTGTAGTTGGACTAGTCAGTAATCGTAGCCCTGAAGAAGACCTGCAAAGTCGGGTCGAAACGTCGGCTTTCAATAAAACAGTTTTACCACTATTTAGCCTATTTATGACCGCAACCCCGGACCATCTTCTTCCTTTATAATGCAACGGTCAACTATTAAATATTCATTTTGGTAATTATTTACAAGTGGTTATTTACAAGATGGCCGGAGGAGTACCACTTGTAAATAATTACCCTCATTTTTCTCTATGTAAAATCCTCTTAAATCACCTCTTGCTGAGTTGATTTGGGCTCATATAGGTTTCCAAAATGACTTAATCCTTTAATTTGTTACTTTCTTTTATTGATTTTCCTTTGTAATTCAATAGTTATGAAGGAAAAAGATTAAAATGAAGTTTGAAACTTGGTTATAGAAGATATTTCTATAGGTTGAGACTATTAGCTAATACAATTTTTATTTTGAAGTCAGTGATTTCAGGTATAATATTGAAATTTGGTTTTCCTTATTGGTTATTGTTACTTTCAATATTAAAAATATGAGTGTAGTTGATGATCCTTAAATGATAATCTTGACCTTAAATGATAAAAAAACATCTTGAATAAACATTAATAGTTTTAGGATTTCAACAAGAAAAATAATAATTTCATTTCAGAACTTTTGCAGTACAACAATCTATTTCTAAAAATCAGTCATGATGAGTATCATATCATTTATTCTGGCATAAAAGAAAACTACTTTTAGTTACTAGAGATCTCAATAAAGCTAAGGATCATCAACTATACTCATATTTTAATGATGAAAGTAATCATAACTATAAAGGAAAACCAAATTTCAATTTTATACTAGAAACTACTGACTTCAAGATAAAAATTGTGTTAGCTAGTAGCCTCGAACTATAGACACTAGCTTCTTATAACCAAGTTACAAACTTGATTTCCATCTTTTTCTTTCATTACCACTGAATTAAAAAGGAAAATTAATAAAATAAAGTAAAGAATTAAAGTATACTCACGATTTTGTCTATGAAGAAGAAACCAAAATTATCACTTTAAACACTAATATGTATAACTATTAAATAAAAAGTACCTATTAGTAAACTAAATATATTACTAAAACAACATAATTAAACTTTTAAACAAAATATCACTAATAAAATAAGAGTCTGTGAAGATGAAACCTATCACTGAACATTAAACCAAAACTACCACTTTAAACACTAAAACGTATAACTATCCAATAAAAAACTACCTATTAATAAACTAAACATATCACTTAAACAACAAAATTAAGCTTCTAAACTAAAATACTGCCAATAAAATATGAAAAATTAACGGTTTTGAGGTGCCTATGGAGCAAAAAGTGGTGGGGGATTGAGATAGCCTAACATAACTGTAACCTAAATGTAAACAATCCTCTAGAATAAGCGTCCCCACTCCTCCCCAAAAGGCTGCGGGCATCATCGGAATTATTACCGAGAAAGTTCTTGTTATTTTATAAAAACATATTATAAGTGGTAAGTAATCAGATTTAGTCATTCACAGCTGGTACATTAACCTTTTGAAGCCACCATATATTGTTTTGTTTTCTTTATCAACTCCCTCTTCTGTTATCTACAGTGTCAATCTCAATTTGATTTAGTCCGCTAATTAAGGTGATGTCTTCCACAGCGTTACTTAAGACAGCCTTCAGAGCTATCAGTAGACAGAACAGTGTTTGTAGTTTAAGAAGTGTTTATAACTGCTATATACTAAATAAGAAATGTTTTTCTACTCATAGGACCAGATTGTCATATCCCCAAAATCTAATAAAAATGCCTAATAGAAGTGGGTTTTATTACAAAATGTGGAGTTAAATTATAATATATTAATAGTTATACCTACTGATGTAAAGAAACTTGTTTTAGTGATGGCATCTGCTCCTGAAATTAAAGATATTGGAATAGAAGAACTCAAGAAGTATCAAGAGAATAAAATTGCAACAATTATTGATGTGAGAGAGATCAAGGAAATTAAGGAAACTGGATCACTACCAGGTGGAATTAATATTCCCTGTAAGTTAGTAGTTGCATGAATTAAAATACTGCCATTATTTACCATTAGTTTTTTAAATTATTATATATATATATATATATATATATATATATATATATATATATATATATATAGGAACATATATATATATATGAGTGATGATTAGTTATAGAATTCAAATGATTGAAGTCACATTAATATATTTTGTATTGAGCATTAAATTTTCGAACCTCCAACGACCTTGTATGTTGGATATTCGTGTTCATAAAATCCTTAAATTTCCCAATGGTATATCATTCATTATATTACTTCTCTTATTTCCGGAAATTGCGTTTTCAAGCAGCAAAAATATTTATATTATTTTTCTCTTATATTCATGAAAGGTACTTTTGTTGAAGGACTCTTTAAAACTTGGCATTTATGCTCTGCAAGATCATTTCAGTGAGGATTAGACCTTTCAATTTTCAGTTTCACATCTATATATTGCATTTCCTCAAAATTGTTAACCATATTTGAAAATATATGTAAAATAAATGATATAAAGTGGTGCTTGTGGCAAACAAAGTTGATTTTAGTGAAACGATTGCTATGAAATCACAGGTAGACTCTATCTAAGATAAGTTTGAGGGGGGAGAGAGATGCGCAGTGGCAAAATATGTTCCTGCCTATCCCCCTCTCTTTTGTCTTCTCATTCATACGTATTTCTAAATTTTTGTATAAATAATAATCATGATAAGGATAATGAAAGGCTTAGCAAACACCAAGGTTGCCGACAACATCAATCGCTTATTACTCACTCCTCTCCACTGTCCCTAAATTTTTGTTTGCAAGTAGAAATTTCTTTTATCATTTTTTTTTTTCTTATTTCCTACATTAATTTACAGAAAAATTCAAATACTGCGATTCATTTGATTCTAGCTAATACAGTACAGTCTAAAATAATACATAATGTGAACAATTCTCTTAGTTTACATTCAGAAGTAAATGAAAAAGGCTCCTCCCCATTATTGAATATCCAATAACGTAGTATCGGATTCTTTTCTGTTCTATATTTTCCGTCTGTTTCTCGATTTTTTTAGGATCTATTTCTTGGTAAATTTAGATCTACAGATCCTTATAATAATATCGAGTTCTGTGAGCAGTAAACCTTGCGGAATTATATTTTTTTTTTTCTCAATATGATTATTTTAACATCCTTGTCATTGTTTTATTTTATTTTTTAATTAAAATCCATACCATTAATAAACATTTGTGTGAAATTTGAATAAAATAAAATAACACTTTTCTGGTATAAGGTGGTTGCTATGTTGAAGAGTGGAAGTGGAGCTGTAGAGAGCTTTTGGGGAGGTGGAACTTGAGTGGGGATCAGCTGCGCGAGCTTCCTTCCTCTGCGCTCAAACTTAACTTAGATTCACTGAATATACTGAATTTAAATACTTCATTGAGATAATTATTTCCATTTAAAACTCGGATTTGAAACTTTTCATGATCGCAGTACTTTTCCTGTATATATGGGTAAGTGAAAGTAAAAAAAAATTGAAACATAGGCTTTAAAAAAGGCTTAAAAGAGTGAAATTCTTAAAAAATGAAAAAAAAATCAATAATGCCCTCTCTTTTGCTTAAAAAACTAAATAATGATTGATAAGATAAACTTTACATTCTGAATTATTGACATGTCACCTGCACACTGTTTTATATTAGTTCGATATCTTAGTTAATGGTAAAACAGTTTTGTTGAATGTGTGCGTGTTTAATATTTTCATGTCAGTTCTCATTCATTCTGTGATAATTCAGTGGCAGAAGTTAGCAAGGCTCTTCAAGAAGATCCTGATGTTTTTGAAGAGAAGTATAATCACCCCAAACCATCCTTGGATAGCCCAATTATATTTTCTTGTAGATCTGGAAGGAGAAGTTTAATGGCTTCTCATCAAGCTCAATCTCTTGGGTACCATAGGTAAGTTAATATTTTTTACAAATAAACAATATCTATTTATTTAAAAAATATTATTGCCACTTTTTATTTTTACAGAGTCCTAAATTTTTCTGGAGGATGGATTGAATGGGAAAATAATTTGCCTAAAAATTAGTGTATTGATATTTAATTAATCATATGATCAAAACAATGCATGACAAAGTTTATCAAGTCAGAAATTGGTAGAGGTTATTATTTTATTATAAATAAAATACTTAAATTAAACAAATTTTTCAAAATTCTTAGTATATGTAAATTGTCTTACAATATAAATTGGAGGAGTAAATTATCAATATCATAATGATGATTGAAACTGTTCTACTCAGTAGTGAAGAAAAGCCTTTGAGAAATTGGAATAAAGATGTATGTAAAGAAGGCGCTTTGGATAATGGTATTTAATGTTATATTTTATTAAATTGATTTATTTTTTTAAGGAAGTGTTTATGAATCTCCCTTCTCCTTTGTAATTGTATATTATATATTGTTATAGTAAGGTAAAAAAGATCCAACTTTCAAATATAACATTCTTAAAATATTAAATTTTAATTTTAATCTTTTAAATAAATAATTGTATTCTCATTAATTGTAAGGTGGAATTACACCTGTCGAGTACTGGGCGAAGTCACCCAGCCAACAAAAATGTTTATGAGTTAAGTCAATCACAGGTGGAAGAAATAGTAGTCAAGTCATTTTAAATTGTTCTGAGATCCACATCGGAGTAATCTAATCAAAATCAAATATAAAAATAGCAATAATAGAAAACATTTGTTGTCAAAACCATGACTATTAAGAAGATATATTAAAGGAGAAAATGCAATTCATTAATCTTATAATAAAAGACCTATAGTTTTTATTTAATTTTTTTTCCTCTTGTACACCAACCTCAGTTAAATGCATTACTTTATCAACTTGATATACACAGTATAATTTGTTTCTTTCTTGTTAGGATGCCTATTTAACATTCTTTTGCTTTCAATTCTTTTTATAAATCTAAACATTATTTTACTGATCAATTTAGCTATATTTTACAGAAGAAATCAAATCCAAAGACGATTAAACTGGACAAAAAAGAACACTATTAGCTTTGTTTAGTTTACTTGTCTGATCACACCGAAGGAGTGTGGAAAAGAGCCACTAGCCTTCTAGTAGGCCGAGAACTCACTGAACACTAGTTGGATAGATTTTCAATATTGAAATAGATTCAAAATATTATGAATAAATAATAGTAAGAATTGGCAGTCTTGGCCCTCAAATCTTTCTTTTGGATACATTTTGGAATGTGAAATTGTTATGCTGTGCATTTTGTGTTAAATTTATCTTATGAATTGTCATTATTATTAATTTTTAACTTGATTACTTTTGATAGATCAAAGCACTCAACTTTTACCAACAATGTGCATTCAAGAGATAGATTTTTCCAAATTAATTTCTATGTGTTCTTTTTGTATGAAAGATTCTAGCGATCGTATGGGATTATCTCTATTAGAATAAAATGAGATCTGTGCTATGTATGATCATTTTAAAGAGGAGGAAAAAAAAATGTTTTCAAACTATAAAATTCATATTTTATCATTGTTTATAACAACAAATTCAACACATCCTATAGTATGGAACCAGTGAAAAAATAAGTATCTTTCATTATTTTATTTTAATCAATATAAGTATAAAAAAATCTAAATAATTGATATAAACAACATGAAAACTCACAAGGAAATACTAAATTAATGAAAAAATATTCATAGTTTTACGATAATAATTGTTTCTAATTTGAATATTGATTTCATTCGTTGTAAAAGGTACTATACCTATATTTATAAACAATGAAATTCCAGGTTATAATTTTTTGTGTTAACAATTGAGGATCAAACCAGAACATTTTCATATTACCCTTAAATTTTGTTGATGGCTGTATCATAATGCATCTTCCACTGGCAACACCTATGGAACTTACACAATGTCATGTTGTTATAATTGTTATTCAATTTTTATGTTACTTCCAACACATTCTAGTGGTTGTTTTATTTTTGGTACAGCTGGACCGTTGGTGGTATTCCAATAATACTTTAAAATGGTGTTGAAAGTTTAATCAGAATCCTGCAGTGTAAATAAAGAATGGTTGCCATTGGTGAGAAGCAAATGTATTGGACCTAACTCCTAGGAAGTTCCCACACAATAACTACATTTCTCACCCAGAAAAAAAACTAACTCAAACTGTGATGAATTGAAATTAATTCTAATATAAAAGGAATTAAATACAAAGTCCTGAAAACTTTATTAAATGCTCAAGACTATCTTCAACAATATTTTACCATCGTTTTCAAATCAATTAAATAACTATTAAAATCGTTTTCATCCGTTGTATGAAATGGTTAAGCAGTTTCTATCATTTTCTATAATCCTTTTCGAAGGCCCAAGCTCTAAAACGATAATTAATATAATGGGAATCTTGTCTAATTACCACATACATCTCGAAACATCGCACCAATCTTTGTATGTCCTATATAATAATAATAATAAAAGGCTTAGCGAACACGAAGGTTCGATGCCCACACCACCAATCGCTTTTTACACACCTCCCTCCACCGTTCGCCGTCCAAACCCAGTCCCTTCAGATCGGCTTTAATGCAATCTTCCCACCTTCGCTTCGGTCTACCCCTCGGACGCTTACCATTCGGCACAGAAAATATTAATCTTTTAGGAATTCTCTCGTTACTAAGCCCATCAACTTTACAAGCCCATTTGATTCGCCGCGACGAAATTACCTCAATTATATTACCCGGATACAGTTCACGCAATTCGGCGTTGTGTAACCGTCTGAACTCTCAGGTTAACTCATCCTTCTTCGGTCCGAATATTCTACGCAATACTTTATTTTCAAAAACCTTAAGACGCTGCTCATCCCTTAATGTAAGCGGCCAAGTTTCGCATCCATAAAGAACTGTAGGCAAGATAATTGTTTTATAGATTCTAATTTTTAAGTTCCGGGGCAAGAGGAGCGAACTGAGTAGTTTTGTCACAGAAAAATAACCGCCTTCAGTCTAACCTTAATCTCTTCTTCAATTTCGTTTTTTCTAGTTATCGTAGAACCTAGATACCTAAATTTATCTACCTGTTCAAACATATTACCATCTATATCGATATCACCAGTAGTATCGCCATTTTTGCAGCTAACCACATATTTTGGTTTATCCACGTTTATTTCGAGTCCTAGTTTTTTACCGGCTTTCATTAACGTTGTCGTATTTAGTTTTATAGTTTCAACGTCTTCGCTTAATAGTACCAGATCATCAGCATAGCCCAGCACGGATGTTGTCCCACCCAGATCCAACCCTTTCTCGGTACGCATTACCTCCCTAATGGCATGTTCTAAAGCCAAATTGAACAGTACAGGCGAAAGGGAATCCCCCTGTTTTAAACCCGAGCGAACCTCAAATTTTTCCGACAGATTATTACCGATTCTAACCTTATTGAGTGTCTCCGTCAAGCACATACTGACTAGATTTACTATTTTTTTTGGAATCTCCTGCTCGATTAGAATATTATACAGTTTCTCTAGGTCAATAGAATCGTAAGCCTTTTTAAAATCTATATACAGCTGGTGAACAATACCGTTGTACTCCAATTTTTTCTCTAATATTTGCCGTAAAGAAAATATTTGATCAATAGTTGAACGAGTCCGTCTAAATCCGCATTAGTAGTCTCCGATAATTTCCTCGTCGTATTCCGTGATTCGAATGGTTAGGATTAAAGTGAATATTTTAGAACATTCTGGAAGGAGTGAAATTCCTCGATAGTTATTTCAATCCGTCCTCGGGCCCTTTTTGTGAATCGGAATAAGAATAGATTCTTTCCATTCCTCAGGTATTTTCTCATTCACCCAGATCTTTTTAACCAACCGATGTATTTTAGAAACTCCAGCTCCCCCGCATGCCTTAATTAGTTCAGTAGGAATATTATCGGTTCCCGCTATGTTCTATATAACACACAAATATATGGTTACTTGAGACATTACTCCATTTAAAGCAACTGCTTTAATGTTAGTACTCGAAGTAAGTCCCGTTAAAAATTTCTGGCAGTTTATTGATTAACGATACGATTACCATATGAGTCCCTGGGTGATTGTTCTTTCCTTCCTCGCGTATTAATAAATTAATGCACTATTTTATTCGATTAATGGAACCCTGGAGTTCGACGACAGTTACCTGCCCGATGGAAAGGAGATATAATGATTGTCTAACAATCAACAATATGATAATCATAACTATTTACAATTAATAACACTTTTTTCTCTGGAAGTTAATTTCACATGCTCATAAAGGTTCTTCCTGAACACAACCAGACTCGTTTGTCGTTAAATACAAAGTGCAGGTTCGTTAGCCATGAAATAATATAAGTAATTCTATGGCAAGATGTTATTGAAGTGGTCCTCCCATGAGTGGGGACTACCTACTGGCCATTTTCAGTGCAAACGGGAGCGTTAATAACTTTTACTTATTAATTATATCTATTCAGTGATACACGCTGCTTTCGACTAACATTCGTTCAAAAGGGATATACAAATCTCCCTAAATCTCTAACCAATCATTTACTGTTGAGGCACTAGCGGATTCAGGATTTAATTTTTGGGGGGTGGCTTCAGCCCGAAAGATTTTTTTTCAAGTACATATAACGATAATTAATTTGAAATAAAAAAGAAAGAAATTAACTACCTATATGAAATGGTGTTTAAGTGGTTCTTTAAGTCCTATTAAATTTAATTACACGAACAAGAATACTTTTAAGAGATAGTTTATCATATTTTTTTCTGTAAAACATGGTTATATTTTACCATTTTGGGGGGGGGGAGAAGGGGCTTTAGCCCGAAAGCTCCTCCCCCCCGTAGATCCGCCTGTGTGTTGAGGTACAATCAGACAGTTCGATCACCTCTCTATACTTCGATATACACTCGGCCATTCTCGGAATTCCATTTGTAATGTGACAATGAGGTAAGATATATAGGTAACTTAATATGTTTAAGTTAATGAAGTTAGTTTCATTCATTTGGGAAAAGGGACATGGGTATCCGATTCATTTGGTTCATAACAGCTAGGATTCGTAACATGCAGGGACATGGGATATTAAGTTAACACAAAAACCCAATTATCGTCCATTATTATGTAATTTAAAATAAACAAGTACAACATAACTTAAACCTGTTTATTTTAGAGAAAATTCAGAAGATAAAACTTCATCGGCAGGGCCCAGGAATAAAAGTCGAGCTATCCCCTTATGGTTGAGCCTGGTTATGGGTAATTAAGGTGTTTTAAAAGGCGTTAAAGGCATCAAACAATCTCTCACAACAGCACAACCATCTCATTTTTCCTGAAAGCAATACTTTGGTATATAGCATATTCAAAATCTAAAGAAAAAAAAATGAAAAGTAAAATTATTGCACAGTGATAATTAGCAATAAACTTTCCTGAAATGAGAAATCTTAAACATATGTATATTATTATTTAACAACAACGGAAAAGAAATGTCTTTAGATATAAATATTTTTCGCCAGTGGCAGTGCAAGGTGTATTAAACGCCCTAACACACTAAGATGGTTTGACATTATTGGGAATGGTATCGGTAAAGCCACATGTTACTATGAAAAGTACAGAAACTAAAGTAAAATAAGAAAAAAAGATGATTTAGTTTGTAAAATAACGTTAACCAACCGTTTTATGATTTTTGATATGTGTGATTTTTACGATTGCGATTTTTCATCGATCTTAGTTTTTTGTATTTGTAATTGTTGATCTTTTTGAAGTTTATGAGATCAGAGTAGAAATAACATGATTTCTAAACAAATGATAAACTCAAACAAGTAGTTACTAACAAAACAAACTTTCACCATCTAACAAGCAATCTACCTGAAATTTAAACTTGACAATATGTAGTAAGAAAATAAGGAATTATTTAAGAAAAATCATTGGCCTGAGTCTCAGAATAATAGACTTTGGCGGTGAAAATGGTCAAAATTTGAAACTTAGCATTCCATCACACCATTTTGACAATAATTAAAATGACAGACCAAGGAAACAAATACGTAAACAAAGGAAGGAAGTCATTAAGTTTTAAATTAATAATTTGCAACAGATTTTAGAAATGATATGGTTTTTACACAAATGCACATCTTGTACACACGTATGGTAGAATAATTATAGCACTGGATGAACGCAAGAAAATTCCCAACAAGATTTGAATTACTTTAGAGTCCTGGTCGATTTTCATGTGCACTAAAATCGAAAATGTTTAGGGTAACGTCTTCATTGCAACGCCTTACGACAAACACAATTTGACTCGACGTGATATCAAAGTTTAATAAATAAGGTATTTACAAATATAGAGGGATTTTTAAACATCAGTGAATTAAAAAGAAAACGCAATTCTATATTTTTTTAAAGCTTTTTAATAGCAGTTTTCAAACACCGAAAGGCTTACGCAGGGATAAAATTTTTTTTTAATTGAAGCTCTCACAGACTAACAAGGAATTTGGACATCAATGTAAGTTGTTTGAATTAGAAAAATGTACGAGGAAAACACTAATTTCAGATACGCTCATTTTGCAATAGGTATTGATTAATGTTTTTTTTTTTTTTTTACGGAACGGCCATAGAGACCACGCGAATATCATGACATTTGGCTTCTTTCTTGTTTTTCCTTTCTTTCCACTTCTCTCTCATTATCTCCGAGTGCCGCCGCTTTCTCTCTTCCCTCCACGCGACTCCCTTTCTCGAACTTTTCTTCTTAGCAAGAACCGTGATCTCCTTTAGTCTCTTACCATACCCCTCTCTGTCCAGACAGTCCCGGTCCGTTATTCCAAGTCTTTCCGTTTCTTCCTTCATCTGCCTGATGTATCCTCCCAAGCTTTTGTATCTACGTATTTTTTGGAATATTTCCTTGTTAAGTCTTTCTGGGCCCATTCTTACCATATGTCCGTGGAATTTCAGTCTCCTGATCCTAATTTCCGTTTCTAGATCTCTTTTGTCCTTGTATATTTATTTCCTGATTGGATCTTAGCCTGTATCCTTCTTTTGTCTTTTTGGGGCCGTAAATCCTTCTTAGAATTCTTCGCTCTATTCTCAACAATTTTTCCAGACTGGGGAGGAATGTGGTTTCCGTCCCGTATAGTATCACAGGTTTATTGATTAATGTATTGTTAAAATAATGATAATTTCACTTTTGCCAAAAACATGAAAATTTGACACAAAAAATGTTTATACTTATCTCAATAAAACTGAATGTAACCATCAACTAATCCCTGACAAGCAAGTATGGCGCACTTCGAATCAACTATGGATCTGGCTAGTTTTGGCAAAGACATATTATTTTACTATAAAAAATATAAATACAGCTCAAAAACTTGATAAAACGTCAATAATTTTTATTTTTAGCATTTTGGAGTTAGCTGGTTTTGGAACTGAATGGCTTCTAAAATGTGATCGTATACACTTTCCGAAACTCCACCCCGTCTTATAAAAGCAGATTAAACTAGAAATACAACAGCAAAATTAATAACGAATATATAATAGAATTTTTCCTATGATAGGCAGAATATTCCTTTATAGCTGATAGTCAATGAATGGAACCGATATTACGATAAAACATCTTCTGGAGAATAGGCGTTGATGACGTCGGGGTTTTACGCCTTTAAGCACTAAATAACATCATCAGGAGATAACGGCATATTTCAGAAATTCTCAAGGAATGTTTGCTCGAATCTGGTAATACAAATCAGGCACTCAGGGATGGTTTCGGGACTACATGGCTTCTAAAACGTAATCGTATACACTTTCCGGAAATCCTCCACCCCACTCTAGAAAAGCTGATTAAACTAGAAAGACAACATCAAAAGAAATAACGAATATATACTTTTTCCAATGAAAGTGTATTAGATAGGCAGAAGATTCCTGTAGAGTTGATGGTAAATAAAAAAAATCGATCTTACAAGGAAACATCAATTGGAGGTAACGGCATTTTTCAGAAATTCTCGAGGAATGTTTGCTTAAACATGGTAATACAATCAGGCGCTCAGGGATGAATAGCGTACATAAATTTCTCACAGTAGTCATGGACATGTTAAGATTATTATAGAAATAAGATGGATGACTTGTAAAAAATTAAGAAAGTAGTGACAGATAAACAGACTCCTCCCTGTATTTATATCTAACAGTGGTCCTAAGAAGAGAGTAATAAGGAAAAAACTAACTATCTACCGGTACAGAAATAACTTCTAATTGAAACATTAAAAAATGCTATATTTTGTTTTTTCAGGTTAGAGAGGGCTTTGTAAAACTTGGTAAAGACGAAATCGTAAACGAAAAAGTTATCGATATAGTCGGTGACGTTAAAAAGGTGAGTATCACAACTCCCAAGAACATGGGCGAAAGTCTAGGCATCCAGATGCACTGGCTGGGAATTGTGTTCAAAGCTTTAGGAAAGCGTTTCTTAGTCGGCGCCCAGGTAAAAAGCATCAACTAATCAAACTTTTAAGTAATCAATACTATTATCATAAAACTTTACTATTATCATAGAACTATTACAGAGGATTGATCCGACATAGTGACCTTTTGATGATTCCTCATAACAATATAAATTCACTAATGTACATTGTCTCCTGCGTATTGTGTCATACTTCTCAAAAGAGAAGTTCGTTCTAAGCCCACTCCTTTTCTCGAAAGAGCAACTCCACTATCTTTAATCCTTTCCAATTAGTAATTCCATATAACTGGCTTTGCCGTACATTGCTCAAGAAGTTTATCCCACTTTGGATCAACAGAAAACATCAACATTTGTCCTCTTTGTTTTATTTTTCTAAAATCGTTGAATCAGTGTACCATACCATCCTCCTCATTAAACTATTAAACATTTCTTATTTAATAGTGCTTTAAGCTGTTCCTACATTTTCTTGTCCGCTCTCAATTCATCATTATTCCCAATTATTCCACTTAATCATCTCTACTGCTCTCTAGAGTAGGCCAGGTCTGTAACCTGCCAATCGCCGAGGGCCCCGAGCCAGAGGGGCCTGAAACCATTGTTTTATATTTTTCTTGTACCTTCACATTATTTTTTTGTGATTTATTATTTAATAATAAACAATTGTAATCGACCAAAAAATTAAAAAACTTACCCCATCTACCCTCAATATATGAGGTTTTACGTTTTACGATAGGTTGAATCAGAAAATTAATTTAAAAAAAAATGTCTACCGGTCATGTATATTGCATAAAAAAAATATCGTATTTTTGTTTTTGACCGTAGAATGATTTGGGGGCTCCTCTGACGGCCCGAAGATTGTTTCAAGACATTGTTTTCTATTTATCTCGTACCGTTGTACGTTTGGTTACATAAGTAATTGTTTTCCATTTATTTATCGTCACATATTTTTGGGCCCCATTATAAATGCTCTGTACTTTTTTTTACACCGTAGAATGATTGGGGGGGCCTCTCTGAAGGTCCTTAATATCGTTATTTTGTATTTTTCTACTTCCGTGGTACGTTTGGCACCAAAAATAATTGTTTTGCATTTCTGAGTTTCTTACGATGGACCCCAAATATATACATCTTTTTAAAAAAATTTTAACCACCTTAAAATGATTGGGGTCTGTTCTGAGGGTCCTGAGTGTCGTTATTTTGCATTTTTCTAATACCGTGGTATATATAGCCCCAAAAATAATTGTTTTATATTTTTGAAACTTTCTGGGTTTCCTCCAATGGGCCCCCCAACATAAATGTTTTGTACTTTTATATCGATGATTGAGCCCCCTCTGAGGCTTTCGTATATCGTTATTTTGCATTGTTCAACCTTATCAGTAGCCTGATATCTTTGCTGGGAGGCGGTACTGTTGTGGGTGTTCCGTTGTTGGAGTTGTCCGGCTTAAGTATGGATACTCAATTTAAAATAAACTTGAAGAGGATCAAATTATTTATTTAAAAAAAAAACAGGGATAGCAACGTTATAGATAAAAATAATAAACAGCTATTGTAGTTTATCGATATTTAGTTTAGTGACCTACTATCGGATTATTATAACTACTAGTGTTCGCCCAGTGGTCGAAATTCGACAATAGCCATTAAAAACTTGAGGAAAAGATATAATTAAATAAAAAATAAAGTAAATAAATAAAGAGTAAATCACGATTCAAAAATCCTCATTCATTAATACAAACAAAATTTCAGTTTCAATTAAAAATCGAGCGCAAGTCATTTAAAATTATTTATAAGTAATACAAAATACACTCATTCAGAAATATTTAATTTTCATTTTAATTTATGTGTGTTATTATAACAATAAATTAATGTTATGATTAAGAAAGTAAAAAATAATTTAATTTAGCAATTTAAATTCACTTTAAATCCATTTTTATTCAAAACTTCTATGTAAATAATGTTTTATTTGAATGTTCTGTTATTGTTTAGTGCATAGGCCCAATTTAATTTTCAATGGCCCATTGCCATTGAAAATATAAATTTCAATATTTTAAATGAACGTGCTCTAATTGCTGCCACATATAATTGTCCATGCGAAATTACTGGACGTCACAATAATATACACATTTTTCCAAAACTTTTATCCTGCGATTTGATTATGGTCATAGCAAATGCAGCTATTAATAGGAACGTTGTTCTTTGAAAGTCGAATGTAAGTAGTGTCAGAAAATGTTAAATTAATTCTTGGAATTAAAATTCTTTAATTTAAAGTAGCCCCCGTTAATACTACAGTCTCATTCCTGTTCCATTAACTAATGCTTGTGCAGTATTTAAGTTAACAATGAGTATAACTATAGAAAATATTTTTAAATTTAATTTATTAGGTATCATTCCACTAACATTACATGATATCATCTCTTCAAATAATAGACCCAATTACCTCAGTAAATGAAAAGTTTTCGATTTATCAAAAAACAAAATAAAAGAAATCGAACTTGGAAGGGAAAGAAAACGTAGTAAATGTTCAAAATGATATATCTCTGCAACAAATAGTCCGATTTCGATGATTTTGTTTTCATTTTGTAGGAAATATAGAAAGCTTTCGAATAAATACTGGTATTATAAAAATGTATGCAGCTTGTTTTCGGGAAAGTATGTTATATACATAAATTATAAAGATGTAGAGATGGTTGACCGTTATTTATTTGACAGCACCCCCCTATTAACTCCTTCTCATAAATTATAAAGGTTTCAAGGGGAAGACTTTAGCCAAGTTTCATTGAAATCGTTGAAGCCCTATTGGCGCTACAGTCTAAAGCGAATCACGTTTTTCGGCCGCCATTTCGAAAGGAAAGGCCCGATGATAATGAAACGTATAGAAAAAAACTTCTAAATATTATTGCGACATTGTGTCTAAATTAAAAAAAAAAAAAATCGGTGAAGAATTTTCGGAGATAAGCCGTTTTGAACAAACCACCATTTATATTTTTATTCACATACTATTTAATATTTTTGTTTATTGAAACTAAAGCTCGTCAATATCTATTAAATAAAAAAAGAATGAAGAAAATCGGTTGAATAATAGAGGAGTAAAAGGGGCTGAACCGATTTGTGTTTGCCTATTTATATAATGATTTTGAATTATTTCTATATTATCCTGATAAGGAGACCCTACTTCAGACTCAAGCCGAGGGCCCCAAACGGAGCCAGACCGGGCCAGCTCTAGTGGTATTTCTCAGAGATTTTACCTCTTATCAACCTTGTTTTCTATCTACATAATTGGCCTACTAATACTTTATCTTCACTCAAATTATCATTTTATGCAGATCTAAACAAATATATAATCAGTGTACTCAAATATATAACCTGTTTCTTAGGATGATTAACCGGTAGGAATCGGAAAACATTCGTTTATTGACAAGGTTGTGCCCGTATACAACAAAAAGTAAGGCAATTCTCTTTAGTTAAAAACTGTCATTAATATCCTTACCTCAATGAAACTCCCATTCACTTGATAACTGCATGAAAACCTAGGCGCTTCCTTTTGTTAAGACCTCATTCTTTCTCAATTTCAGGCCTAAAATATTGAGGGCTATCTATTATAATATTCATTTTCTGAGTTTATTTTCTCTCATATATTTCAGTATTATTTCAGCAAAGTAGGTTGGCTTTGTCCCACTTGTCAACAAAAGCACATTCTTGTAACAATATTTTTCCAATTATTTTGGACTGAAAAAAAACTTTTTGTATTCGTCCTCTAAGTACATCCTTTGCATGCATTCTTCCCTCCAAATATTAAATATAAGATTTCAAACAACTTTACATATCCTTTCTTATATATCGATGCTTAATCTGAAAAATGCTTTATCATTCGGGCAATTTCGTTTTGGGATTCCTTATCCACCTCTATTCATAAAACCTCATTTATTTCTTCATCTTTTCAATCATCAATCTTACAAATGCGAGTAAAGAATATATTTCTTTGTAAGTTTTCCAAACATGTACATTTTTTTAAGAGAAGAATGGTTGGGGTGATCAGTCAAAAAATAAATATTTTATTTTTACTTTTGCCTACGTTTCGGCCAAAAGTTCAGGCCTTCATCAGAACAAAAAAAAATACAGATAATAACTGCAACAAAGTAGGGACTAATGAAATAAACATAAACATAATCAAAACAAGGTAACATAAGAGATGAATTAACAACAAAAAGTAGTGGAATGCATGAGATAAAAAAACGTAACTTTTTCATTTCATACATTCATGCACGAAACATAAGCGTTTCATCTCTTATGTTACCTTATTTTGATTATGTCTAATCCAATAACCCTTACCTGATTCTGCGAGGACATCGAAAATATATAGCATTTCCAAGTCAATTTCAACCTTTTCCAAATCAAATTCAACCTTTTCCAAGTCAAATTAAACCTTTTCCATTTCAAATTCAACCTTTTCCAAGTCAAATTCAACCTTTTCCATTTCAAATTCAACTTTAGAATTTTTGTCAATTTTCGATTTTTTTCGAAATGAAGGCCACTTACTATATTATCGACGACATAGCTTTTAAAAAATACAAAAAAAAAATTGATTACGCAGTTACATATCCATTTATTTTAACATTTTAGATTTTTTCAGTGTGATGTTTCTATGTGATTCCAAGTCAAATTCAACCTTTTCCAGATCAAATCAAACTTTTTCCAAGTCAATTCAACCATTTCCATTTCAAATTAAACCTTTTCCAATTCAAATTCAACCGTTTTCATTTCAAATTAATGTTTTAAGTTTTTGTAAATTTTATATTTTTTTTTAAATAATGGCCATCCCCTCCTCCCCTCCAATATGAAAGTCTATTATTATGCTCTCCTAAGTAGAATTTTCACTTACGGATATCGATTTATTGTACCTATTCGGATTTATTAGGGACTAGTATTATGCTGTACTGTACCTAGTTTTGAAAATAATCTCCATTTTAAGATTACGTGACTGCGTTTCGAATCATTTAAGTTTTTTTGACAAATTCGATATGTGGGTGTATTTTTATGTTTCCCGATCAGTAAATTTTGAAAATGACATCCATTTTATGTTTACGCCAGTGTGTTTTGACTTATTTAAGTTTTTAGAATTTATTCAATATAAAGGTCTACTTTTATGTTTCCGGAGCCGTAGATTTTGAAAACGACCTTCATTTTAAGATTAGGCCACCGCGTTTCGACTTATTTGAGTTTTTCGGATATTTTTCATATGAGGGTGTATTTTTATGTTTCCGGAACTGTAGATTTTGAAAATAACCTCCATTTTAAGATTAGGCCACCGCGTTTCGACTTATTTGAGTTTTTCGGATTTTTTTCATATGAGGATGTATTCTTATGTTTCCGGAGCCGTAGATTTTGAAAACGACCTCCATTTTAAGATTAGGCCACCGCATTTCAATTTCTTTGAGTTTTTCGGATTTTTTTCATATGAGGATGTATTCTTATGTTTCCGGAGCCGTAGATTTTGAAAACGACCTCCATTTTAAGATTAGGCCACCGCATTTCGATTTCTTTAAGTGTTTCGAATTTTTATCATAAAAGAGTGTATTCTTATGTTTCCGGAGTCGTAGATTTTGAAAATGACCTCCATTTTAAGATTACGCCACTGCGTTTCGGCTTATTCAAGTTTTTCGAATTTATCCAATTTGAAGGTCTACTTTTATGATGCCGGAGCCTTAGTTTTTAAAACGACTTACATTTTAAGATTAGGCCACTGTGTTTCGGTTTTGTTAAGTGTTTTTGATTTTTCCTTCGAATAAAAAACATAATACGAAGGATTAATTTATTTTTCAATAAATAAATAAAAATATCTAATCAAAATAAATAAAATATGTATTGTCTCATTTTTAATTTAATTTTAGTTATCTTTTCTAATGTTGTGGTCTCCTGTCACAAAATTATAAGATTTCGAACAATTAGCTGAAAAATCTGAATACGGAAGGTTAAATTTATTACCACTTGCTTTTCGGCTTTTTAGTTTGTATTCTGTGGTTAATTTTACTTTAGCTTCATAATATTTATTTATTTATTCATACTCGAAAACATATTGATGAAACTTTGTATTGAAAAAATCCAAAATGAAGCCTAATTAATCAAGATGCAGCGGCTTAATCATAAAATGGAGCTTAAATATTAGATAAATTTAAATATTAAAGATTAGAAAAAATTCAATACGTCTCGGATAACATATAAGTAGATCCTTATACCGAAAAAGTAAAAAAAAAACTTTTATAATCCAAAACAGTGGCATAAACTTTAAATTGGGTCATTTACAAAATGGGGGAAATCTACTGCTCCAGAAACATAAAATTAGACCTTTATAATTGTTAAATTCTAAAAATTTAAATAAGTTGAAACGCAGTTGCGTAATCATAAAATAGAGGTCATTTTTAGAATCTACGGTTCCGAAAACATAAAAGTAGACATTTAAATTGGATAAATTCGAAAAACTTAAATAAGTCAAAACGCAGTGGCGTAATCATGAAATGGAGATCATTTTCAAAATCTACGGCTCAAGAAACATAAAAGTAGACCTTAATATTGGATAAATTCGGAAAACTTAAATAAGTCAAAACGCAGCGGCGTAATCATAAAATGGAGGTCGTTTTCAAAATCTACAGCTCCAGAAACATAAAAATACACCCTTACATCGAATAAATCAAAAAAACTCAAATAAGTCGAAACGCGGTGGCCTAATCTTAAAATGGAGGTCGTTTTCAAAATCTACGGCTCCGGAAACAAAAAAGTAGACCTTTATATTGGATAAATTCTAAAAACTTAAATAAATCAAAACACTGTGGCGTAAACATAAAATAGATGTCATTTTAAAAATTTACTGATCGGGAAACATAAAAATACACCCTTATATCGAATAAGTCAAAAAAACTTAAATGATTCGAAACGCAGTCACGTAATCTTAAAATGGAGGTTATTTTAAAAAACTACTCATACGATAACAGACCCACGCATCGAAAAATTAAAGATAATTAAATAAATAAAAAAAGGTTGAATTTGAAATGGAAAAGGTTGAATTTGACTTGGAAAAAGTTTAATTTGATTTGGAAAAGGTTGAATTTGACTTGGAAAAGGTTGAAATTGACTTGGAAATGCTATATATCAATACTTAAACATTTTTGAAACGTATTGATGAATACCACGACATTAAATCAAGAACATTCTTCAATTAATTATAAGTTATAATTAAGTTGCCATAATTACTGTTTTCTAAGTTAATTAAACATTATTTAAGATATTGATGATAATTTTCTCAGGTGTTGGATAATACGCACAAGAAACGGTTGTTCAGGTTTGACAGTGGTTGTCGGAGGTACAAAGTTACCTCTATACTTACAATACTTCCCTTGGCTATGAAAGATGATTGGAATTGCTTAGAAGTGAGTACACACTAACTATTTTGGAGCGAAAAGATACTTTTATTCTAGTAAATGCAAAACTACAATCGTAGAATTTTAAAAGGAAGAGAAAAATCAATAAACTTTATGTATCTAATACAGATTAACAGCAATATCATCTTGGTTGCATGGGATTTTAACTAAAAGCTCTTAAGCTCTAAAGTAAACGAGAAAACAAATTTAGAGAATGCAAGATTATCATTTCATTTTATTATTCAGTCCATTAAATAGTCTAATAATCTTTATGTTTTATAATTTTGTTGTTTATTAAGAACAATACAACAAAACTGTTCAGCTAATCAACTTTGTTGAGTTGCTACAACACCCAACATACCGATCAGTCCCAATCGACAATGTTTAATGAGAGATAACACAATGGATAGAGTTTCGCAGGACTATCATTCAAAGTACCGAATGTTATCATTTATTTTCTTATTGTCTCACTCATTTTCTTCCTTCTCGTGACTGCCTGTAGAGCTCATAGCGAACAGCCCAGAATCAAAATATGTGATGGTGCAAGATTTCCAACGAGTCCAAAACAATTACTTCCACCATATTCTGCAGATCGCTCCTTTCCACACCTAACTTCTCCAAAATCACAGCTGTTGAAGGTGGAAACACTCCTCTGCCCCCGAACTACAGTCCCCGATCCGAGTATTCTATTTCACCAAATTCTTCTCTATATTTATCTTGCAGGTACCGAATGCATTTTTATAGCTCTATTTTTTTTCTATTAGTATTTTAAGATCTTGATCCTCATCGTTTGTTTCAAATCGAATCGTAGGATCGACTATCAGAGCCTCTTTTTCTTTCGCATTAAAGGCTAAGATATCTACAAATCTTGTGGAGCCTTCCGAATCTATGCTGTACACTCCAAGGAAGCATCTATACTTTCTATAGCAACGCGCGTAGTATAGAAGCGCATATATAAGAGAAAGTAGTGGACAGAATTCGATAAAATTGACAATACATTATTTTTTCACCAATATCTACCTTTTATCCAACTTTCAGCCAAATCGAACCAGCCCTTTCTGACATATTGGCATATCTAAAAAGAATAAGTTTGCGCGTGCGTAAGCAGAATCTATTTGATAAAATAGATACCATATTGGTACCAATCCACATAGTACTTGAAAATGTCATGAAAATCGGATGAACGGTACTAGGTGATATGCCCGTCACATCGATCTGACTAAGACAGACAGACAGACACCGAACCAAATTTGACCTTTGATGTCTGAAACGTAAAACGCGAGTGGAAATTTTGATTCTGAGCACAAAATTTTTTTTAACCTCTCGCACGAACACAATGCTTCCCTACACTCGGTAGTGAGGAAGCAAAAGTCTTTCATTCTGTAACAAATAGAAATCTTTCATAATTTAATCCATTAAAATTCTGTTCGTTTTACAATTTGAACAACGATTAAAAAAATTGAAATTTCCCAAGGGCGAAGTTTTTTCAGAAAATAAGATGTTTGGAACCACTGCGCGTATCCCAAAACCTACACCACTTCACCCTATGAGCAAACTTTTGCTCTTACATTCTATTCACTGTTCTTGTTGTCGAACTCAGGATGACGATGATGATCACATTAGAAAATTCTATAGAGGATATTTTTTCCAACATTTCTCCTTTCTTTAAATAGATATTTTGGAACTTTTTTCCAACATCCAAGGGATGCGCGCCCACAGGCAGAATTCGCTAGTAATGGTCATGATAATAATTTTTTTTTATATTATATTAGGAAATTCATCAATTAGGATAAATTTTCCATATATTTCTCTTTTCTTTTTATGGAATTTTTCCATCTTCCAATGGGGGAAAGGGGAGGGGACGCCCCCTGGCTGGATCCGATAGTGCCATGCTATTCGGACATTTGCCTAGTACATGAGCTGGGGTTTCTGACTCTCGGCCACATTTGAGGCCAGGGATCCTATGTCTCCATTCGCCTAGCCTTCGGTTCCTGGAACTCCACGAAGAGGAGCATAATAAATAAGGTACTGTAAAGAAGGCATGTAGTATACGGATATTTCCAACAACAACAAACATTGCTTGTGAAGAATTCCGAATTCAGAAATCATTGATATAGCTTATGCGGTGAATGCGGTTTAAATCTAGATAAGCATTTCCATTTATTCATTCTTATTATTCCATTTTTTTTTTCAGATAGACTTAAGGAAGCAATTGCAAAGGTTTTATGGTACGGATTTTGTTGAAATCATACGGATTGAAGTGCAAGGATCGTGTAGACTTCGAAGGATTTTTACTTCGTATGATTCTCTGGCTGATATAAATATGCCTTTTGATATAAGACTTCTGAAATAATGTTATAAATAGCCACATCACTGTTTGTTATGAAACCTACTGAGACCCATTAAAAATGTAATGACAACAATGATTGTAATTTTTCTTATCTATTTTTCCTCTCAACATATCTGTATACACCGAAATAAAAAAGGTATGAACGGATAAGACATTGGAAACCTAACCTCTGATCCCAATTTTGAATCCGCAAATAAATAAACTCAAGAACCTTCATGGGTTGTAGTGGTACAGATAAATATAAGTAACTTAGTGCTTTAGGCAGCAGTGCAACAGGTAGCAAATTTTACAGTTTCTACCGAATGATATTTATGTTACATATATAGACAAATAAAGTGCACTGACAGGCAAAAAATTCCACCCACTTGATTTTTTCATCAAAATCAAACCAGTTTTAATGAATAAATAGGTAATCTTTTGTTTGTTTTCAATTAGGAATGTTAATATAGAGGACAATAACCCTTAATCCTTAATTCAATGAAATGATTCTAGATTCCAATGTTTACTTTCTATGGAATCAAAATGTATATTCAGTATCATTAGTTCAGTGCCGTTTCTTGCAGCACATTTCTTAGTCTCCGGCTTTTAATTTTTTCAATATTAAGTTTAAAAATACCTCTTAGTGCTGAGAATGTTGCGCGTGGTGTGGCACTTATTGATGATGGACGTTCCGTTAGATATGCAGCTAATGCCATCGGAGTTCCATATGAAATTTAACGAGACGCCGTCAGGCGTTTTCGGGAAACTGGTTCTTACAATAGAAGGCCCGGTTCTGGGCGGCCTAGGGTAACAGAACCACGGGATGACCGGTTTTTGACTTTGAGAATTTTACGAAACCGGCACCTTACCGTAATTCAAGCGATTCATCAGCTCGAAGAAGTTCGAGGTGTGCAAATTTCTGAACGTACCGCTCGGAGAAGATTAAATGAGTATGGATTAATGGCTTTTCGTCCATTAAGAGGACCAGAGTTGACAAGAACACACAGAGTAACACGGCTGGCTTTTGCTCGAGAACACAGCCATTGGACTATGGACGAATGCAGTGCTGTACTTTTTACAGATGAGTCAAGTTTCGCTCTTCGATCTCCAGACTGGCGTGAAAGGGTGTGGAGATTTCAATGGAGCGCCACACACAATTGGTTGTTGTTCGTGGAGGGTCTTTGACGGCCATTCGCTATGTAGATGAGATTTTGGAACCTCATGTGTTGCCTATCCTCAACGAAATCGGCGATCGTTCTATTCTGATGCACGATAATTAACGCCCACATGTCGCCCGCATAGTACAGATGTTCCTTCAACAGAGCAATATTGAGGTTTTAGCCTGGCCAGCACGTTCTCCAGATTTGAACCCTATTGCGCATTTATGAGATAACCTCGGAAGACGAATAAGAGCGAGTGCAACTTGAAAGGGCTCTTCGAGAGGAATGGGCTATCCTCCAGCAAAGGGTCATATTCCGACTGGTGGAAAGTCTTCAAGAAGTAGTGAAGGCAAGAGGAGGAAACACGCACTACTAAACGTGGTGTAATTAATTTCTTTTAGAATAATAATGGTTCGTTTTTCAATTTTTTTTTCTCTAATGTTTCTTACCCAATCACATTTTGATTATTAAAGGTAAAAAAGATTATAAAATTACATAAATAGTAAGTATTATCTACAAATACCATGTATTATATACAAATACAACTTTTTTTTACAAGTGGGTGGAATTTTTTGTCTGTCAGTGTATAATAGAGTTGGACATTGTTACGATTAGTGAACTATTAAGTAATTAATAAAGTTTAGGGACTAACATTAAATATTAAGAGTACTGTATAATAATATATTTTAGCATGAAAAAAAGGAATCGTATATTCAAACATATTTTGCAGACGAAAATAAACACACTAATTTTAAAACTATAGTTCAGTATTTAGGTTAATACTCTATCAGTGGATAAGATAATGTACGGCCCAGAATAGCGATTTGGGAAAACAACGAGGAGTGTTAGATATAGGGAAAAATCCTAATAAAAGATATAATTATATATAAAAGTGAAGAAGAAAAAACCACTAGAAAAATCACATTAGTAATTCTGCGATCACTGTTCAGATGATCCAAAATCATTGAAAATATAATAAGGAACTGATGGTGGATGATGAACATTATTTGATGGAAGAAATCTATAATTGACAGATGAAGAGTGTAGCACCATAACTATGCCATTAGTGAGAATCGAATAAGATGACAAGAAGACTGTAGGTGCCTACGCCTGTGTGGTTGTCGCTTTTCCATTGATTAAGTACATTTTCTTAAGAACCGTTTCAAATATGTTAAGAATTAATCAGTGATTTAGAATCAAAAATGTATTCTATAAATGTTTTATTTCAAAGTGTTTTCCGTTATTGATGGCCGTTTAATTAAAAATGACGCTTGATTTTCAACTTTAATTTGAAAGGAAAAAGTGACATTGCTGGTATTTTTATTGCCAAGGCCAATTATTCATACTTTCACTTAAGTATGTATGTAATATATAGTAAGAGAAAGTATAGCGATCGTGAAAATTTTTCAAACTGACTTTTGAACGGCAATACACATTTTGAGGTCTCCTGAGTCCAAATAACCAAATCAGGCAAGAAAGATATGTGTCTAGAACGTTAGAGCAACTTTTTCCTTATAAAAATCGGCTGTCCGGAAGTGCCACTTTATATCGACTGTGAAAAACATTTTTATAATTTTCTCAAAAACAACTCCAACGATTTTGATTAAACTCGGTGTATCATTGTATAATTAAGTGGTCTTTAATATCATTTATCTCTTGTCCTCATTGATGCCACTTTAAAAGGCGTAAATGTGTAATGTTCATATACGTCCCTTAAACTACCTTTAACATGGTTTATTTAAAAAAAAATAACTATCTCTAACTGTTAGGAGTTACGAAAAATTTTTAAATATAACTTTTGAAAGAATTTTATAATTGAAAAATGGATAAAAGAAAAAAATGTTTATCCATCGAAAACGAATCTCCAGAAATAATAGTCAGAAGGTACTTATAATACGTACTTATAATATCGTTGGAAAGCGGAGAATTTTAGGAAAAAATAATATCACATAAAGTTGAAGAAGGTAACGGAGTGTGAAGAAAAAAATATAAATAATAATTTCAGAAAATGCAAATAATAAATAATAATTTAACGTCGATCGCACGTTTCCAAGGAAATTAAATGAAATTTTCTTAATAAATGTAAATTTAAATTTTTTTTATGTTTGAAAAAGTATTTAAAATCTATTGAACTCCATTTAGACTTCAGTACTTCAGAGGAAGACATCTTGAACATTGGGCATTTAAGTCATGTCAAGCGACATCAATGAGGATAAAATATAGCTGATATAAAAGAACATTTCATTATACATTGATCAGGGCAGGCACGACGCTAATTATTGCAGTACTTTCGTGATTAATTAAACCTGAAACAGCTGTTTTATCATAATTAATACGCAATTTTACTGCTTTTAACCATTTATTTTAGTTTATATTTCCTCCTGTCTTCTGAAATCTATACGGAAGAGAACAGCGTGAATCATTTATAAAACTACGCAATCTATTACGTGTGAAGGAAAAATGTCCATGGACAAAAAATAAAGAAACATATGAAAAATGAATACAAATGAGCAACAAAGTAGAATTGAGGCGAAAGTTTTATTTTAAATGTTTTTTGGATATGTCCATAGTGAATTGGAACGCCCACCAAATAACCTCTGTTGGATACAGCATAATTATGATGTAATGCATTAATGTATCATATATCATTTGAACAACAACCCGTATCAAAATCCTGGGTCAGGTTAAAAAAAAAATAGATAAAATCAGGCATGGCCATCAAATATCGATAATAGGCCGAAAAATAATTTTATTAAATAGTTATTGACAACATATGAGAGGAGGCTATTAATTGTTTCAAATATGTTCTATAAATAACCTACCATTAAGACTCGCATTGAAGAGAAATGTATAGAAATGTTTTTCAAAAGGGACTGGTCACCGTCTTCTACAGCTGTGGGAGCAAGCCTTTGGCCGAATGGAGGCAGTATGTAAGTAAAGGGCCCCAATATGTATCTAATATATTGACAGTCTGAGAGATATAATATAGTAAATATTATATTGACATATACACCACGTTCAATAATATTGACCGTGTAAAGGTACTATATTGTCGGTATTGCCCACGGCAGTGACTGCTGGCGGTTAAGCAATGCTTTAGTGGAATAGAAAGGAACCTATTTCGATGGCACTACTCGGCAATCTAGATATGACGTCATATACTGCTTCTTTCTGACCGCTTCTGAAGCAGTGAAGCTGTTGGCAGCGCGGAGGTTATAGGTTATGTTATGATATCAGAGCATTGTTTTGATGATAACATTCACTTTGATACGTTTCATTTCCTTTTTTTTTTTTTTTTTAGTGAAAACTTCTTTAGACGCGTTTGCGCGTTTTGTGGAAAGTGAATTAGATTGATCCGTTAGATTTCCGAAGTTTTAACAATCGTTGCAAAGTCGGCTGGAGTCGAATAATTGAAATGTTTTTATTACTTATGGAATAAAATATATTAGAAACTAAAAAAATCGAGCCTGCATACTTTAAGCGAGAAGATTCTTCAACATTTCATCCTCTATGGCTTTATCCTTCCTCTTCCAAGTAATTCACTCCCGCCGTCCTTCATACATCGCCGAGCTCCTTCAATTTAAATCCTCTGTCCACTCCCGCAATACCCGTTCCCGGTCATCAGATTTATATATAATGGCCTACCGAACCGCTGATTTCGATAAATCTTTTATTATTCGATCTTCTTCCCTATGGAACTCAATCCCTCTCCACATCCGTCAATCCAAAACCCTTCCTACCTTTAAATCCCAACTGTTTAATCACTTCTTATCCATCCAGTCATCATAAAATTGTCAATAGTTACTACTATAAATATGTATATAAATTATTAGATCGTTCTTTATTTTTTTTACTTCATGTTTATTTTCAATTGTTTACTTTTTATTATGAACTGATGTAAATTAGAATATAAATTATAATTTCTCTTATTATTATTTTTTTTTTTTACTGTTTTTTTTTCTTCTTTATATATCTCTGAGGCTCCTTAGCCCACATTTTTGTCTCTATGTATTGTTCTAAAGGGACTCGTCCCAGAATAAATAAAGCATTATTATTATTATTATTATGTAATAGGCTATAATTCAAAATTGTATCAACGCGATGCTGTGTCAGGGAGGATAACAGGAAAACTAATGCCGAAAACTAAATGTTAACGAGGATAGTTAAACATATAGATTAAAATATTTGAGATACTAAAAATCCGACATGTATAATGTAAGCGAGAGAAATGTTCATCAATTCATCTTATCTGTAATGGCATATTATTTATAATTTATATTTCATATTATTAGTCTCGCCTTGTTGATGTTCCCACTTATATCGTGTGTACTAAAGCACACACCTTAGTTTTTTTTTTTCATAGAGTCAGTCAAAATTAAGATGAAATACTGTTTAAAATTTAAACAAAACTATATTAAACAATGTTTTAAAGGATGAAATAACAAGATTATTTATTTATTTATTCCACCAAAAGTATTTTACAGAGAAATTCAAATACATCTAGATCCAAATGACGTTAAATAAATTCAGTAATCTCTAATTTAACTTCTGGTAAATATTCAAATCCAGATATTGAAAAATTAATTTGTATTCTTTAATTAAAGCGCTGATTTACTGATTACTTGCTGTGATTTCATTACAAATATATGATATTTATTACTAATCAATTCAGTTCTTCAGTTCTTGATATAATACTTCATCTTATTAATACCATGAATACTTATAATTTATATTAAAAATATTACAAGAAATAAACGTTTTGTAGAAGGTGGAAATTAATATGTGGATAATTGTTAACATTTCGTAACATAATAACCTAATCTTATTATTCAATTTTAACTACCAGAAAAAATTGCATGTATTAATTAAATAAGATCGAAATTCTGCTATCAAATCTATTTTTATCCTTCCGATACAAATAAAACCATTAAATTTAAGGCTAACATTTTTATTTAAAATTATATCAAACTAAGACGCTAAATTGGTAAGATTTGGCAGCGACGGTGAGCAGTTTCAAAGAAATATACAAGCATTAGTGGTTGAAAGTATGGAATAGCGGTCGCTGCCATGGGCAGTACTAGAGATGGGCATTACTCGATTACTTTCATGATTTGAGTAATTTTATTAGGAAAAAGTATCGAGTAGTTTCTGTACTCGGCCTGACAGCGGCGAGTACTGAGAGTACTCACGCAGCGTCAATCATGATTTAGTTAAGTACAGAAAATACTCGCGCTGTTATATCGAATTACAGAAAGTACTCAGCCCAATTCCTACAAGGAGTACTTTTTATTTTTAAACTACTCCGTCATTATTATAAAGAGTAAAAATGTTTTCTTTTATTTCCTTCAATAATAGCGGCCATATTCGACCTGACCAACCCCGAGCCCCCATTAATCGATATTAGACTAACCATCATGTCTTGGGGGGCCCTTTTCATAAAAATATACTGTCGGATTTTAGAGAGTGCCCCCGGGCATCGAATTTTCATAACTTTTCCGGTTAAATCGATATCAGGGCCGACTATTACGTTTTGGGGGGCGCTTTTTATGAAAACGCTATCGAATTTGAAAATGGGCCCCCCGGGCCCCGACTTTTTTTAACTTTTTGGATTAAATCGATATCAGGGTCGACTATTGGGTTTTAGGAGGTGCTTTTTATGAAAATGATATCGAAATTGAGATTGGGCCCCCCGGACCCCGACTTTTTTTAACTTTTTGGATTAAATCGATATCAGGGTCGACTATTATGTTTTGGGGGGCGCTTTTTATGAAAATGATATCGAATTTGAGATTGGCCCCCCCGGTTCCCGACTTTTTTTAACTTTTTGGATTAAATCGATATCAGGGTCGACTATTAGGTTTTAGGGGGTGCTTTTTACGAAAATGATATCGAATTTGAGATTGGGCCCCCCGGTTCCCGACTATTTTTAACTTTTTCAATTAAATCGATATCAGAGTCGACTATTATGTTTTGGGGGGCACTTTTTATGAAAATGATATCGAATGTGAGATAGGGCCCTCCGGGCCCCGACTTTTTTTGACTTTTTGGATTAAATCGATATCAGGGTCGACTATTGGGTTTTAGGGGGTGCTTTTTATGAAAATACAGTCGGATTTGAGATTGCACCCAGTGGATTCACTTTTTGGAATTAGTCGATATCAGGGCCGTCTATTATGTTTTAGGGGCGGATTTTATAAAAAAAAAAAAAGTGTTCCCCAAAACCTCATAATCAACATTGATATCGATTAAATCCGAAAGGTTACAAAAAGTCGGTCCCTGGGGGCACTATCTCAAAATGTATGAAAATGATTCGTAATCTGATATCATTTTCATAAAAAGCGCCCCCTAAAATATAATAGTTGACCCTGATATCGATTTAATCCAAAAAGTTAATAAAATTCCAGGCTCGGGGGACCCAATCTCAAATTTGATATCATTTTCATAAAAAGTGCCCACCAAAACATAATAGTCGACCCTGATATCGATTTAATCCAAAAAGTTAAAAAAAGTCGGGAACCGGGGGGCCTAATCTCAAATTCGATATCATTTTCATAAAAAGCGCCCCCCAAAACATAATAGTCGACCCTGATATCGATTTAATCCAAAAAGTTAAAAAAAGTCGGGAACCGGGGGGCCCAATCTCAAATTCGATATCATTTTCATAAAAAGCGCCCCCCAAAACCCAATAGTCGATCCTGATATCGATTTAATCCAAAAAGTTAAAAAAAGTCGGGGCCCGGGGGGCCCAATCTCAAATTCGATATCATTTTCATAAAAGCACCCCCTAAAACCTAATAGTCGACCCTGATATCGATTTAATCCAAAAAGTAAAAAAAAGTCGGGGCCCGGGGGGCCCAATCTCAGATTCGATATCATTTTCATAAAAAGCACCCCCTAAAACCTAATGGTCGACCCTGATATCGATTTAATCCAAAAAGTTAAAAAAAGTCGGGGCCCGGGGGGCCCAATCTCAAATTCGATATCATTTTCATAAAAAGTACCCCCTAAAACCCAATAGTCGATCCTGATATCGATTTAATCCAAAAAGTTAAAAAAAGTCGGGGCCCGGAGGGCCCAATCTCTAATTCGATATCATTTTCATAAAAGCATCCCCTAAAACCTAATAGTCGACCCTGATATCGATTTAATCCAAAAAGTTAAAAAAAGTCGGGGCCCGGAGGGCCCAATCTCAAATTCGATATCATTTTCATAAAAAGCGCCCCCCAAAACATAATAGTCGACCATGATATCGATTTAATCCAAAAAGTTAAAAAAAGTCGGGGCCCGGAGGGCCCAATCTCTAATTCGATATCATTTTCATAAAAGCATCCCCTAAAACCTAATAGTCGACCCTGATATCGATTTAATCCAAAAAGTTAAAAAAAGTCGGGGCCCGGAGGGCCCAATCTCAAATTCGATATCATTTTCATAAAAAGCGCCCCCCAAAACATAATAGTCGACCATGATATCGATTTAATCCAAAAAGTTAAAAAAAGTCGGGACCCGGGGGGCCTATTCCCAAATTCGATATCATTTTCATAAAAAAGCGCCCCCCAAAACATACTAATCGACCCTGATAACGATTTAACACTAAAACTTAAAAAAGTCGGGCCCCGGGGGCACTATCTCAAATCCGACAGCATTATCATAAAAGTCAAGTGGTGTAAAAAAGAAAAAAAAAATGGTCCCCAAAGTTGATTAAATCCAAAATATTTTAATAATTCTTTATTTTATCGATTTACATTAATATCGATACTATTTAAAAAAACTATACCCCCATAAGATAACAATGGACTTAAACATGAAAGAAATATTAAATATTCTACTCCTGTAATTTTTATAATGAAATACTCGATTACTTTGAAAAGTACTCAGAGTAAAATATTGCTGAGTAGATTTGAAAATAGAAAGTACTCACGAGGACAGCTGATTACTTTTTATACTCGTCAATCATGAGGTCGAGTAGTGATTAAAGTACTCGATACTCGAACCGGGCGAGTATTTGAGTAAATTACTCTGTAATTGTACTTTTTACTCAGAGTACAATTTTGCCCATCTCTAGGCAGTACCAGCGAAATAGTACCTTAAGGTGGGCTTAAGCCACTTATAAATTGAGCTATTTATTTTTAAAGTGGTCTAAGTCCGAATCCCAAGTTAGTTATTATAGCTATTGTACATAAGATAATTTCATGTATCTTTTATCTATTATTTCATTATTTTTTTTGTACTCAGGCATATCAATTTACTTATTTTTGTTTTTATATATTTCTTTTTCTTTATTATTGATATTAATTGTATGTACATATTGTGTGAATGAATCATGTAGCCTTAATATCAATGCCCTTCAATGTGGCAGAATGTATTAATATTCAAAAAGAAAGTTAAAAAAAAAAAAAAAAAGTTATTATAGTTACATTTTCACATATTTTCTTATGAATAAAATAGCAACTAATTAATATATTTAAAATCACCAAGTTTGTTAACAAGAAAATTTGTTGAATAAAGAAGTGATTAAAGTTTATTTTGATACTCCATTTTTCATAAAAATCGAGTTACCTACAATAATTCTTACATGATCTTTTCATGCTGAATAAAATAGTTATTAATATATTTTAAATCACTTAAACTTCGTAACATGTCGCTATCTGAAATAGTGCGTATCAGATGATCTCTTTCTACTGTTGGGAGCAGATCTGCGGATAGAGCTACTTCCCGTGCGCAAGGGTCCCAGAAGGGGGTTTCATGGCGCAAGTCGCGCAATCAAAATTTTTGAGCGGGGCATATTTTGAAGGGTTTTTGAATTTTTGAGGGGGACGCATTTCGACGGGGTCACAGGCAGATCTACGGGGAGGGAAGGGAGCTTTCGGGCTGAAGGCCCCCCCCCAAAAATGGTAAAATATAACTATGTAGGTCTTCAAGAACCACTTAAACACCATTTCATATAGGTAGTTAATTTATTTTATTTTTTTTCTAATTAATTATTGTTATATGTATATAAAAAAAAATCTTTCGGGCTCAAGCTCTCCCCAAAATTAAATCCTGGACGGGGTTATGAATTTTCGAACAAAATGACAAGAGGAAAACATGGAACAGATCGCAATTGTATGTGTATTTGTATTGTATATGAATGCAATTGTGTATGATCGATGATTTTTCTAATTCTTCATATCTTGGAAGCACGGGCGGATCTACGGGGGAGGGGGGCTTTCGGGCTGAAGCCCCCCCCCAAAAATGGTAAAATATAACCACGTTTTATCGAAAAAAATATTAAAAAAGTATCTCTTAAAGTATTATTTTTCGTGTCATTAATATTAAAAGGGCTTTAGGAATCACTTAAACACCATTTCATACAGGTTATTAGTTTCTTTCTTTTTTTCTAAAGCAATTATCGTTATTTTTATGAAAAAAAAGCTTTCGGGCTGAAGTCCCCCCCAAAATTAAATCCTGGATCCGCTAGTGCTTGGAAGAATGACAATGATTCCCCTGGAAGGAGTAGGTTATTGCTTGGGGAGGGGGGGAGGAAGTAGAGGAGGGCACCTCTGCCGTGCGAACTCTATTAGCCAAAGAAGAATCCTCTCTTATGAAAAAAAAAAAAATCTCTGAAAGTATTATTGTTTGTGTAATTACATATAATAGGACTTCAAGAATCGCTTAGGTTTTTTCTTTTAGGTAGATAGTTTCTTTCTTCTACTTCTTAAGTAATTATCGTTTTATAAATAGAGTGTCCCGTAGGTAGATAGTAGGTTGAAAGTAGACATAAAGACATATAAAAAAGGTCATATAAACAATTACCCAATTTCCAGCAGAAAAGTAGAAAATTTAAGATTTGCGTATTTTAAAGTGAGTCACGTTTTTGTTGAATAGGAAGCGATAACTAAAAAAACATTTGATTTAAGTAATTAAACATTGCTCCATAGTAAACTAGACAAAATTTACTTCAAGCGAAAGTAGAGTTTGTAATTGTTAAAACTATTTAAAGAAGACTTTTGAGCGGAAAAACTCAGCTGAGTTCCGTTTAAAAACGTTTGCCTAGTAAGGTCAGTTATAGCTTCCTCGCCGTTTTCATTGGCTAAAATATTAAAATATTACAAGATATACAATTTTTCGTATGAGAATAAAATATCTGGGAGTGGCCGATTCGGAAATACAATTACCCTTCAACATTCGCGGGTATGATACCAACGAATTTCGTTTATCGGCTGATATTAAAATGTGAAAGAGTGCCGTATTTGGAGATTCCATATTTAATTATCCTTAAAAAAAAAAAAAAAAAAAAAAAATGCCAACTGAACATGCATTCTATCCTGTTCTCCAAATTTCTTCCAAGGTTAGGTCAAATCGAATGCCCCGTTTTCAAACTATAGGCATATCAAATAACACATTTTCTGATCTGAAAGCAAAAGTATTAATTTTTTTTTAGTAGTAGATAGAATTTGAATAAATTGATGCCTATTTCATTTTACGTTTACCGATCCCAAAATTCCCTCAAAATTTGAGCCAAATCGTATTTGCGGCTATAGAGATATAGATGTATCAAGGAAAAAACGTTTGCGCATATATCATATATAAGAGAAAGGAACAGATAGAATTCGATGAAATTGACACTACATTATTTTTTCCACAAATAACGACCTTTTATCTAATTTTAAGCCAAATCGAACGAGCCATTTCTGAAATATTAGCAAATCTACGAAAATGCGTTTTCGCGTGCGTAAGCGGTAGTGCTTGTTAGAATTTAATAAAATTGATATGCAACCATCTAGACACAAAATCGCACAATTCCTCAAAATTTCATGAATTTCATAGCAGGTGGATATGCCCGTTACATCGATTTGACTACATACAGACACCGAACCAAATTCGATCCTTGATGTCTGAATCGTAAAACGCGAGTAGAAATTTTTGATTCTGAGCACAAACAATTTTTTAACCCCACTCGAGCTTTAAGTTAAGCATTAAGTTCATATTATAAAAGTTAAGATTTATTAGGAAAAATTGTATGATTCACCTTACGTTTTGTAAAGAAATGGTGTGAATTTCTATCGGGTCACATAAAAGTATCCGTGTTTTCTGTAAAAATGACTACAATTAGCTGTTACAAAACTTTTATTTCTTGTTTTTCCGTTATATGCGATATATTGTAATAAATATATTTGCCTATAAATATATTTTATTTATAAAAAAATGTAAAAATAACGATTTTTTAAAATATTGTTCATGCAAGGTTATGAAATTGTGTTCTTCCACCACCTTTCTGTCATAGAAATTAATGATTATTTATAAGTAACAAACTTACTGTTTTATACTAAAAACAAAAAACGTGACGCACTTAAAAAACACAAATTTTAAATTTCCAAATTTTCTGCTGGAAATCGATTCTCCTTAAAATATCATGATCATTAAATTTCTTCAATCCATTTATTTATTGTATGTACATACATATTTGTATCTAACTGTTCAAACTGATCTTAGAATTAGCGTGAACATAAATTTTTATATTGTTGTAAGCTATTATTTAAATAAGCACATATTATATTTGTATCTATGTGAAATATTTTTTGATTACGATCACCAAATATTAAATAAGTGTTAAAAACAACAAAAGAACAATAAACAAAAAAAAAGAAGGTATTTTCCCAGTCTAATATGTAATGTAATACCACAGAGCTTTGTACAGGATTAAACCATATCTTTAATCTTACTTTTATAATCTTGTTTTCTTCTTGTATTTTTAATTTAATTAAACACTTAAAGTAAACTATAATCGTAAGTAAAAGGTAAAATAAATTAGAAACTAATTTTAATTTACAAATTGTTAGTGATTATCATTATAATTATATCGAAATTGTAATATATTTCACTTAATAAATCATAATTATTAGTTTATGAAAAGGATGTGTTTTTTAAAATAAACATTATTGATTACAAAACGATTTTGGCTGACATGCTCAGATATCTTTCATAATCTTTCAAGAAATACTTACACCACAATTTTACAAGAACACCTGAAATGTCAATTTCTGATAAAGAATTTTTCATTATATCACGATTGTTGAAACTTTTTTTAAAAGAAAAAATTAATTAAAAAAAATTATAGAGCAGAACATTTTTAACACAAATTAATGATCATCACTTTCAATTAAGCAATGATATACAATTGTTATAAAGCTTTAAAATTAATAACGAAGTAGAAAATAATATTTATATCAAGGATTCAATAATCGTCGTGACAATAAAACGATATTGTTACAGGTTTATTAAGATTTCGTTAGCTATAAGTAACAAGATTGCATGGGTTGATGGGTTTAATCATTACAAGAAATCTTGTATAAATGTGATAAGAAATCTGTAAAAAAATAACCAAATTCCACAATTTCTGAGTTTTTATTATTTAATAATAATATTGCAATAAAATCTTTCCACGTAGCCTTTTGCCTTCCAATGAGACATTCATTGTTGTGTAGAGGTTTCCAGATGGATTTCTCCGAACTAAATGCACCGCCCACCTCATAGCCTTCATTTGGCAAACAATCATGCGATATTGATTGACCGGTTTCTGTAAGCAGCTCTTAAATAGTCTTTCTCCTCCATAAGTTAGTATTTTTATCCCAAATCGCTCCGGTTATAGTGCGGCGTACGATCAACATATGTATAATGTAAATCAATGAAGGATCGCCAAATAAAATCACTGACTTTCACCTCTTCTTGTTAGTGCGAGCACCAGTATCATTGAAAGATATTTAAAAAAATATCATGAAACATCAAAACCATAAGTTTTGATGTTGTTAAAATAATTAAATTCAAATAAGCTTCCTATGGTAGGGAATAGACAGATGGTATTTGAAGCTTTAATCTGTGGTCCAATTTTACGATGAAATGCTTGATATCAGTTATTAAAGTAATGTTTTATTTTAGATCAAAACTGGATTCTTGAGGCGCATCACAGACGAACACATCAGGTCCCTTGTCTTGGAGATAATGAGTGTAAATATCGTGAATACCTACATCACCTCTCCTCCGGATCCCAACGATTCTCTTGGAATCAAACTGCCATTTCTAGTCATGATATTGAAAAACCTCGCTAAATATTTTTCTTTTGAAATAATGGTACGTAAATCTTATTCAATTTAAAAAAAAAAAACTTATTCTACTTGACAAAGAAAGAAAATAGTAACAACATAGCTTTGTTATTGATTGAATGCAATTATATATTTGTCATACTCAATATTGTTAATTAAAACCATTTTTTTTATTAATAATATTAAAACTTAATCGTAGATAGTTGACGACAGAGATATGAAAAGGCGGTTCCGAGTCTCTAACTACCAAAGCAAATCAAGAATCGGACCTTTTTGTTGTAACATGCCGATTGGATTGAACCCCGGATGGAATCAGGTAATGGATGTAATGTTTAAAATCGTGAAACTGCTGGATATCTCAAGAGTTATACATAATTGATCTTAGTAACCATCTTTACCTAATATATTTTACATATTTTTCCCTTGAAACAAGATGAATTGAAAAAAAAAAAGTGATTATGTAATGTGTAAGATAACAATTTTTACAAACCGATAATTTACAAATTTATTAAGTAATCACTAATGAACTTATTACAAATAGACATCTGGTGATCTAATAACTAATGTCAGTTAATTACTTGTTATAGTGATGTGGATTATATCAATGAAACAATTTCAATATAAAATGTATTTAGCAAATTGTTATTATTTGCCACCTTGAATCCAATTTTGAGTATCTTTTCTGAATAAATCCAATGGTTTACAATTAAACAAAGCCAACACCTCGTTTGTCACTTCATCGTTTGAATTCATGTCCCTACCGCTTAATGAGTACTGCGATGTATGTATGGGGTCTGCGAAACAGGTGATAATCCGAAGGCGCTGATTCAGGAGAATATGGTGGGTGAGGAATAATTTCTCATCCAACGTCCTTCAATTTTTTTCAATTCGTTCGTTTGTAACACGGAGTCTCGCATTTTCATGGTGGAATGAAATGTCAATAGATAAGTCAGGGACGTTTCGGTTCAATTACCGGCTTCAATCTATCCAGATTATTACAGCAGAGATGTTTAGTGATAGTTTGGTAATGATCCGGGAATTGATGATGAAGGATCTCTTCCATATTCCACCTAACAAACTTGACTTTTTTTGGATGAAGACCTTCTTTCGCTCCTGTTCTCGGTGTTTTCCAGGACTTAACCACTGGCGTTCGCTAATGACGTTTTCTCTATATATTTTTGTAAATTTACGGAAGTTGAAGAAGTATTTTCTCCGTTCTCGAATTCCCAAAGCTTTACATGACGTGAGTGTTTTTTTGGGGGACATCCATTTTAATTGAAATGTCAGTATATAATAACAAAAACAACTCCAACAACAACATGATACATAGAAGAGTATGTATTGATATAATTAACAAAATATATAAAAACAAATTCAATTGTAAAGAAGGTATCAGTAATATCAACATAAAACGCAAATTTTTAAAAACCGACATTACTTATGAGATAACTTGGTATCTACTCAATAATGTGGTAAAGTACATAAAAAATAACGTACTCTGAATTTGTTGAAACTTCCCTCAAAATCCAAAGTTCTGGTTCTGTAACTAGAATCAGGTGAAAACAACATTTTAGTGGAAAGAACTATCCTTTTCATGATTATTATATGAATAATCATAATTCATGAATAACAATTATTTTTGGACTAGCTATTGATAAGTTATTTGAATATATGAAAAACGTTCATATGATATCTTAAATCGAAAATGAAAATAGTAATGAATCCCCGTATGAAATCAAAAGGAAGGGAGAGAGGATTCTTTCAGTAAGCCCAAAGTAACACAAGACTCATCCAATCGTTAAGCCGGCTTATTTAAGGTGGGGCTGGGTTTCCAATTCCCATCGTTAATACAAATCCAAGTTCCTATTGGTTCTTTTCATTAGTCTCCGATTAAAATCTTATATTGAAATTTTTTTGAAGTATTATGGTTTATTATTGTAATAAGATTTATAATAAATTATATGTAATTTAAGATACTGTTCAGAGAAATGTTTTGGATTAAACAAATACAAGATTTTATAATTTATTTTATATATTTTAATTTTATTCCCCCTGCGAGCGAATAGATATTTTTAAGAGCTCTGCTAAAAAAATGTGTATACGTGTCCTAGTACTCTACAATTTAGAAGTCACGTATTGAAATAATTATTTTCGTATTTTTTAGAAAATACTTTCTGTTATTTTTTATTTATTTAATTATTTATTTTTGTACAGTTAATGTCAGTTAATTTAGGAAGAAAAATCGACATATTTAAACTATTTTAGTGACTTTCAGTTTTTGCACTACCATAACAGTTAACGGTGAAGATGTTGTATTGGTAGTTAAATTAGAAAAGTCATAAATGTTATATATAAAGATAGGCACAGAAATTTTTAAGATTGTGATTGTGCGGGCGGGGTGGTTGAGCGGATTAACGCGTATGCACAGCACTGTGCGTTGAACGAGAACATGATAAGCGAATTTGAAGATAAAAAAACAATTACAGTTCAAATCCCGGTGCTCGATGGGACTTTTAACTCCCCCGCCCTCTCCTCCGGCCCGGGAAGAACTCCGTGTAGCCTAAAATGGGAAGGAAGGCGAGAAAAACAAAGAAAAAATAAAAAGGAAATAAAATAAAATGTCTTGATGTCGTTGAAGCGTGTAAAAAAGTAAAAGAATAAATAAAATAACAAATTCTATCAATTACCTAGAAAAGTTTATCTAGCATTATATGACACTGTTCCAATGTTTGTACAAGTCTTGACTTCATGTAACTGGATAAGTTAGTTTGGGACTGTCGTGATCAACTTTGTATGGATAAATGAGATACAAATTTACTAAAACGTTCTTAAAACTTTAGCTCAATCAAAAAATGTACTTAATGATTTTTCGTATTAAACATAACATAATATGCGTTTGTAAAAAAAAAAAATAACAAGTGGTATAGAACAAAATTGCTCCATGTTTTGGTGATAGGTTTTACAACATAGTTGCTTGATTCGTTATGATTTAAAGTTTCAAATACCAATTTTTAACTGCAGAAAAACCAGACAGAGATCAAATAAACATATCTTATCAATACTGAAAATACTGCTAATTATAAAATTGCATACCATTTATTTATTTAATCAAAATCATATAAATTTTTTTTAATTAATTTGGATGGTTTTCCGTGTTGAAGATGAAACTGAGAAACTCCTGCTGAATTGAGGAAAAGTATTTCTGACGAGACAAAAAAGTATAAATTGATGCTTCATGTTAATTGCAAGCGGTTCTTGCAATATTATGATCATGGTACAAGCGTTATCATTAACGATAAATTTTATCATCAACTTATACAAACAAACTTTCAAGAGTTCATCAATTACGATCACTGTTTTGGATGACTCGTGTCATTGTTTGATTAATTCATTACAATTTGTCCAATGTTAATTGAACTGACATTAAATTTTTGAATCTAATTGTTTGTACCAATGAAAGTATTTTGTTGACACAATAATTTTTTGAATGAGTGAAAATCTTAGTTCTGAGGGAAAATTCAATTTCAACTCCGACAAAAATACAAGGCTTTCCTATCTTCGTTAATTTGGAAGAACAGTTTATTTTACTAATGTCTTCATATTATATATAGGTGTGAATGTGTTTTATTTATTTTAATTTCATTCATCTTGTATTCATTATTTAATTTTTTGTACATATGTATATTAATTTTCTTATTTTATTTTATTTATTTATTTTTCTTTATTTGTTCTATTTTAGTTATTATTTGTATGTACATCTTGTGTGAATGATTACTGTAGTGCTAATACTAATACTCTTCAATATGGCAGAATGTTATTAATATTCAATTAATAAAACAATGTTTTCATAAACTGAAATCATTTTTTTTTTGCATAAAATATTAAATAAAACTAAATAGGTTTTAAAATATTAAATAGGTCTGCCAAGTAAGGTCAGTATGGCTTCCTCACCATTCTTCAAAACGAAAAATTCAAAGTCCATATTTTTTTTCATTTGAGAATAAAATCTTGGGGTGAAGCAATTTAGGAAATACTGTATTTTTTTTTCAATAAAAATACAGTATCAACTTTGTCAAAAACTGATGCGAATTACTATAAATGGCCCTGTAACTTGGAAACGAGTTCTCTAAGGGGAAAATCCATAAAATCAAAGTTGTAGAGCATCAAATTTTGCCTCAACTGAGTACTGAAATTTTGATTGTAGGCAAATTATATATCACGAATCGGGAGATGACCGATTTTGTTCACAGTACATTAACTTAGTTGGTACTCAGTTGACGCAAAATGTGATGCTCTACAACTTTGATTCTATGAGTTTTTCCACTTAGGGAACTCATTTTCAAGTTACAGGGCTATTTATATTAATTTGTCTCAGTTTTTGACAAATTTGGTAAAAATCAGCGTTGGTTGACCGTTGTTTTATACCTTACCGCGTAACAAAATTTTAAAGTTTATGCACTCGTATGACGCAAAATTTAACGTTCTTTAATTTATTAACGAATATATTTTTCCTTTTAATGCATCGTTTAGGAGTTATAGGAGAAAAAAAAATGTTGAAAAAATCTGTCTTTTTGGCTGTAAAAAGTTTTCCCTTGGTGGCCCACGTTAGCAATTTTGTGTTTTACATGTCTAAACCCATATATATATACAAGTCAAAAAAATAAAAACTTTTCTCATATTTTTCGCAATGGATTTTCCAAATTATTGACCTAATATTCTTTAAATCAGCTGCCATTTTTGAAAGCGGCGGCTCTGGAACGGCAGACAAGGTTCTTTTTAATCAGAATAACATATACTTTCGTAATTTATAATCAAACCTTCGCCTGCGATCAGGTCGATTTTTGGGCTCTGGCTCCAGGGCTATAAGGACTTAAAAATGATTCAGGAAAAATTCTAATTTATTCAGTCACACATTGTAAAAATTCAAATTATACAGACAATAATGGTCCTAATGTACACAGGTACAATTCAACCTGGCGGAATTCACCAGGCAGGCCTACGGAACAAGCTACGTGGAGACGATGCGCCTCACAATACACGCCAACTGCAGGCTGAGGAGGGTCTATTTCTCCGAGAGACTCTTCGAAGATGACGAACTGCCCCAGGATTTCAAGCTCTACCGCCCAGAATGAACAAGATGCGGTCTGTTCAGAGGCTGCTCGGTGTAGTATATATGTAAACTGTTGTGCATCATAATACATCAATTAATGACTAATCGAAAGAGATGATTAATTTCAATATTATAAATATAGATCCACATCATCAGTATACTAAAAGAGAACATTTCGTCATATTGTCGGTTGTAAAAACATTTTTATTATTTAATGAATTTGAGGCCAACAGTCGCAAGCAATTCATTCAGGAGACTAACCATATCGTTAGTAGACATTCAAGTCACAAGAAAAAAAAATAATACAAATTTCAGCTAAGGATGATTTTTATTTTAAATAACATAGATTAAAATTAAGGAGTATGATAGATTTAAAAATGGTTTTAGACAACCGAAACGGTATAAATAATAGAGGAACAAAACGAATCGTTGATTAACATTGGTCTAATATTTATTTAATTGCATATTTAATAGTTGACCGTTGCATTATAAAGGAAAGAGATGGTCCGGGGTGGCGGTAATAAATATGCTAAATAGAGGTAAAACTATTTTATTAAAATCCAACGTTTCGACCCGACTTTGCAGGTCTTCTTCAGGGAGGTGTGTTCACTTAGGAGTTTCAGTTCTAAGTGAAACTCCTAGCTGAACACACCTCCCCAAAGAAGACCTGCAAAGTCGGGCAGAAACGTTGGCTTTTAATAAAATAGTTTTACCACTATTTAGCCTATTTATGACCGCCACTCCGGACCATCTCCTCCCCCCTTTAATATTTATTTATATAATAAGAATTTATTGAAAAATATATATCACAGCCTACTTATAATTGAGGTCTCTAATAACCAGTAAAAAAGATTTCCTTTCACTTGTGTAGGTTAATACTCATAGCTGATGTTATATATTATTATAAAGTCAATTTTTTCCAAGATTACAAAAAACATGTTTCCATATAATTTTTCTATTACACTCCTGTAATATATAAACAGTAAATGTGAGTTTCTCTCATAATGTGGATGAAGTCACAAAAGTAAATGTAACTCTTTAATGAGTATTTTTGAAACTACAAAGATTTTTTTTTAATTTAACACTATTGAAATAAAACATGATGAAAAATTAGGTGTTATAGCAAACCGTTATAGAATACTATATTGAACCAATAAACTAGTTCCTAAATAAATTTATTAAATATAAAAGCAGTAGCAGCGTGGAGAAATTTGTTGGAACAGACCCAAGACGTAATTTGGATTATTATGGCAACCTGTAGGAAGCTTTGGAATGAATAGCAGATTTTTGTTGATATCCCTATTATATCATTGTTATTGATAATACTAACATTTATACAATAGAAGCATTTATGTTTACTCAATAAACGCTTCTATCACAAGATTACTGTGAGAGAGAAGGAAGAAAAAAGACAGATAATTTAAAATAACAAGCATTTTGTGTTTTAAAAGTACATTGTAACTAACCTATTCAGTATATAAAATTTTAACAGAAAAAAATTATTTCAAATACAAAAAATAAAAATATTTTTTAAAAATTACGGAAACAAGTTTTTAAATGTTTTTTTCCCTAGAAAATTAATATATATATATATATATAAGTTAAGCGTCGGCGGACTATAACAATAAAAAAAAAGAAAGGAAAGGGTAGAGATACAACACTCACGGCTTCTGAATAGACACTGCTTTATTCATCTAGTAATCCTTCTTATATACATTTGGGATGTTTATTTACATTCAGGATGGCATTAAGGCTGATATCGCCAGTCTCCGGTCTTTATCTCCCCCCCACCAGTTTACGAATATGATTTTCGGAAACTTAGATATTCCTAGATCGGAGCCAACGGTTATCGGCCTTAATACCTTACAATTGTTGTTACTAATATACACTTGAAAGAAACTAAAACTCACTCCCACTCCGAAAAAGAAAAAAAACATAGAAACTAAACACAACACTTGCTTGTAAGAACAGAACTCTTAATAACCTAAAAAAAAATAATACACTTTCCTCTACTGTATTGCTATGATACTATTTACACATAAAAATAATAATAAAAAAAAAATACATCATGTTTCCGTTTTGACAGCCAGAAAAAAAACATATTTCTTATAACCCGCGGTGAGGGTACTACGAATCCATTGGTCCCGGTTCTATCATTGGGAGCTTCAATTGTTCAATGTGAACAGTTCTCCTCTTTCTAGGTTCATTAACGCTTTCGATAGTGAGCAGATTATGTTTCCTAATAGCAACCACTCTGAATGGACCCTCGTATCGTAACAATTGTTTCCCTCTGTTGGTTCCTACTCTACGGTACACTATTGTCCCGATCTTTAGGTCACCCATTTGGTCACGTACGCGAACATTTTGCCTCTCTACCCGCTTCTGCTTTTCCCGCTTAATTTTCCCCGTCACTCTTTCCCACGTCTTTTCCACCTCTACCCTATTGATCTGGATTTGCTCGACTAACGGTTCATTAATCGTTGTTTCCCCGCAATCTCGCCTTGGCCTGCGCATCCCGAACAGTACTTCCACTGGCGAAAATCCCGTGACGGAGTGAATCGAGTGGTTGTAGGCTGTGATCGCCTTCTTCATTGCAACATCCGGCTCCAACCCTTTTTCCCCTTGACACACCCGGATGTGGTCACTCAGCGTGCTGTGCAACCGCTCAATGCCGCCTCTACTTTTAGGATGTCCCGAGGAGTTATAATGCCAACGAATCCCTAGTCTTTTCACCTCCTCCCTAATCGCGGCATTGTCAAACTCTCTACCACCGTCCGATGTGATCCTCTCGGGGACCCCGTAGAACTGCACCCAGGTTTGTAGGGCTTCCGCAACTGCGTTGGCAGACTTGTCCATGACCTAGTGTGCCATAGCTACCTTGCTGAAGACGTCGATGACCGTGACCCACTTGAACCCTCTCCAGGTAAATGTATCAATTTGGAGGTCCTGTAGTGGCATGTTCCCTGTAGGTGTCTCTTCCTGAACTCCTCTGGGGGAGTGTCGATCATATTTTGTGCGCATACACACCTCGCATTTCCCTATGACCTCTTGGATGGATTTTTTCATGCCCCACCAGAAATACTTTCGACGTAATGCCTGCAACGTCTCGTTCACGCCTCGGTGGTTGGTTTTCCCCTGGTGATAAGGCAATGTGACTGCCTGTTGTACCTCCTTATCCTGTATAGTTTCCACTGCATATTTGCAACGGATGAGCGTTCTGTCCACGCCTATTCGCTCGGATCTCCACATCCGCTTTATTTTATCCCATACCGTGTTATTTCCAACATAGAGATGGTGCGTTTTTCCCGCTTCCGTGGCGTCCTTCAGTGCCGTACGGATTTGCTCTTCGCTCACCCCGGGTTGCGACCAGATGACGCGAATCTTACTTTTCCCATATCTACGGTAATTTATTTTCATCATCCCTGCGACTCTCGTTTTCCAGATTACCTGACGATACTTGTCATTGATGATGTCGTCTATCTCCTCCATCTCCACTGCTCTTTCCTCCGCTGAGCTCTCCTCTTCCGTGGACTCTCCCCTGTCCTCTATACCGACGATATCATCTGCTCCTTCGCCATCGGGAGTCCACTCACTCAAGAATTGGCGCACGTCTCTCGATGGTCCTCCCACGTCCTCTTCTACCGCGTTGATCATGATGGCCCTAGAGAGCCAGTCTGCCACCACGTTTTCCTTTCCCGGCTTATATACCACCTCTATATTGTATTGGCTCAGGACTTCCTTCCATCTTGTGACCCTAGCTGAGGTTTCCTTAAGTTTCCCTACCCACTGAAGGGGTTTGTGGTCGGTGTGGACTCGAAACTTCCTACCAAATACATATGGCTTGAAATGGTCGACAGCCCACACTATCGCGAGTAGCTCCCTCTCCAAAGCGCTGTATCGCGATTCCGCACCCGTAAGCCGACGGCTCGCGTATGCTATCGGTCGTTCACCCTCACTCCCCCCCCCTGGGACAAAACGGCCCCTAACGCTTATTTTCTCAGTTATGCGGTTGTACTTTGCCACTAGTACCCCCGCATACTGTCCCCTCGTCTGTCCTTGGGACCGGCGCTCTCTAAACATTTGGAAGATGTCTTCCTCCGGCGTCCATCGGCCTCCTCCGAAGGCCTTCTTCAGTCGCTCCTTGATCACTGGCCATGGTGTCTCCTCATCCGCCTGAATTCGGTTCAGGATGTTCCTCCTTACGCGGCACACCAGAGCTGCTTTCAAAGCTTCCGCGTCCCCTAGGTTCACCAGGCCCTCCGCCACCTTTACCTCTATTCTTGACATGAGGCGGTCTCCGCCTTTCAGAAAGTGGTTAAGCTCCCCTACCTCGCCCCCGAAGCGTTCCAGGTCCGCAATAGCTCTCCGTAGGTCCTGCGTGGTCGCCGCTCTTATCTTCATCCATTCTAGCGCGTTAGCGTGCGCTTCTGCCAATGTGTCCCTCGGTAAGGGAGGAATCTCCTGGATCTGCGGAATCTGAGGTACCTGAGGTATTTGAGGTATCTGAGGAACCTGAGGGGCCTGCGTGATCTGAGGTATCTGCGGAATTTCCTGAGGCTGAGCGATTTCTGGGGCGTTCAACACTCCCGGTCTGATTAAGCCCCCTGTTGCCATCTCACTCTTTCCTTATGAAGAAGAAAAAAAACGAGAGAAAAAAAATGAACTTAAAAAAAAAATTACTTCTCTGCTCTCCTGACGTAGTCCCGGGTTTCGGCACCAGTTCAGCGTCGGCGGACTATAACAATAAAAAAAAATAAAGGAAAGGGTAGAGATACAACACTCACGGCTTCTGAATAGACACTGCTTTATTCATCTAGTAATCCTTCTTATATACATTTGGGATGTTTATTTACATTCAGGATGGCATTAAGGCTGATATCGCCAGTCTCCGGTCTTTATCTTATATATATATATATATATATATATATATATACATTCACGATGTTATGAAGGAAATAATAGTCATACTCTAATTAAAGAAGATATACTTGAAATTTATTTGTCTAATTAATATAAATAATAACACAGTAAAAATAATTGTAAAACAAATCTGAACTTCATATATAAAACTGCAAACGTCAGCAAAAATTATGGACGAGGTACGTGATTGGTCGATCTCCGTATCTCGTACAATACGTCATAACCTCGTAAAAATACGAGGATTCTCGTACGAACGGCAACAATGCTTGCAAGTACATGGAATATGAGTTAGATTTACCTCACTTAGTTGGTTTTAGTAACTATCTGATCAATTAATCCAGTGCAAGAAGTCATAAGTACAAGATAGTGACTTTATGATCTGTAAAGTCTCTACCTTCCTCTTCTGGCTTTGCTCCAGAGATATCCTTTAACGACAATAACTTTTATTTTTTCCGACATTTCTCCCACAGACTTGTTAACCGCGTTAATGAAATCCCACACCAATTCCATAGGGCCAGACGGCATTCCTGTCAAATTAATAAAAATATGTCTACCTGAAATCCTCCCAGCTCTCCTTTTTATCTACAATTTCTCCCTTCAGAATTCAGTATTCCCTACCTCTTGGAAAAAAGCCATTGTCCTTCCTTTAAATAAAAAGCCTAATCCATCCTCACCCGAAGATTTCCGTCCAATTTCTTTCTAACCTCTCAAAGCCTCTTGAAAGACTGGTGCAATCCCAAGTCTCCAAGTTCCTCGAAAATTCCAACCAATTTGATCCTCTCCAATCTGGTTTCCGTCCCGGCTATTCCACACAATCTGCCTTAATTAAAATTACCAACGACATTCAATCTGCAATAGATGATAGAAAATTAACTGTCCTTATTCTTCTAGACTTCTCCAAAGCTTTCGATTCCATCAACCATTTCATCCTCTTCAACAAACTAAAATCATTATCTTTCTCCAATAGTTCCATCTCTTGGTTCCAATCTTTCCTCTCCCAACGCACCCAAGCAGTCTCTATACCCAACCAACCACTATCTGCTTTCCTTTCTTTATCCTCTGGAGTTGCCCAGGGTTCAAGCATATCTCCTCTCCTTTTCAGCTCCTACATTAACGACCTACCTAAATCAATTCTCCATTGTTCCCATCACCTTTATGCAGATGATTCCCAGATCTACCTCTCCTTTTCTCCCTCTGAGTTACTGGGGGCATTTGCCAAGATTCAAGAAGATCTTGATCGAATCAATGCCTGGGCAAATGTAAATGGATTAAAGTTGAATGCTGCCAAAACTCAGGCCATCGTCATTGGTTCCAAGCCCCTCATTAGATCCCATACTGACTTTCCCATATTACACCTTAATGACCAGCCAATTTCCTTCTACTCCTCTGTTAAAAATTTAGGATTTTTCATAGATCAAACCCTCTCCTGGACCAACCATATATCTCACATTTCCCGTCGGACAATCTCTACCCTTAAACTATTTCATCGCTTCCGCCATCTCCTACCTCAACATATCCGTAGACTCCTAATTTCCTCTCTCATCTTCCCCCACTTTGACTACAGCTGTGTGGTGTATGATGGCCTCTCGGTGGAGCTCCGTGATAGACTGAAAAGATTAATGAATAGCTGCGTAAGATTTGTTATTGGTGCCCCGAGGTACTCCCATGTCTCTCACCACTACACTGAGTTAAGGTGGCTCTACCCCTCCTTCCGAAGACAATACTTTCTAGGTACGTTCCTCTACCAAATCATCAACAACCATCGTCCTTCTTATTCCTACAACCTTCTCCAGTTCAAATCCTCAGTCCATTCCCTGTCCACAAGATCTCGACCTTCTGACCTCTACATGCCTTCTCACAGATCTGCCTCATTCCAAAATTCCTTTATTGTTCGCTCTGTCAATTTCTGGAATTCCCTCCCTATCAAAATTCGACATTCCCCCTCCATATCCACATTCAAATCCCTCCTATTCCAATTCCTAGCACAAAAGCAGTCAGATACTTGCTAACCATTCGAGCGGATTTTAATAGAGAATTTGATATATTTTTATTTTTGAATTCTTTATTTTTTTTTCGGAAAAGTGTATACTGGTTTAAATAGCTTTAAGTTTCTTGTCATAGTATTAATGGTTTTGTATATAGTTTAGTTTGTTTTGTATATAGAGTTTTTACCTTATATTTGTTTTACATTATTTCTTTTTTTCGATTTATTTTGTTTTGGCCAGATGTAATATTTTAATTTTGTTCTAATTTGTTATTCTCAAGGGACTGTGTCCCAGAATAAAGTTATTTTTCTATTTCTATTTCTATTTCTAAAGTCAGAACATTGTGTACTTAGTGTACTGTGTACTTAGTGAAATTATTTTTTGCGTATGAAAGGATTTGTATTATTTGCATGCCCCTAATTACTTATTGAATCGATGAATATGATCGAAATGAGCAACTACGTACCTTCAAGTAAAGATCGACCAAACGTGCACTTAATGACACTTTGCAATAAACCGACGATATTTTGTAAGTAGGTATTTTTTGTCACCGCTTGTTTTTTGTTAAATTAAAAAAATTAATATTGGTATTAGTATTTTCATTAGTATGATATTCTAAAATAAACTCTTAAGTTTCTCTTTCTTTCTTCTCACAAGTCGATCTGTTTGAGAGATAGTGTATTGAAGTACGGTATTAAAGTGAGATAATCAGAAAAATCTAGGATGGTTAGTTTTTGACTACTACATCAGAACATCAAGATTATTTTGGAACTTATCTTACAGTAACCAACTAAATGTTGTTTTTTTTTTTGTGTCCTATTACCTCTTAACATTTTTTCCCTTAAAATTTACGAACGTTTGACATACGACATAGACGTAAATAAAACGAGTATACTCTGATTTTAAACCTAAATTTCAATAACCATATGTAGAACGTAACCTGTAAATCTGTAAACAATCCAAAGTTGAGGTACAAGCTAGTACACAACAGACAAACACTGCTTTCAGATTGGAATATTATTCTAAATTTCAATACATAACGTTTCACATACTACTCATTATCAAAAGTAAACATTTTTTTAACAAATGCCTACAAAATACATCAAAGTTGTAAAAAATAAAGAAGAAAAAAAGGGTGAAGAAAGAGAAGTTGAAAAAAATATAAAAAAAGTTAACACCATACTCTGCAGCACTGATAATTACCCCTTGGCGAAATGGGCAAAATACGTGAGTAAATCTACCATAGATTATTTCTGATCTATAAATCCCTCCCTCACCCTACTTTCAGGAGCGATGGATTTTGACTAATAAGGTATTAAAAGAAAGGGGATTTCGTGAAGAATGTGTTAATTATAATTTTGATTCTTAAATTCCAGTTAGCATACTAATAAAAATCATTGGACAAATCGGCATTAAAAGGTTAAGAAATTTTTAATATTTTGCATTTTTTTGCTCTAAGTTGAATAATGCAGAACAAAGAGTCACTTACTGATGACTGTCTGCGGGTCCCACCCACGGTTGACATGGCATATTTATCAAATGTTAAAATTCGTTTGAATGAAGGGGATGAGGTTATAATATAAACTATATTAAATTGTTTCCCAAGAAGAACTTGTTAGTTTGCTATTTATGACTTTGACAAGTTAATTAGTCGGGATACTGTATATGGCAGTTAAACTTTAATTACATGATTACTACATTATCTGCTTCTCTGTTGTGTACAATAACAAATGAGACATTGCATGAAAAGGTGTTTAATTATACCAGACGTCCATGAAATGGAGAATCTCTTCCTACCTGGCTCTGAGCCAGTTTTTATTTTATTCGTCGTTCCAGTTGACAAAGTTGACCGTCATTTTAGAGGAGGTAACAAACTTTTTTAAAATGGTAATGTGGGATATAACCACATTCGTTATCCTGACGCAAGAGAACTACTGTATTGACTACTGGAAGCCATATAAACTGTACCGTATAATATGAGGGAGAAAATGTTATCGATGGTAACTCAAGCGGAGCCACCACACACGTCACTCCTGATTCAGTAGTTGAACCATTTATTCAACAAGATGATTCCTCCGGGTCTATAATCAGCTAAACGAACACCAAAGACAAGAAGTCCTCCAGCATACCTAAAATACTTTATTATCTCATGGACGAACTAGGTGTGGTGAATATAAATGTATCCTAATTTAAAAATCACATGTTTTAAAAACTTTTTATTTTTATTTTGTTAATTATGTTCAATAATAATAGTCCGTGGTACAGACTCCTTTTTATCGAATTATTAATATTCGGCTGGAACTTCATAAATAACTTCTTATCATCGTAACCTACACATATTTTATTTACGACGATTCTCAGAATTGGTGCATTTTCAACCTGGAGATTCGGCAAACTTTGTCGTAGTATTTATTTATTTTATTCTTAGTATTTATTTAGGTACTAAAAACTCGTAAATACCTATTTGCTTTCCACTTTAATCGTAAGATATCTTAAGTACAAAGTCGAGAAAAATGGTGGCATACAAAAATATTGAGCCATTTGGGCTATATAAAGTCGTTATTTTAAAAGTTTGGGGGTGTAGGTCACGTCCCTCTGGTTTGGAAAATTCCTCCGTCTGTCCTCTGCGGCTTTTAACTTGTACCGTGTAACTTTTAACTTTTTAACTCGACTATTCATCTGCATTTATCGATTAGCAGAAGTTTGATCGATGTAACGAAAATGACATGTTATACATGAGAGAAAGATAGTTACTAAGAGTACCTCTTAACTTCATTTATTCAATTATCATGGTTTGTTAAGGAAGGGGTTCTCTCATCCACCGCCTTTTTAGTTTACTCTTCGTATTCATGGGCATGTCAGCTGAAGTCATCTCTCCCATTAGTATGCTAGTATATACTTGTAAATTAGTATGAAATCATTGATGAGGAATTCTTATGTGTAGATCAACTGTCGGCAGGTGGACACCAGCATATAGGGTTTTGTTAGTCACCTACCAAGATGTTTTACTAATGAGTCGTAATATGTGTGGGAAGTTTTCGTAACTAGGTATTTTTAGATGTACCACATACCTGTAAGAAGTATGTCTATATACAATCGAGTAAGTATTTAGTTTCCGTCTCAGTTATAGTTTTGAAGATTTGGAAAGAGGTGAGTAAAGTAGTAATAAAAACATTGTTTTTGATGTGAAAACCTCTTTAGGCGCGTTTTGCAATTTTTTGTGGAGAGTGAATTAGATTTATCCTTCACATTTCCGAAGTTGTAACGCTCAGGTAAAATAGGCCAGAGTCGACTAATTGAAATGTTTTTTCATATGGATTAAAATATCTCAGAAACTAAAAATTGGGCATGCATACTGTAAGGGAGAAGATTGTTCAACATTTCATCCTCTATATAATATAAGCTATAATTCAAAATTGTATATTAAGGCGATGCCGTGTCAGGGAGGGGAATAGGAAAAAATAGTGTCGAAAACCAAATGATAACGAGGTTAGTGGAATATATGGATTAAAAACCGGACATGTATACTGTAAACGATGGAAATGTTCAACATTTCATTTTCTTTGTAACGAGCTGTTATTTATAATTTACATTTCATATTATTAATCTCGCCTTGTTATTGTTTCAACTTATATCTTGTGGTATAATGCACGCACATTAGTTTTTTTTAAGTTTTAAGTTTTAAAATATTGATTGCTCAAATGATCATTATAAACGGCCAACCTAAATACATACTCCCTCGTTACTATACCCTAGTTGTGTAAAAATATTTGATTTTTTTTCTTTTTTATTTGAGTTACCAATATTTCTTGAACATTTGTGAAACTTATTTATTTAGTGAGCCATTGCATTCAAAACAAGAAAATATAATTTTATAAATATATGGCTGTAAAATATAATATATTCTTATTAAAGATTTTTTTTTTTTAATAAATAACGGCAGGTAAAATCTGGATACGTTAAGCGCGTAGCAGATAACGAAATAGAAGGAAAAGTGATAGAACTATCAGGTACGGCGAATGGAGTTTGGATAGCTTTACCTAAGACTATAGACCAAGTCATCGGCATTCCTTACCCATGGCTTTTCTTCATCATAAAGGCAATACCGGAGAAACAACTAATCATAGATGTACAGGTGTGTCAAGTAATATCTATATGAAAACTATTTATACTTATATATATGCTGTATGTACACCATAGTCGGATTTCACACAGACTGTCACATTATATTATTGTTATCGTAATTACTAATAAATTAAAAAAAAAATTAAGTTATGTTATTTCTAATTTTTAGCTCTTTACACTTGAGATATTTCCTTGAAAAACAAAATTAGAATTTGTATTTCTTCAAACCGAAAAAATAATGTTTTCTCGAGCTGCTAAATTACACAAAGTTTTGAGATGAATTGTGTTTAATTTGTAATACGATTATCTTTTGCCATAAAATTTATAAACCTTAAAATAATTAAGGACTACTGCAGTGTCTTACCATTGAAAAGGGTAGAAGAGAATATTTCGTTAAATAAACAAGTTTCAAGATATAGCTGTTTATTTGAGAAAAAAAGACTAATTTTTTTCTTCTTTAATAATATTTTCAAGTACTCGTTAGCTAAAATTAATGAAGCATTCAGTTTATTTCATACCTTAGAGAATGTTGAAAATGACAAAATATTACTTTTATTTAAATAAAATAATTTATTCCCCATTTCTTTCTTAAAGAATATAAACTGTTTTGTAATATCAAAATTTTTGTCTTCTTTAAAATTATATTTTAAGCAATTATTTGTAAAGCGCCATTTCATGAGACGTATGTATTGTGTATTTGCATTTTGTTTTTTGTAATTATAATTACAAGATACTTCTGGTATGTTTTATTTCAAAATACTTGTTTCTGCAATTTATGTAAATACTTTGTAATAAAATGTGCAATATTTTAAAAACTCAAAATAATTGGTATTTTAAAACTGTATCTAAAAAAAATAATTAAAATACATTTGTCCAGGTCTGTCATCTTGGATTATATAATTATTTTAAACAACATAATGAGTACATGACAAAATAAATTGACAGAAAGCGTATTCAGTTCAATGGTTTTATACTAACAAAGTGTTTAAGCCCTATGATATATGTTTTAAACATAAATACTTCAAGCTGAACGATTTTGTTAATAATTTTCTTCTGAGTATAGGCATAGATAGTCAGTCTTACAGGTCTTCATCAAACCACCATTTCTTCTCTTTTTTCCTTTACTAACTCTTTTTTGGCTTGGCTTTCAGTGACTAGCTTTGAGCTATTCTTATCTTATTATATTTGAGTTATACTTACATTAGGATACCATTTAGCATTTCTGGATTGTTAAATTTGGTTTTAGAAAAACACTGATTTTTTTCAAGAACAATTTATCTAAAATATATTTGTAGATGCCTTAGATAACAAAATTCAACGTCAATCACCGTTTTTCTCAATATTACGATTAGTATTGTATATATATATTTTTTTTTTGTTTAAATTGTCCTTCGTAAAATTTCCAATGCTCCTTACTCTGTTACAAATAAAATCATCCATAATGACCTTAATGTTCCTTATGTATCAGATTTGGCCCAATCCAGATATCTGTGCTTCCATAATAAACTTCATAACCATCCCAACCCTCTTGTTTCTAACCTTTCTTCCTATTCAATTCCTGATAACCCTCCGAGGCGTCTGAAAAGAAGATGGCCACGTGATCTCCTAATATAGACATATTATTAGAGTGCTACCAATGGGTAGTTTCTCAACATGTCTTTCATGTCATTATAGCCATTTGCGAATTTACCAGATGTATTTTTTGCATACAGTTGTAAATATCATATAAATAAATATATAAAAATAAAAAATGATTAAATTGTGATGGATTTTTTTCATGAGTGTTAATCCGGAACTGAAAGGCTGCACGGAATAAAATTATTCATCATACTTATCTTCCAGATTAGAATACCGCTCAAGAAGTTATCAATTAAAATAGATAAATAAAATATAGCATGGTACGAATTATTACGAGAATTGATTTCAATGTGTTTATTGTAAATGAATTTTTAAAATTCTTTTGGAAACGTTTCATGGCAAAATTTGCAAATCGTACGACACATTCATCTTGATTACGAATATTTTTTATTAAAATATTCTCTCCTCGAAACAATACTGAGTAAATACTTATTTCATTGATATTTCAAAAGAAGGAGCTGTACTTTATTTTATCTATTTATATCCCACTCCTTGCTATAAGTTATCAACCTTAAACCAAATAAAGTTTAGGATTGGAAAAAGCAAAGGTTATAGTATTTGATTTATCATTGATAGTTGACCTAAAAAGCGCCTCCAAAATGGGCCGACAAGTAGACAAAAAATGAGTACAATACTGCCGTGATTGTGCCTTCAATCGTTATACCTGATTTTTTTAATAAAATAGATTCCTTCATAGTAAGCGTAGCTGAATAAGTAATTTTCGTATATATTTGCTTTTATTTAAAGGTGGACATATATTAAAACCAAATGATTTATTTCGCAGGTTCTGGACAGTACGAGCATAAAACGAACATTCAGGTTCGACACGAAAACTACTCTGACCAAACTTCGTCATATGCTGGCGTTGGTGGATTTAAGTATAAAACCCGGTTTTTGGACCTGCCTGGAGGTGGGTTATTAATTACTTAATCAAACATATTTTAACATAACGAATTTTAATGTATTGAAAAAATTATGAAAGTAAGACAACGCCAAGAAAATGTGAATGCGTTGTTGTTTTTGTGGTTGCCAAGATTAATTAAGGATTTTCGATATTGGTTTTATTAAGGTTTATAATTATTATAACTATGCTTTCAATCAATAATGATTAGTTTTATTTGAGCCTTTCAGTTGACAGAATAACTAACTCCGATGCCATAATTTTTTAATATTAATTTTAGTGATATTTCTAGTTGGGAAATCTTATACGTTTATTCACAGTTCAATATTACAACAATGCAATCACTTATTATGGAATCAACTTGTTTGTAAAGATATACAATTTTCAACTAAAATTACTTTACTCAAAAAATGTAGAAATTTGAGGTAGTCATTCAATCAACTTTGTGTGGTATATACGTTTATTTTTTTATCTGTTATGTTGGAATAATGCTTAGATAATAAAACCAATTATGATCATAACTTGGTTGTTTTGCCGAAATCTTTCGTTTGACTAGCCCTGGTGAAGGCCCGAACTTTGGGTCGAAACGAAGTCAAAAATAAACAAAAACATACTTATTTATTTTTAATTTTTTTTTACTGGTCATCCTAACTAATCTTCTCTTGAATTATTCACTACAGACAACCACCTATCCACAATTATGATCATTATAATTAAAAAATAATGCAATTAATGTATTCATGTTATGCCATTCTTGTTTGATTTCAGGTACGAATTACTTATAAATGATATTGAATTATTATAATGTTTATATGTTATATAACATTTCCGTAAAAGTATTCCTGAGGTGCGCTCGCTACAGACATTGAAAAGTAAATGAAATCGGTCTATGTAAAAATCGGTCATGGGGTTAAAGATTTAATATAACATTGATAATATAAGACTGATATAACAAAGATTTAAAAAACGGAAAAATAAATAAAATCAGAGGAGTATAAAATAACCGGCTTGATAGAAAGAAATTGCAATAATAATGTAACCATGTTCGCGATCATCCATTCCCACTGAACATAAGATCTGGAATGAAATAAAAAATTATTTTTGTTGTTGTAGGTAAACGTTACTTGGTTATAATTAGAACCACATAGATTCAATATTTTCCCCAGCTACTCAGAGATAACTGCTATAATAATTTATACAATTAAAGTGGCTATTATAGAATGATGTGTCTTGAAATTCATCATCGTGATCTCAGCTATTCGTTATAACAACGCCCTTGCTTTTCATTATCTGAATAGATAAGAAAAAAATTCGCTTATAAATAGCTTGGATTCAGTCACGAAATATCTTTCTTTCCTTTTATTTTTCCTGGTAAAAGAATGATAAACTTTAACAAATTTAAACTACAGACTAATTTAATGTGTATACATATTTATGTGGATATATTGTCCGTTTATTGTTAAAATCAGTAAGTCACACTAATATTAAGCGTTTAATGTTCTAATTTTCGCAGAGGGAAAATTCATCAAGGTACTTATGTTAGTGAAATAATTTTCTAAAATGTTACTTAATGATTTTTCGCAATAAACCGACGATATACCCAAAAAAAAATTTTTCTTGCTATACGCTATATTATTTAACATCTTTAGCTAAAGATAAACTTTTTGTTATTATTTGAAAATTGTAACCTCATTTCTATGAACATCATTTATCACTTGCATTCTTTCACTGTGCAAATCAAGATATTTTCCCCTTATACAGACATCCAATAATAATTCTAATGAAAACTAAAACCAAAATTGAGAAATAAAGTTGTTTAAATGAATTTTTAAACCTGGTCATGTAGGTCTACGAATGCGTTGATTTCCACCAAAATCTTAATGTCTTGACATTGAAGAATATGGACTACTCGTAAATTTATAATAATTATTTTATTTTCACTATAGAACAAAATGATAAATACTAATTGGACTCGATTTGACTTTGCGCACAAGGTGCTATTCGGGTAACTTTCATCTTAAGCTCAAGAGGACTAGAGTAGAGTAAAGAAGAGGAGTCTACATTCTGTCTGAAATATGTTGAGGACCCTCCACAAGGATAGGATGGTAATCTCTTGGAGTGGGTTACTGAGGTGGAGATCTACAAATATTGTATTTGGGGAAGGTGTTGGTTCTTCGATATGCTTATTTTTATTTTAAGAACAATAAAGAGATTCATTTTAAGATTATATATATTGTATATACATATATATATATACCCCGTACTTTAAATCGGAAATCGGGATGTGGTCTCCACACTTGGGGTCAAAAATCCCAGTTTTTTTTTTTTTTTTTCGGTTGGCGTTACAGACCGAAGTAGCGCCAACCGAATATATATATATTTTCGATCAGTCTTTCAGTCTAATCGTAAGTTATATATATATATATATATATATATATATATATATATATATATATATATATATATATACAGTGCTAGAAACAGTGCTTTACCTAAATAGTACTGAACCCCAGACCCTTTATGGGTCCCAGACCCTTTAAGGGTTGTAGTGGTACAGGTTTTTTATATATATATATATATATATATATATATATATATATATATATATATATATATATATATATATATATATATATATATATATATATATATATATATAACTTACGATTAGACTGAAAGACTGATCGAAAAAAAAGGGTTTTAGGGCATAGTAACAGTACACAGGTTCGTGAGCAACTGCCTTTATTATTATTTTATCCCATATATATAGTAACGGTTTGTTTTCATTTACAATGCTTTGTCAATCCTAGTAACATAGTAACATAGTTCTTATTATTGTATATGGCTTATACACAGCTAACTTATATATATATATATATATATATATATATATATATATATATATATATATATATATATATATATATATATATATATATATATATATATATATATAATATATACAATTCTACCTCTAGAAATGGCAAGGGTGGGATTATAAAAAAAAAAATCCATGGAATATATATTTTTCTTTAATCTTATTTATTGAAAAATATTACAATCTGTCTCAAGGACATTCATAATAGTGTTCAGAGATCACATTCACACTCTATGTATAATAAATAAAATTATACAGAAAAATTATATACATGCAATAAATAAGAATAAAATAACCTAAAAATAAATAAATAAAAATAACACATACATACCTATATACAATATATGTATTTTGTTTAGTGCAGATCTGCTCAGTATAATGTTATCACGTGGTTTCTAGTAGCCAAAGCGGAACTTCCCGATGACTGGGCTCTCGGTAGAGATCCGCTTCTGGGGTCCTCAAATCACCGCGGAATGTTAATAAGATATTTGTTATAATAAAGTTAGAGATATTATAAATGAGTTGTCCGAAATTCCTAGTAAGGAATATTAAAATTTAAGTTAAACATTTTTGTAGGCTTTTATTATAATTTTTAAAAACTTGTATTAAACAGATTGTTTGTGTTTATAAATCATTTTTATTGACTAGCAAACCTTAGTATCTAAATAATATGTAATTTTAAGATTCAAAGGTTGGCTAATCAATAAAAAGGATTTATAAACACAAACAATCTGTTTAATATATATATTTTTTAAATTATAATAAAAGCCCAAAATAATGCTTAACTTAAATTTTAATAATTCGAACTCGGAATTTAGGACCATTCATTTATAATATCCCTAGCCTTGTTATAATAAATATCTTACTAACATTCCATGGACTTTTTTTTATTGATACTCCTACCTTGCCATTTCTAGAGTTACAATCCAACCATACTCTAACCAGCGTGGGAAGATCGATATTAATTCCGTTGGTCCACCAAGAAATAAATTTCAACCAGCCCAGGCCGGGTTCGAAACGGAAGGTTAAAGTTTAAGCATTAACACGCTCGACTATCACAGCAGCGATAAATATCACGTGATCTGTTCCCGGTTTTTATGATTGAGGTGATTACGTTCCCGAAAATATAATGAGCGTGTAAAATTGTTGGAATTCGTAACGAAAAAAATACCTAAAAGACTAATAATTGCTGTGCCGACTAGTGAACGTCCGATGGGTAGATCGAAGCGAAGGTGGGAGGATTGCGTTAAGGCTGATCTAGCGGGATTGGGCTTGGACGCTGACTGGCGGAGGGAGGTGTGTAGAAAGAGATTAGGGCTGTCTGCACCGGACCTTCGGGTTTGCTAAGCCTTTTATTACAAATATCCCGAGATCTCTAAGCTCAGTTATGATCATCCTAGGACAGTTTCCTTCGTCGAAATCAAAAGCTGATTTGAAACCGGAAAATAAGACGTGCACATCCTGAGCTACTTCCTATTTTCCTATAGATTTTGAATCCTTTGTTTCAGGAAGATCTGATCATGCGCACTCCTTCCTCCTACGAATGATGCTTAGTGGCTGCTTGTTATAATTTCACAATACGGACACATCCGATTCAATATATTTTAGAGGATATTTGTCATTACTCAGAGACAACGGAAGGAATGCTAAATAGGCCTTTGTAATTACTACACATGGTGGCCTTCTTTAGGGTAAGCATAATCATTATATTGTTTCATATTATTTCCATTTTCAGATGGACTTGATACATCTAGTGGCCAAGAATTATAATACCCGTTTCGTTCAACTCTGCCGGATTCAAATTCATGGAAGTTGCAAAGTACGTCGCGTCTACACAGCGTCTAGTTACATCACTCAAGAAGAACTCCCTCCAGAATACAAAGTCTCTCCTGCAACGAACCTTAATGATCCACCGACTAAACCAACTGTTACATAATTAAAAGAATACTATTTTTTTTGTTTTTAATGAGTTTATTTTTCTTACGAGCTGATTTCTTAAAAGGACTATTTATAATAATTCTCATGCATGTTTCATGCCTTTGCATTTCAAGTGAATCATCTATTGTATTTTTATGTCAGAAATATTATTCAAATGAGAATTATTATAAATTTTGATTTATTATTTTTATTCCTTCACATTTGAAGTTTTTCTAAGCAGTTTCTTTGTATTTAGCTCTGTTTCCATTGTAAGTACCTCTGTTCCCATCCTATCAATATGTCCGGCCATGCTATTATCTGGTTTATTATTCTTTATATTTGAGGTTTCTCTCTGATTTTTTGGGCATTCCTGGATCAATTTAAATGTTTATTATGTATCCATTTATTAAGTGAGGAAAAGATGTTAAATTTCCTTCTTCGTTCCCTTTTAAGATCATTCTTTGTTATTGTCGATTTACTGCAGCATTTTATTCTTAGAAGATCAATAGGATTTTACCTCAATTAACGCACTTAATTACAACAATTAACTACATTCGGAACATTTAAAATAAATAAACCTGTTGATTGGTTCAATTATTTTCAAGAAAACGTAAATTGTTGGACTAGAAAAATTTAATTGTTCACTCATAAATACGGTTCAATTTTTATAATAGAGATATAGGTGAAAAACACAGTGTTATAAACAATTTACCTAAAAATATTTGAAAAATCGCATCGCGCTAAAAAGTGCATTTAGCCAATTATGTTTACTATTATGCGTCCAAAATCATGGAAAACATGAAATAAAAGCTTTGAAACAATTAATTGTAGACATTTTTGCTAATAACACTGGCACTTGTTGGGGACTGGATAAAAAATCACATAATACTTTTACACAACTTGATGTGAATCTCAACGTTTTTGCTAATAAACCTCCACTTAATATGTTCTTAAAACTTGTTAAACGTGGAAGTTTTTCTAAAATTGCAATATCTGTAGTATAGTTAGAGAATAGAAAAAAAAAATCAATACATCGAGTAATGAATTTAATGGATTTTTCAAAACATAACTTAGTTTAGTTCAGCTGCTTAAAAGTTGTCTTTAAATGGTTTTGACGAAGACAAACTCATTTGAAATTAATTTTGTCTAGTTTAAAGGGAATATATCGTTAGTTACTTAAATTAAATATTTCCTTAGTTATCGCTTCCTTTTCAACAATGACGACTTGGTAAAAAAAAAGCAAAAAAAACAAAAAAAAAACGCTTAAACCAAATATAACCTTATACGGTTATATATTAACTCCGAACAAACAACAAGTTGAATTTTTCCTATGGATGTTCTACATGACATTTTGTAATCTGCAACTGATATAAGTAGTCTGCTACTATGGAAAATAGCAGATGACAACTAAGAAATTATACTAACAAAGCATAAAGAAATAATGAGTTTTTATGCAAAACACTCAATTTTTACATATGGCCTTTTGCACTATCAGTAGAGAAATGTATGTTCATTAAGCTTTTTTTTTTAATTAAGGATAATCAAATATGGAATCTTCAAATACGGCACTCTTTCGCATTTTAATGTTAGCTTATAAACGAAATTCGGGGATATTAAACCCGCGAGTGTTGAAGGGTAACTGTATTTCCGAATCGGCTTCTCCTGTAGATTTTATTGTCATATGAAAAATTGTATACCTTGTAATATGTTAATATTACAATTATTTGTAATTTTTATACAATTATTTTCATAAGAAAAATTGTATACCTTGTAATATTTTAGCCAATGAAAACGGTGAGGAAGCTATACTGATCTTACTTGGCAGACTTTTTTTTTTTTTTATTTCTAACAAATGGCGGGCATTTTCAGTCCGGTGGCTCCAGGCAAATGCCCAGGTTCCCGTCCTGAGGCCGGCACCGCTTACCATGGAACTAGGCGAAGCAAAGAAGAGAGTGGTAAGTGGGAATATAATATTGAACGGCCTTCAAAACAATCGAAACCTCCTGAAAACTGCACAATGAGCTTGACTGGAACAAAGGTAAAATGTCGCCGGATTCCAGAAACAGAAAATGTATTTCATTGATTGGAAAATTTAACACGAGACGAAAAAATAACTCTAGTTTCATTTATTCAAACCAATGAATCTTCAAAATCGGGAGAAGCTCAGAAACGAAGTGAGCTACATATCAGTAGGTTACCTAGAACCTACTAAGCATCCGTGAATCAAACCATGTCCATATGAAGCTGAGTACGTTAAAATACGAAACCTTTAAAGACGTACGCCCCCATCTGAGCCCCCCCCCCAAAAAAAATAATTGAACTGAAACTATAATGCTCATAGGACAAAAACTACGCAGTTTTATTTTCTCCTGAAAATTTTTAGTTCTAGTTGTTACAGGCTTTTGCAGTGTGGCTGTAGATATATATAATTGGAAGTGGCAGATTCGAGATTTGTACCGAATATGGTTCGAAGATCACTTCGAGCACAAAGTATATGGAATCTAGAATTGATAAAATATAATGGCTGACGTGTTCTAACTACATATTATTTCCAAAATGCCCTGAAGTCATCAAATACTGAGAAAAACTTACTTTTTTTTAATACGGAGAAATGCGTTTTGAATAAAAATTTATTCCTTATTATTCAATCGCTAGGATCGTGATTAATAAGGCGAGAGTACAGGGGATTTCGATTGTCTTAGATCGGAAATTTGCGTTGATTTCCGGAGATTTCCGTTGGAGCAGATCTTAACAATATAGGGGTTCGCTTTCTCTTATATAAATTCTTACTTTCTCTCAGTTTGGGTATTCTACTGAATGGAGCAGGCTAGAAATTTATTTTAATTTTATAAATCGATTTTAATGACATATGTAAGATCACAGAGTAACCTATACACACAAACATTTATAATTATAAATTTTAAAGACCAAGATCACAAATTATCCAGTAAGACATTCACTTTGCCCAAAATTAATTTGTAAAAAGAATCCATATAAGTGACCGTCAATGTCTACCAAAACTCTGATTAAAAATCCAAAAATTAAAGAAGAAAAAGAAATAGTAAAAGTAGAAACATTACTAAGCAGCGCTGATGAATATCCTTTGCAGAACTGGTCTAAGTTTGTATGTTAAAAGTGTATTTTTTTCCAATTTAGATGTTTAAATTATTTACTCTCCTATTTGTGCGTTAGTAAAAATTAAAAAAAAATAAGACATCGATAAACACAGATTAAACAAATACTGTTAACTGAGAATGTTTACAATAATTAATAAATCGAATTACCAAGGAGATCTTTAATCGTGGTTGTCCATCAAAATTTTCTATATAAAGTGAATAGTAAATTTGACTGTATTATCAACATCATATAGTAATTTTACTCTATTTTTTCTGTTTGGTTTTCAACGGTTTCTCAAACAATATATTGTTACAGAAGTAGCCAGTGTGAGTGAATTAAATTGGATTGATACAAATATCGAAAATATAGATAATATATAGGTATATATGTGATGAGCTCAACTTCCAGGCAATGTTACAACATGTCCATCCCAAAAATCTAAAATCTTAACCCATGTACAACTCAGAAATACTAAGAATGAAGCTATTTTCACTTCAAAGCAATTTTAAGATAAAGCTAAACATATCGTCAGTTTTTTATAAAAAGTCACAAAGTCCATTTTTAATCGTACTGAACTTTTTAAGAACATTTCCGTATTTTGTTTTAGTTTATTATCATCTTTCCTCGCCTTTCGTCACTACAGATTTTCGGAAGAAGCAGCACAATACCCCTACCACTTGTTCTCTTTCTTCGTTCTGTCCTGCGGTAAGTTGTGAAGACATGCTCAGCAGTTTCCGGAACACCACAACAGGGACATAGTGGGTTAATTTCCTTTCCCAAAGCCATGAAGCTTGGCGCAAAACCATCCATCTCCTGTGAGGAATTGTGACACCAGGAAGAACATAATCAGGGAGAACCCATTTCGCGCTTCTAACATTAAATAGAAGGTCCCTGAGGCCCCAGAAGGCGCGGCCAATATTATTTAGCCCATTGAGGACTAGGGTCACCCTACTTCTGAGGTAATCCAAGTGAGGAGTGACATTGAATCTTCTACCGAACCTTGCTCCAATCCTATCTTGACCTATTACTTCCTCACACGGACTAATACTTATCCCTTGTATATTCATGACAGTACGGTAAGCCCTAGCAGTCCTGCTCCTAATAAGTATAGTTTGGGTTTTGGCGCCTGTCATTTTCATACTTTTCCTCTAGCACCATTCTTCGACAAGATTGGCGCATCTTTCTGCTTCTTCTTTCAAGCCGGCTCTACTGTTGGACGACACCACTACGGCCAAATCGTCGACATAGGCCGTGGCAGAGAACCGATCATCTTCGAGTACCAACAGAAACTCATCGTAAATTAATTTCCAAAGGATAGGTCCAAGGACAGAGTCCTGCGAAAATCCCCTTTCTACTTTATTAGAAATTAATAGAAGTACCTCGGATCCTTACCCTTCGACCCTCCATTAGTGCATACAAGTTGCTGGGGTCCCCAAACCATTGTAGCTGCTGCATCACATTCGGCCATTACACGTCCTCGAAGGCGGTCGCTACTACACCTCTGATACGACCGCCGGGCCTTTTAGAGGTCTCTTTTCAGGGTAGTTAAGGCCGACGTCCACTATGGGGCTTAATTAACATTAACATAATTTTCAACATTTACATCAACTGCACAGTTCTGATTTTATAGAGAGTAAATTCTTTGAAGTACTACTTAATTTTATAAGATGTTACACATTGATTTTTTGCAATAAATCCACCAAATGCATCTACTCAGATTAGCATACTACACTAAGTATTGTATAGTTTAGAGGTCTCCAACCTAAAACTCGCAGGTACTACTGTTCCCGTATAACGTCACTCATGCACAAGTTTTAAATAAAATGTTAAATATTTATTTTAATAAATATCTAATAATCTATCTTATGTGCGATTACTTTGAAAATAGTAATTTATTTTTTCAACCATCATTATTGTTTTACGCGACATTGCTGCAAGATAAACGAGTTTTAAATCCAAGTAATTCACAATTTTTTTTTCTTAAATACTCGTATATATAAAAATCTATCGAGATATTAGAGATATAAAATTCAAAAGTATAAATGAATTATTCGATAATAATAATTTATTTATCGAAATGATCACCACTACTGTTTTGTTTAATCTCTTTGTTTGGTAGTTGCAATGAATTACACTATCAGTAACACTGCATTAAACTTATTTCATATTCAGTCATAAATCATATGAGTTATATAGGGGACCCTACACGGTCAATCGGAATTGCACTAATGACGTTCCGAATTGTCGTGTAAGGTAGTGAATGAAGTACTGATGGTGGTGCGCTGCGGATTTCCGGACATGCGGAAATCAAAGGTTCATTCACGAGAAGTGGAGGGGGGACTGAGGTAAAAGTAGTGGGGAGACTAACCATAATGCTGGATAGGTTAGGTTACCTAGGCCTCACAACCATTATAAATTTCTGATTTTCATTATATGTAAATAGTTAAATAATTTTTCATATCCCTTGTTTATAATTTTAAACCATCTTCAACTATTTCTTTTAAATAGTCAAGTGGGCAACAAATAAAAAAAAAAAAAATGAGGAAACTTCACAATTTACTTTAGGAAAAAAAAAAACTTTAACGTTGTGTATATTTATCAGTTCTTTTCCCATTTTCTTCAACAAATTTATTATTTTCGCAATACCTTCCCTTAAGTTTTGTAAGTAGTAGGCTTATATTTTACTAACTTTTGTCAAAACGATTTTCTATGAGACTAACCTTACTACTAGATAGGTTAGTTTACCTAGGTCTCGTTATTAAGTAAATGATTTCATAAAAGTAAATAGTTGTTTATATCCCTAGTCTATATTATTATTAACCATTTTCAACTATTTTTTCTTTAGTCATAGTCAAGTAGGCAATAAATTAGAGAGAAAAAAAGTGGAAACTTCACATAAGTAATGATCAGTAGTGATTGAACGTGTAAGGGTCTTCATGATCAAAGCGATAGCGGGCAATCTTGGCACTTCTTGTGACGTTCATTCATGAATTACCGTGTAGGGTCTGCTTATGAAATGAAATTTAAATTTCAAAATGTGCTAATCTAATGTAAGGAAACTACGTAAAGTTAACATTTATTACACTTGATGTTTCGCCTTTTCTAAGGAATATGTCTCATTAGTTATAAAAATAATAAAGATATTTGTTTACTATATGTATATATTTTTTTTTATTGATACTTTATTAAAATATTTTTAAATATTATGGACAGTAACCCACCTGCAATTTACATTGAATTATAAGAGGGTGTTCGCAATCTATCACATAACCTGTAATTGTACCCGGACGTTGGGTTGGAAAACCATGACATAATTAATGGTTTGCTATGTATTGTAAAGACCGCCGGTGGAATAATTATTTTAAATGTATAAATAAACATCATAAGTGTTCACATCTGGCGGTACCTGACTAAGGGTAACGACCAACAAGCCCAACCTTTTGTAAGTGGTAATAAAAACCTTTAAGAACCACCGACCAAGACCGACAACTGAGTGTTTAAACAGGATCCCGAAAGACCTTTTCACACCTTCCACCAGAAATACCTAAGTCTGTACCTGCTGCTTTACCTTGGCCTGGGGGAGAGGGCGTGGTCATCCCTTAGGCTGAGAATATTCAGCAAATCAGGAAAAAGACTACCAAAAGAGAGGGGGATGAAAAAAGGTGGGAAATAGAGAATTGGGACTGAAAACACTTCTTTTTGGAACGGAGAGGAGGACACTTCGTCTTGGAAGGCAGCTGAGAGCACTTCCTCTGGGGACTCGGCGGAGGAGAGATGGGACACAGGCTGAGACTGGATCAGGAGAAGCGAAGAGAGCAGATGGACGGACTAGCCGCTGAAGGAGAGCAGAGACAGGGAATCCAGATATGACGGCTAGAAACACCCAGAAACACTATGAAGGACCAGCTAAGTGGTAACAAGCATTTAGTTATACTAATATAAATTTGTGTTGGCAACCATCAATCATTAATTAATAAAATCAATAGAACATAAGTAACTCTAATCAAGCATTCTCCTCTAGTATGATTCTCAACTATTCATTATGTATATAGGTTTAGTTATTATTTTGTATATAGATGTTTTTGGTTTTATTTAAGCTTGTAAATATAATAGTTAGTAAACCAACGTAGTACTTTTACATTCTACCTTGCATGCCACCAATTAGTAATAGAAACAAATAGTAAATTTATAAACATGATACCTTTAGAAAGGAAATCCAATAAAAATTATATGGTTCAATGTAGGATACTACAGTAGGGGGTCTGGGGTATCTAACATTTAAATACATCATTAATATATTTTAAGTCGATCGGTTCGCTTCTGGGACCGATATAAATACATATAAATACAAATAAATGCTGTTCCTGGAACCCCTTACTCGCCGTAGAAACGCGAGGCCAGGAACATAGTAGGTTTAAGTTTTGATTCGCAGTTAACACTTGCCATGCATTGATTTATCTAAAAAGGCAGATTATAGATACCTACTATATTACTTACGAACAATCTTTAGGTAAAAGTCACCATGCAAACTTTAGATGGATATGAACTTTTCAGTATTTGTTAATTTCGATCATATTCATCGAAATAAAAACACATTGCATGCACCAAAACAGCACTAGCCATACTATCTGCATGTCAATAACAATACGTGCATAGTGTTTGTATATTGAAAGTTAATATTGTGATATTTTAATGTATGAATGCTACTAAATATTTTTTAATCAATGTCGGAGCGTTAGAGAAATAACAAAATGTTAATTTCAACAGAGTGCCGTATGAGTTCGCTCTTTACTTTTTTTTTTGTAACCTTCTCCCCCAACAATCATTACACATACTCAGAACCAAGGATTAACACTAACATTTTCATCTTCAAACTACATTCAACAGACTACAATCACATAAACATATTCTAATTTTGATGTGCCGAAATTCTTTCCATAAACTCACTTCAAAAAAGAACTCCCAATGTCAATTATGTCTTGGATACCTATTCCCAGAACAGAAAAAAAACCCATAGAAGAAGAAGATCCCAGCATAGAAACATTGCTGTATAGTGGTGATGAAAATCCTTTGGCTAACTGGTCCAAATTTGTATGTAAAAACTTTACTATGTCAATATTTAAAGAATTATATTCTACTTCACAATTAAGGCTATGTTGATGATACTGTATTTATTATCTTTCCAATACATATTCAGCATTCCGCAATCCCTAAATAATCTGGTTCAACACTAAATTATATTATCAGACTTCAAAAGATTCATTATGTCAAATTCGTATACTGTATTAGTTGAAATTTTTATTATTATATCATAACTAGTTGGCCAATGCAAATAATTCGCAGACAATTTAGTTTAGTGAAGGAATATCAAAACAATAGGAAAATAAGTAGATCCTATGTATTATCTGAGGGAGGAATTAATTATTTTTCCTTGGTCGATTACAATATTCCATATTTGTACAAATTGCTTTGCTATAGAGCCCATTTTTAAACGCTGTCTTGAAAGATAATAAAGCCAAAAAAAGCATATATCATGGGATTTTCTAAATTATTACAAAATATAAAATTTATAAAGTTAGTGAAGATTGAAGTGATCCTTCACTAATTTCTTCCACCGGTACACGAATGCTCCGTAGTAATTTATGTTATCCGGTAAAATATTAAACATTTAGTTCGCAGAAGATGACTTGTATTGTTGGTTTACAAATCATGTAATTTAATATTTTTATAACATTTTGTATACATTCCATACAAGCGCCTACTTTCTTATAATTTATGAATTTTTCGATAGTGGATCTGTGGAATTTCTCTTTAATGATTAGCCAGTAGAATTCCTCCACTGACGATACATCTTCTGGAAAGATGAGCTTAACCAGTTCACTTGTGTTGTGTTACTTAACTAAGTTTCTGCTTTTGTATTAGTTTAAAAGATATAAAATCGCTAGTAAACACTTCGTAGTTATAAGTGTTTAATATTCTTACGGGAAGAAGAAGAGAAGTGGAGAATAGGGGAGGGGGGAGAGGAGAGGGCAGTAAAGTAGAGAGGTTACACCTAGACTAGACTAGTAGAGTGAAGATAATAGGATCGAATCTCACCCCTTACTTTCCAATAAGGGCCCCCGCGGGAAGTTAGACCCTTGCCCCCTTAATTAGGGGAGGCCTATAAGTTCAAATAACCTAGTAAAAATAGGCTTATAATAATAATGTTTCTATATACAAAAAATATTTTGTTCTTTTATAACGAAGAATTAAATTTCAAAAACGTAAGTATTATGTATTTTATATAACTGCATATAACATAGGCAGAAACCTTTTTATCAAAAGAGACCACATATAGGCCAGGTAGTGATAAGGGATGCCGCTATATATTTTTATAACTTACTGTTGCTCTTTTTATTTTTAGGCACACACAATTTTATTTTATTTTTCCCGGTCGACAGTGCAGAGTATAGAGATCTTTTATCGTGGAATATTGTCATTGAAGTCTTTATGTCAACTATTCTATGTTTAATGGAGAGAATTAATGAGGTTTTAGTAGTTAATATTGAAGCTGATTAAAATTCAAATGCTTTCCCACACTTTGTTTTTTGGCATAGATCACGTTTTGTAAGAAATTAATTAATTTAAAAATATTGGTTTGTATCACAGTATCAAAATTCAATAGGTTTTTTTTTTCTTACTACATTCATTAGCATTCTAGACGTGAGCATGTGCGAATTTTGTTTCCTGACATTTTTCACTGCCTAATCTCAATAAAAAAGTAATCGGTATCACAAAGTGATCGGTTCGCTTCATATCAGTTCACTTGGTACTATGATGAACATGAATGTTTACACTCTTATGTATTGCATTCAAAGAATTTTGACTAAGTCGTAATCAATTTTATTTTTCCTGACACGAGAAGTTATTAAGAAAAAATACAAGAAAAGAATTTTTTTTTTTTGGTTTGACCGTTAAAACTTTTTATCTTTATCAGGATTATCAATATGTGATGAATAATAGCAACAGTTATCTTGAGAAAAAATATTTTAATACATTGTTTATTATTATTATTTTTTTTTTGCTAGTATGAACTGTTAACTATTTTTAGATAGGACTTATCGGGTTCTTTTTTAAATAGTTTAAATCTAATCGGAACACGATTTGTTACGCAGTCAATCTATAAATTGCTAAGTACCTAAGATGAATATATGTAGGTACTTTACAGGGTGTTCCGTATGTAGAGGGATATATTTAAAGAGGTGATAGTAAATTTCAAGAGCTACCAAAAAGTTCATATAAACAGTTGGCCCATTTTTCCTCAGAAAAATAGGAAATTTAAGTTTTGTGTATTTTAAAGTAAGTCGCGTTTTTTGTGGCATAGAAAGCGGTAACTAAATAGCATCGAATTTTCACACAAAGCTATGCCCTAGTGGACTGCAAATACGAGACTCAGAAATGCACATCGTAGTGTGGACAATAGACGACACTAGAAACGGTGTCTATAGGCCATGTCTCGAGACCATCTATAGACAAATCGCGCAACAATTTCTACTAGTATGTACTAGGTTTTAAGCATTACACATCGCTAATAAATATGTGACCAATGTCAGATATATATCTATCTTAGGTTCCAAAAGGGGGATCAAAATTTACTGTTATTTTAAATTAAATAATGATACGAATTGTATCATTATAATTTGATGGCAGGTCAAAGCCGGTTACATAAAGCGTGTAGAAGACGAGGAAGTTCGTGAAAAAGTTTTGGAGTTGATAGGGCCATGCGACAGCGTTTGGATAACCACACCAAAGGACATGGGAGAGAAGATCGGGACCTGTTTCGACTGGCTTTTCTTCATCATAAAACCATTTCCCTATAAAGAATTATCCATAGAACTACAGGTGACATTTTTTCTTTTATCTTACTTTTTTTTTTAATAAAAATTTACACTCAACAGAATCACATTTATCTGAAGTCATCTTTTATTTAATTTCAGGTTATAGATAACACAGCTAAAAGACATGGATTCAAATTCGAAAACAAAATAACAACCACAAATAACCGACATATTTTTTCTAAGATAGGCATTAATATGAGTCATGGTTGGTCTTTACTTGAGGTACTCAATTTTTTTTTTATTCCAAATGTTTTTTATTAACCTTATCATTGTATAAGTAAAAGCAGTTTAATAGAAGATTTAGGTAATTCTAGTGTCATATTATCATGATCGTAATTTCCAATATTAATAGTTTCTTATTTTAAATTTAATTGTATTGCATCCAAGATTGCTCAAGATACCCCCAAAGTATCTCTCCTTACTTACTTCTCATTTAAATGTCTCGTTTTTAACCACCTACTCCTTTCCCAACCCGATTGATCATGAAATGTAGACAAGAGAACTTGTTAAAGTTCCTCCAGAAATGATTTTCTTTACTTATGCTATTTTATTTTCCAACGTTTGTATTATACATATCAGTATGTTTTTAGTGTAATTGTTGTATTCTTTTTTCAAAATCTTAATCTTAATAAGAATTGTAAATAATTTATTTTATGTATGGCCACACAGGCATTTATTCTGTATCTGTTATTTGTCCTAATGGGACAACAGTCCCAGGATAATAAAAAAATATTTTCATTTCATTTCATTTGACTTCAAAGCAATTAGAATTAACTTTAAAATCCCTAAAACAGACATTTTCCGTTTACTAAGGAAACAATTGTTAACGAATAGCAGAATTTATATGACTGAGAGTCTCAAAGCGAAGGGATCCAATCCACCCAAAAATTTCTTTAATACTGTTGTTCGCCTCTATTGGAATGTTTGGAAAGAATTAAGGTAACAAATAGAATTAGGTTGAGTACCAATCATGGGATTACAAATAAATTGTTAAATTTGATAAAAATAAAGGTGATAACAAATTTTGAGCTGTATGATGGAGTCGAGGATCCACTGCATTTAGTGATATACCGTTAAGCAACGAGAGGAGGAAATATATCGAGGGATCAGCACTCGATATTACTAAAATAATAAAAGAGCGAAATTGAGGACACAACAAACTTAAAAAAATCATAAGAAAAACTTAATTACGATATTAATAATTGAAAAAAGGATAAATTGCTAACAAAACAGGATTTTTCGTAAAATCTTAAAGACAACAAAATTTAACTTTTTTTTTTAGTTGGATTTGCAGAAATTGGTGTTCAAATGCTGCGGAGCCCGATTTGCAGAACTGTGTTGTATCAGGATCCATGGCAGTTGCAGAGTGCTAAGGGTTTATACAACAGCTTCCTACGTGTCCCAGGACGAACTTCCTCTACACTACAGGCCCTGTGCTAAATCTGCCTTCAGTGGTGCCAAAAAACATATTCCGATGATTAATACATGATTTTTCCTGTTCTGTTTCATTAGACCTGTTTCATTTAATGTAAAAAGTAATAAGCTATTACACATTTTCTCGTATCGAATTAAAAATATTCAATTGGTCTCTATTTCGAATTAAGTTGACTTTGCAACTGTCCCTCCGGCTGTGTCATATGAAACAATATTTCCTTTTGGTAAAATGAAGTCTTTACCAACAATAGCTAATTTTACTCTTCAAGTTGTACACACAATTGAAATTTGGGAAATTAAAAACACACTAATTCCAGAAAATCAAATTTTACGGGAGGGTGGACACCTCATGATAATCAGAAAAGTGGACTTACGATTTTTTTTGTACTTCGAAATGATTAGTGGGTCATGTTCATTCATATATATTGAGGGCGGGGTGGCCGAATGGGCTAACGCGAGTGCACATTACCGCGCGTTGACCGGCAACCTGATAACCGAAGTTAGATGGAAAATATTACTGATTTGAATATTAAAATATTGAAATCCGGAGGGAATTTTAACTTGGCTTAATTTCTCCACCCTCTCCCCTGAAACAAGAAAAACCCCGTAGAGCCCTAAAAGGCAAGGAAGAGAAGAATAAAAATAAGTTTATTCATGTATTTATTTATTTTTTTATTAATGTACAGAATTATTGCATAGTAAAATCTGTCACTTTAAAAGGTAACAATGTTAGGATTACAAGTGTTCTTTCGTACAATATATACATACAAAAGAGAAATACATATAAATAATTTAAAAAATAATAAACAAATATCAATAATTAAAAAAAAGGAATAAATAAATACGAATAATAATAATAAATTGAAACTGATTAAAAATAAGATAAAACTTCTTACACAAATTTATACCTCTGTACAGTATTTATATTTATATTATATTCACCCGGGAACTTCGATCCAAGCTTTATCCTCCACACATAGAAGTGTAAGCAAGACTCCAAGAGAACCTAATGCTATTCTCTGACTGAAATGGGGCACTAGAGCTACAGAATCTCAATACTTGAGTCGATAAGTTGGCCATTGTCAGAACTCCAAGAGCATATTTACAAGATGTCTCGGGGCCACTGCCGTTTTAACCTCCGAGAAAGATTGTAGGGATGGTAGGTGCTGTATAGCGATTGACTTAGAGGATTTGGATGATGAATAAGGTTCTGGCGAAAGTTTGAAAAAACGAACGGAATGAAGTCACGGACAAATGGGATGTTAGGTCATGATGTAAGGTCTAGTTTTTGGCATAATTTAGCGCACTAACTATTGTTCTAAATACTTTCGATCGGGAATATTAAATAAGCTTGATATTGAAATATTTAACTGTCTCTCACAGTTCAAGTCTGCACGTACAAATAGTTTTACTCTGTGATTTTCTATTATGTAGTCTATATAATTGGCCGTATTTTCGGTCAAGTTCCTGCATTTTAAGTCAGATATGTGTGTTACACTTTAGTTTGATGCCAATTATTACACCAACGTTCAATCAGGGAGAGGCGCCTTTGTAGATTCAAGGATGCTATTGTAGAATCTGAAACGGTAGCAAATATATAGTTTGCCAGGAATATATAGAAATGGACAGGTATATCAGCGGTAAACAAGATATAAAGGTTGGACAAAGACACTTCCTTGAGGAACATTAGCCTGAACTGCATAGCAATTGGAAAATTCTATACTAAAGCGAACTTGAACAAAGTTTTTACAGATATAGGAACGAAGGACTCGGATAGATGGATTTTAAGCTTGAAAAGCAGCCCGGCGTTCCATTTTCCAACAAATATTGATTTATTAAGAAACTTTGTCCTATAAGACTAACGAAATCTTTTAACATATAAATGTAATACAAAAATCTCAATTTTTATCTTATGCATGTTTAGTAAATACAAGTAGTTGTGTATAGTACAAGTAGTAAACAGTTTTATAGTTTTATTAAAACACCTTATGTAGAAGAAATTAAATTATATTTAGTAGGGGGGAGGGAGAACCGAGTTAGTTAATGTTCATTAACTTCTATAATTCAGATCTGGTTACTCTCTCGTAAGCTACTACAAAAAGATGAAATGGAAATTCAATACATTTTAAAATTTAAACAGGTGGTTTGGAGATTGCTGATGCGCGTAAAATCTGACACTAAAGTAAATGCGAAGACAAGTGAGATATTTTGATTAGGATTAATGTATTAATTTCGAGGATATTAAGAATTAATTTCGTCAGAGTATTAATCTTCTTATTTATCAGTAGTGTGTAATAAATGAATGCACTTGTTGAACAGAGATTTTAACATAACGTCGATTGGCTGGAAGTGGTTCCTGGGAGGGAATTCCATCGCTGCCATGGTCGTGCGGGGAGTACCGCGTACTCCAAGCTAGCTTCGCTCTGGCTTCCAGCCACCACTCCAGCTGTTAGCCTAACGCCCAGCCTAAATCTAGCCTAAGAAGGCTGGACTCGGAGCGGTGGGCGCTGCGGGCGGATCGATATGCCCTGCGCCGCCCCCAGTAGCGGCCCAGGCAAGCCAGTGTCTCCGTCCAATTGCAAACATGAGGTAGTCCTCTCTCCTCTGCATCACAATAGAGCAATTCATATAGAGGCATGTCGTGTAGTGTCATTATAGTGTAGGCCTCCACGCACACTTCTTAGATCACTATTAGTAGATTTTTATAATTATATTATTTTTTTAACTATTATTTAATTCGTTATAATTGTGTTTATCAATATTCATATATTTATTGTATTATTTTTTTTTTAAATTTATGTATATTTGATATGAATAAATCATATTAACGCCTACTTCAAACCAAATCGATAAATAAAAATTTTGTGAGTAATGCTTAGACCTCTTCTCAGTGCATGGTTTGATTTATTTTCTTAACTTTATAATAACACTTCAGACAACATCTCTTATGCAATGATTATTAAAAAAAAAAATGCCTACTTTGATCCCCCCTATCCTAAAATAAAATTAGACAAATAAATTCATGTATAAAAGGCAGGAATGAATTAATCTCGACACTTATAAACTTTTAATTATAGTATTTTAAAATTTTTCTTAATACCATGAAACACATATTTATACCTTTGCTAATGTTTCATAACTATATTTTATTTCTAACTAAAAAAAAAAAAAAAATGTATAAATTCTTTTAAATGAAATATTTATTAAAAATCAAAACACTCATCATTATACTTTAAGATAACGTTGAACAACAGGATCAAAGATTTATTGCCAGATTAAAATGTTATTGTAATAAAATATGTATAGCAAAATAAAGCATTAACAGTTAATACTGCGTCAAAATATTTTATTTTTATTTTTGAAGCAAATCAATCTCAATATTTCATACAAGAAATGAATAGCCTAAGCATTGAACAATCAGAAAATAGATCTTTTTTTTTTTCGTTACGAATAAATAAATGGGACAATGATTAGTATTTTTTATAATTATTACAAGTGATAATATTATTTATTAATGATTGTTTATAAAGATCAGCTGATAAGGATACCGTTAGGCCGTTTGAAAAATAAATCTCTGTTGACAGGGCGGGAGGCATGCGCCGGTCGCTGCCCCATTGACACAAATACTACTTTACACACACACCAATAATTCCGAAATATCGTAGCAATGGTGGTAGTTACTTTTCCAATAATTTCTAGATAAAATGGTACAAGAATAGACACTCCCATCTTCTATTTATCTTGAGGGAGGGCCACGTAATTCGGCGGCTTCGCTGCTCAACTCAGCCTTTCTCTGTTCCATTGTTTATTTAAAGAATCATCCCACTTCACTGGCCCTTAGAATCCTACATTAAATATTTACCGATGCGTACACCTAAACCTATGGGTTTGTTGTCAGTGTTACGCTGAGATAGTATTCCTATAGGATGTTCAGGAAAACAAAAGATTTTATATAAGTTCTAGATATCCAGATTAGAGGGAAGGTTAAAATATCACCTATGTTTATTTATTATTTTTATCAAATTCAATAGTAATACATCAGCATAATATAATAATCAATAACAATTTTCTCTCGCGATTAATAGGTTTATTTCTGAAGAATATTTTGTTTTTTATTGGAATATGCATGTATTTTCGATTTGATGAACATAAATATTTTAAATAATTAAGTAGTTGTAATTATGTTCCTTAAGGTCTTGTGCAGTAGTGTAGAGAGAGTAGTTGCGAAGTAAGTTAGGACTTTAGCATTAGTTGAGAATTCCGTAGTAGATTAGATTAGAAAGTTTTAGATGGATTTTAACAACTGTAAAGCAGCTTTGGATTATTATTTAACTTTTATTTTTGCTTAACAAAATTGAACAACAAATGTTATCATAGCCTATTTGAATTGACAATGGGCATCTAAAAATGAAACTATAATATTTATGAGTGTGATATTCTTCTGATCCTTAAGAATTCGGCTATTAAAAAAAAATTGAAATACTCAAGGAATCACATAAATTGTCATTCAATAAATAAACAGTCGTGTTAATCTGACTGATCTGTATTTATTTACACTAACATCTTTATAATAACATTATAATACGCATTTATATACACTTTTATATTGTAATAAATAAAAATGCAAATATTTATACAATTATTTTTTCTTTTTGAGTGTCAGATAATATTTATTTTGTTTAATCAAAGAACTATTCAATCTTTAACATATCTATTACTCGGCAATATTGAACTTGTAAAGACAAAACTGATATATTAAAAGAAAAAAAAGAAGTCGAATAAAGAAAAATTCAGCACCATATAATTATATTATACTAATACAGTCGTCAGTTCATTTCCTTATGTCGAACCAACCAATAGAAAAAAATACTTATAATATTTTATTCCTGTTTTAATTATATTTTATTGACTTCAATAGACACATATATATATTTGCATAACATTGGAAAAAGTAGATTATAATATTATTATTATTATAAAAAATAACATTTGTAAATATTATTTATAAAGCATCTACTTGAAGGCATAATTCCAAAATTTAAAATTTAGCAAACAAATAAAAACATAAATAAATAAAATAAAATAAAAAATTAATGAAGAGTATGATAATGACACGTAGGTCTGACCTACTTCGTAGCTTTGCGTTTTACTGTCCAAATTATTATTATTCTTTTTTAAAAATATTTATTATGCTACAGAATAATTTTAAAAATAAATTATATCCTATTAATTAAATAAAATAGTCTCACACTCCTTACATAATTACCTTTTACACTAAGCCAACACTACGGAAAATTGTGACTAATTTTCCAACCACTTGTTGCGAATCCTCCTGTTAACCCTAGGGATTATTGTTCATTTGTTATATGTATAAATAGAATAATTATGAATTCAATTCAATGCAGATAATGAAAAAAAAAGTTATTCTTAATGTAATTAATTATGTTAAATTATTGTTTCAGTTAAGACATTTATTCAAAATCATAGATAAAAATAAATAATAATTACGATTTTAACGAAACTGAATCATTTCTTTCCATTAAAATTGTTGAATATAATCATAATAGTCAGAAAAGACCAAAATGGATTTCGCCATATTGCTCAAGAAAATTTGAAAACTAATACAGTTATTTTATAATGAAACTAGTTAAATTCGAATTTTAAGAGACCCAAGAAAAATTTTGAACCATCCAAAATTTCGAATTAGACTATTTTTTTAAACAAAAATATTAAACAAGTTTATTAAAGTACGTTGTAATTATTGAATCTAGTTAAGTTTTTAGGAGAAAATTGTTTAAAATTTATTTCCTCCATTAAACAATTAAAATACTGAAAAAACAAATAAATTATTTATTTTTGCTTCAAGTATTCGAAGGCACCATGAAATTCGTCAACGAATGTGAAATGAAGACAATGATTGTCCCGTCCGTCAATAAAGCCCTTTTTACAGCCAACATGTTAACAATTGCAAACCTTTTTTTTTCCTTGAAAGATGAACTGGTGATACAATTATGTAGGATATAATATTTATATTATTCTGACGAAAATAAAATATTAGTGTGCAGAATAGGAAAATCAAATTGCATAATTTTTTCCCCTTGTATTGATTTGAAAAAGTAAATGAACGACACAAAAAAGGTTGAATCATCCACGAATTAGAATTAAAAACTTAAATTATTTAAAGTTCAACGGCATTGCAAAACTTGGAGATCGACATTGGTTGAACAATTATAAGGACTACGGAATAGTTTAAACACCTGGAGAAATAATTTACCCACGACTAAGGACTAAAAAAAAAAAAAAATGCAGGAAGCAACTTAGTCATCAAGAAGATGACGACACGTCATGTGATGCAGAACACGCATGTCGTCACAATCAGCACAGCCTTTGATACAACCAGAGCCAAATTACTGAAGGGAACCGGATTCTACATTATTACAGTGAACGATTTCTTTCACCTGATAAGAAAGAACAACAAACCGTAGAACGAACTATTCGTTTAAAGGTAAAAGGAATTAGTAGGGGTAAATCATTATAACCTCCAATAAAAGGAATAGGGCAGCAGATTGTAAGAACGAAGAATTGTGAGAAAAAAAGGAAGAAATGGCATATACTCCTTTTTCCTAACATCTGAATTGCCAAGAAAGGCAGAGTATTAAAGCAGGATGATAATAAATAAATAAGTAGAAGAAGACAACGTCTATCCATACTATTCCAAAAGAACTGAGGGATAAACTTACATTGACATTTAAATCAATCTAAAGATTCAGCCAAGAGTAATAAAAAAACAAGAGAGAATATTAATTCTATAATACCATTCTTATTTTTTTTTCAAGGATATTTCTTTTTTTTTAACCTTAAAATGTTTTTTTCTAAGTTGAATACAATCAACAAATACGTTATCATGAATAAACTTATCACGATTTGTTATAACAATCAATACCCTTTTGATAGGATAGTTTTACGTTTCCTTACTGTCTGAGGGATGCAAATTTTGAAAGAGTATATCGTTTCGTATATTGATATTTTTAAAAATATATTGAAACATTAATTCAATGCATCAAAAAAAAAAAAAAAATTTGGAAATAGGAGGACAGGATTAAAATCGAATTATAGCCGTAGATTTGTAAAAACGTTTACAACAAAAATTAACGTTTTTACATTTCTCAAAAAAAATAAAAACGATCAAATTATTATCAAATCAGGTTAAGTTTAAAAAAAAAAAAAAAGGAATAAACACTAGTTATATACTAATGCATTTAGTGGCAAGGAGATCCAAGAATAAGTTTTAACAGATTCAGGTAAATAGTATTTGTCTAGTTATTCGACCAAAGTATGACCCTGAAGATATAATTTTTTTTCTCGATCGATCAATGATTTATTGAGAAATATTATAAAAATATAAATAAATATAATAAGTTATAAACTTAATCTTAAGGTAAGATAATAATTAACAATCTCAGATAAATAAACACGCCTATCAGAGAAGAACCTGAAATTTTGGAGTACACAATAAGTAATATTTATATTTTTTATACTTGTTCCCCTTAATTTTGACATCCTCAAATAATACCTCAATCTTCTTTATAATAGACTAGAACGATTATTTTATTCGTTTAATTTATTTAGATTTAGAAGTCTAGAAAAATCTTGTCATTGACCAGTCATATAAATTTCCCTTTCAGAAAATGATTTATGAATTTTTTTTTTTTTTTTTTTTGTGGATTG